TTCTATTCTAGAGAGCGTTCGGGAGGGCGACCTCCTCTTTTCCATTGATCTTACGGAGGCTTATCTCCACATTCCCATCTGGCCTCAGCATTGCCAGTTTCTCCGTTTCTGTTACCAGAATTCTCACTACCAGTATGAAGCCTTCGGGCTCTCATCGGCTCCAAGGGTCTTCACAAAGATACTAGTGGCATTAGTGGCTTCACTCCAGTCCATTCCAGTGAGGATCCAATGTTACTTGGACAACATTTTGATTCTGTCGTCCTCCATCCACTATGCCCATCGAGATCTACAAATCACACTTTCCTGCCTTTAGAGCCACGGCTTTTCCATCAACATCAGGAAAAGTCATCTCTTTCCCATGACCAAATTGCTTCACCTGGGAGCGGTCATCAACACAACTCTGTGTCAAGTTTTTCTGTCACCAGATCGGGGGAAGAGCCTTACTGAGATCATCCGACAAGTTCAACATCAACACACTGTCTCCCTGTCTATGCTGTCCAAACAATTAGGAAAAATTATCTCATCCATCGGCATCGTCCCATGGGCACTGTTACACTTCCGATCTCTACAATGGTTCCTGCTCCCATTTCAATGAGCAGGAACCAGCCACACATCCACCAGGGTCTGGCTCACTCTGCAGACTTGTCGCTCCTTCAGCTGGTGGCTTTCTCCGGCTCTTTGGAAGGGACTCCTGTTCAAGGAACTGGACAGACTGCTCATCACCACCGATGCAAGTCTCCTGGGTTGGGGGGCCCACATGGATGGACACATAGCTCAAGAATAAACAGGGCTGGACCCATAAACTGGCTGGAGCTAAGAGCCATATTCCTGGCGCTAAAACAATTCAGGGAAAAGATGGCTGGAATCCATGTACTAGTGTTGATGGACAATATGGCCACAAAGGCGCACGTCAACAGGCAAGGGGGAACAAGATCCAGGGCCCTGATGGGGGAAGCTGAACGTTTGGGGCGGTGGGAGGAGAGACACCTGTCTATCACAGCAGACCACATCTTGGGAGTCGACAACCCTCAAGCTGATTGGCTGAGCAGGAGCCTAGTTGACCACACAGAATGGTCCCTCCATCCATCCATATTCAGGGATCTATCACTTAGGTTCAGTGCCCCAGTGGTGGACCTCTTCGCCTCTCCCCAAAACGCTCAAGTCAACAGGTTCTTCACCAGGTTTCCTTGCCAGAGAGGAAGGGGACCAATGCACTTCAGAACAGATGGCCCATGGGTCTCCTCTATGCTTTTCCCCCTCTTCCCATCATTCTGGCGGTCATTCAGAAGATGTTGGAGGAATGGGTGGAGCTGATTCTCCTGGCCCCCTGATTCTCCTGGCCCAGGAGACCCTGGTTTGCAGACCTGGTGAACCTATCAGTAGCCGCTCCCTGGAGGATCCCAAACCACATGATCTCCCTTCATCAGGGAGCCTTGCTTCACCTGGATCCCCAGTGGTTCAAACTGACTGCATGGCGGTTGAGCAGCATCAGTTGAGAGAGGCTAACCAGACAGGGTCATTCTCACTATCCAGGCATCTCGTAAACCATCTACAACCCGCATCTACGATGCCACCTGGAAGGGGTTTTTTGCCAATGGTGTCAAAAAAGAGGGTCTCACTCCAACTTTGTCTAGAGTAGTAGAGGTTCTCCATTTCTTCAGGATGGCCTAGAGAAGGGTCTCGCACCTAATACCTTACGTCGACAGGTAACTGCTCTTTTCTCAATCCTTTCCTGGGAATCCCTTCCTTATCTCACCTTCCTTCTGTCAGGAGGTTTCTAAAAGGGGCTTCCAACCTTCGCCCTCCTGCTGTACACAGGTACCCTTCCTGGGACCTTCACAAGGTGCTCCAGGCTCTAACAGAATCTCCCTTTGAACCCCTTAGAATAGTGTCTCTTCAATTCTTGACCCTGAAGGTGGTTTTTCTGGTAGCTATCACATTGGCTAGAAGGGTATCAGAGCTGACTGCTCTTTCTATCAGGCAGGATCTCTGCATCTTTCATGACAATAGAGTTGTTCTCCACCTAGATCCTATCTTTGTCCCAAAGGTTAGTACCTTTTTCCGCAGATCTCAGGACATAATGTTACCTGATTTCTGTACCCTTCTGCACCACAATTTAGAGCACCAATGGCACACCCTAGATGTTAGAAGGGCACTTAGAATTTACATCAAACGTACCTCGACATTTAGAAAGACTGAGGCATGTTTGTGTCCTTTTCCCCTTCCCACTGGGGGAACAAGGCCTCTCCTCCCACCTTGAGTAGGTGGATCAGGGCATGCATCGCACAGGCCTACAAAGCCAGGGCCCTTCCAGTACTCCAGGACCTAATGGCATACTCTACTAGAAGTGCCGCGACTTCAGCTGCCTGGGCCACCCAGGCATCCCTAGAAGAAATTTGCAGAGCGGCTACATGGACATTCCTGTCTCTGTTCATCAGACATTACTGCCTGGACTCCTATGCTTCAACAAGTGTGGTCTTTGGCAGACAGGTGCTTTAGCAAGTGCTCCCAACTTCAGAGTGATCGGCTGGACGAGGACCCTCCCGTAGACATGCAGGCTTTGGTATGTTCCATCCTGGGCTCTTGCAGCAGCATTGAGGAGAATGGGCGTTGGTAAGTTTACCTGAGAATGGCCTTTCTATCTATGCTGCTAGAGAGCCCAGCCCCTCCCTTGTTTCGTCCAGACCATGGTAAGACCATATGTTAATGTTCAAGATTCTGTTTGGCTTTCAGAAACACTTACTAAAGGCTGTCAAGTACCTTCGCCAAAGCCGGGGAAACTCCCACAGGCAGTCACTTTTATACTAGACAGACCCAGCTTGATGATGTCATCAGGAGGAGTCTAACCCATCCTGGGCTCTCTAGCAGCATAGATAGAAAGGGTGTTCTCAGATAAATTTACCAACACCCATTCTCATTACTAACATAACTGACTGGTCACTAGATAAGGAGTGCTTCTGTGGCCTTTTAATAATAGCAATAGCATTTAGATTTATATACCATTTCACAGTGCTTTTACAGTCCTCTCTAAGCAGTTTAGAGAGTCAGCATATTGGGTCCTCATTTTACTGACCTTGGAAGGGTGGAAGGCTGAGTCAACCTTGAGCCTGGTGAGATTCAAACTGCAAAACTGCAGGCAGCTAATAGGCAGCAGAAGTAGCCTGCAGTACTGCATTCTAACCACTGCATCACCATAGTTCTTAATAAGTTTTAAGGTTTCCTAATTTAGGAAAATATTAATTCAATAAAAGAAATGTAAACAAGTAATAGTAAAGGTAAAAGGTCTTCTTGGAAGAGAAAAGTTTAATTATGTTTATATTATATTATATTATATTATATTATATTATATTATATTATATTATACTATACTATACTATACTATACTATACTATACTATACTATACTATACTATACTATATTATATTATATTATATTATATTATATTATATTATATTATATATCTTATCTTATCTATTAACTACACTACACTATACCCAGGAGCAAACTGACAGCCAGTTTAGCTCATGTAGTAGAGATGTTACATGCACAACTCTAAGGATGCCCAAAGGTGCACCATTGCATTCTGCACCAGTTGCAGCTTCTGATACTCTTTGTTTGCTTTATTATATTTGTATGCTGCCCATCTCATGGTTTGAGGGACTCTGAGTGGCCTCTTCAAGGGACAGACCAATGCAGAGGGCATTTCAATAGACAATACTGGAGATGACCAGAGCATGAATGACTGAAAAAAGATACTGTCTTCTGATGTAGGCAAGAAACATGTCAAGTTTAATGTATCAGGTGCAAGTATTTCTGGCTGTCCTATTAATAATTAAATATACACCAATATCATTGGAATTAGGCCACTGCAATGAATTCTGCCTAAAAACTTAATTTGGTTCATAATGTAGCAACTAGTTGATCAATATACTTTATGGTGATCATCATGGTATTATTGGAATTTTTATTAATTCTCTGGGTTTAGATCAATGTATCAAGACTCCAAGATAGCATTAAAGGTAATCGAAGGATATGCCTCTAGTTATGATCTTGTTGAAATCAATTGGAAGATCCTTTCCAGGAGGCTTATACTTATAAAAGTTGGTTATTTCCAAATTCATAAAGTGATATATTCCATATCATTCCCAAACTGAGGAATTTATATGCTAAATTTAAATTGCTTAAATTTAATTTAAATTTTAAATTGCTCTAATATATGGTATATGACAAACCTACTGTTGTTTCTTTTTCAACATGCTATAGTATTAGTTCATTTATTACAAATTTACTTTTTGATGTATAAAGCCTTATGTTTGCCTTATTTTACAAATGTTAGCAAATTATAGGAAGTCATAATGAAATCATTGTAACAAATTTTGCTGTATTTACCAATTATACCTTTTGGACAATTGCATAATAATTTTTGGATAACTTAAAATAATTTTCATTTTTGCTTACTTAGGAATACAATCAGAGTGTAAGCTACTATAGTTCAGTATTGGTCATAGTAAATGTTATTCCTATGCAAACATTTTTCTATATATTAATAGTTCAAGTGCTGATGGAATTCATGTGCTTTTCACAGGTTTTAGCTTATAGAATTCAGGCTAAATGAACTATCTTCCTAATGCAAGAGTAAAAGAGTAAAACAATTTTGGCTGTTTAATAACCCATGCAAAACAATTGTGTCTCAAGAGTCTAAATGGAATCTTTAAAAAAATCTTACCCATCTCATCTCCTTTATTCAGAAATTCTATCACATTTTGATGTAACATGGCATAGGAAGATAAAGTAATATTAAAAATTTAGTTAGATTAGAAAATTGAAGAAATGATAGAATAGTTAGAAAAGAGAAGAAATGATATAGTTCTCAGTAAGTTAGAAAATAAGAAAGGTAGTAGTTAGAAAAGAGAAGAAATAATTATAATTCTGAAATTTCATAAAACTGGCCTGTAGATGGTTTGGAAACTTATCAACATAGTTATTTTTTTTTATATGGAGAGACCTTTGTTTCCATATAAACATATGTATTAAAATTCATTTTTTTCCTCCTAGGTGGAGTCATTTATTTTGGATCAGGATGATTTGGAGAATCCAATGCTTGAGACAGCTTCAAAATTGCTATTGTCAAGTACTGCTGATGGTGCTGATCTCAGAACAGTAGATCCAGAAACCCAAGCTAGATTAGAAGCTTTACTAGAAGCTGCAGGTAAATATACACCACTGATTTTGAAGAACAATTAATTTACAGAATATCCATAAAATAACATTGGATTTTTGAATATTTTAAGTATTATTAAGTTTATTTATTATCTTTATATGTGTTTTGAACAACATTTTGTATAATGCAGCCTCTTTCTTGTTTAACAATTGCAATCTGTTCCATCCATTTTGTCATTAAGTGGTCACTAAGGAAAAAAAGAGCAAGAGAGAGAGAGAGAGAGAGAGAGAGAGATATTCTGTGAAGATCACTGGTTACTATCATTCAGATAAAATAATCTCTATATAGTTTCCACTGCCTAACTTTTTTTTCAGGGGGGTTTTAACCTCTTTTGTTGCCTAAATAAAGTGTCTCTTCCTGAGCTCTTTCTCTGCAGTGCAGACAATGATAACCTCAAGATTTGTGACGTTAATTAGTTGTTTAGGTCCCTCCTCCACCTGCTGGCACTGCTACCTAATATTTATCAGACTTTACTGAGCTTCATATTAATAGCTTTTGGGTTTTTTTAAAAAAATGCACAACATTTGGTTGTAAATGTGTGCATTGGTTGGAAAATGAATTATTTATTACTGTCAGATTTGTAAATGGCTGAATATAGTTAGTAACTGTATGTGGTTCCTGGAGTGACTTTTACAGATTGTAAATTTTAATTGATACGTAATAAAGATTCTGTGTTGAAATTGGTGCTTGCCATTATTTAATATGGAAATGCCTCCATCACATTCCTGTAGGGAGTTTTATTTCATTTTATGACTATAATCTAGTTATCTGAAGAATTGCCCTTGCCTGTATAAACTTGCCCAGATATTTTGATCCTCATATGAGAAGTAAGCCACGTAATTTTAACCATTTCTTATTTATAAACAATATTCTAAAAGCCTACCTTGGCCAAGTTAAAGTGTTAGATAATTTTTTAATTCAAACCCTTTTGGAATGTTCAGTCTTTAGCAAATAATAATAATATTTTATCTGCAAATTATTGATTTGATTTCAGTGGTCCATTTTAAATATTAAATGGTATTGATTTGCTAGACACATGTCTGGAGTTTCTCAGTCATCCAGGTCATGGTTGTCCCAAAGGTGCTTTTCAAGAGGTTTTTCTTGAAAATTCTAGTCTTGATGTGTGTGTTCTATGTTTTGCCATGCATTTATGAAAACAAAACAACCACTTCATAAGCGCATGGCACAACGTAGAAGAACAAACACATCAGGATTAGATTCAGCAAACCACCTGCATTTAAAAGACACAGGCCATTCTTCTGAAGACAGCAAAGTCCACAATTTGGACAGAGAGGACTGCTGGTTTGAAAGAGGGGTCAAAGAGGCCATCTATGTCAAAATTGAACAGCCCTCTCTCAACAGAGGGGGAGTGATACAACATCATCTATAGCCAATCTACAACACAGTCCTTTCAACAGTTGAAAGCTCCATCATTTGCACCACTTAGGTGACTCTGATGACACAGATAAACTTCCAGGTGACCTTACTGACCCGCTAAAAGAATGCAAATGACCAGCTGTCTGCAAGTATAAATCCTTCCATTCCATAAATCCTTCCATTCCCACCATCCAGTCAGACCTGAAGAAGTTTCTTTGAAACATCTTCAGAGAAAAAATAGAAAGTCTAGTTGCCTCTTGAAAAAGCCCCTTTGGGACTGTTCTAGAAATGTATTTTAAATTTAAAAATGATACCGCTTCCAGAAAAATAAAAATTACCCAGTTAGTTTTTTCCCCCTGCTAGTTGAATGTGATTTTTTTCCTGGAATGTTGCTAAGTTATGAAGAATATAACACGTCTCTTCTCCAAGACTGATTTCAAGTATTACCATTTTACATGTGCTTGCTTAAGAATTATGCTGTTAGTACTGTGAATAGTATTTAGTTAATTGTCTTTATTTTCCTCTTTCTGGATATAAAACTTCTGATCTGTGATCTAAAATAAAAGGAATAGGTAAGTTATCCACAGCTGATGGTAAAGCCTTTGCAGATCCTGAGGTGCTTCGCAGACTAACTTCCTCAGTCAGCTGTGCATTGGATGAAGCTGCTGCTGCACTTACCCGAATGAGAGCTGAAAGCACAGCAAACTCAGGGCAGATGGACAAGTAAGTATTTATCTGAAACTACTTGTTTCTTATATTTCTGCTGTAAAAATCAATTATTATTATGCTATACTATGCAGATTTCAGAAAATATTTATTTCTTAAATTGTTATGTAGTACAGATCATAGCTTGGAAGGGATTACAGAGAACATGCAGTTCTGCCTCTTCTCTGCAGGAAATTCAGCGCAGGGAATATTTGTGTAATCATCTGAAAGTGTCAGCCTAGGAGTGGGGAGATCATCATTAGCAACTGGATTTGTACTCAAAATTATAAGCTTAAAGGATTCAGTTCATGAATTCTTCCTTAGCCATTTTTTTCCACATATGAAGTTGCATATTGTGCTGCAGGGCAAAACCACATGACAGAAGATGTGCCTGCTATTTTTGTATAAAGATTTTAGTGTAATATTGGGACTGACTGTTTTGTTTTAAATTTAATTTTGCAAGATTTCAATCCTTAGGTTAAATACTGCTCCAGCATAAGACACGTACTATTAGTGAATCAAGGTCTGCTACAGATTCCACAGGGCTTCAATTTATAGAAGGAAGGGTCCACAAAATAGAATTTTAAAATGGATTTAGGGCAGATTAAGTTAAGTGTCAATCCTACACATGATACATTCTGTGATCCTCATCCTCTCACATTTTGATTAGTTCTTAAGTTTAAAATTAAATTATGTGTGCTCATATAAATATAGATTGTCCTCACTTAATAATTGTAATTGGGACTGGCAACTCTATCACTAAGCAACATGTTCGTAAAGCACATGTGACCATGTTGACTTATGACAGTTGTGGCCGTTCCAATTGCTGTTCTAAAGAGAATTCTGCATAGTTGCAGATCTCATAATTCTGCCATTTTCCCAGTTAACTTTGCTTGTTGGAATTTAGCAATGAAGTTTGCAAATGGAAATCATGTGACTGTGGGATGCTGCAGTATAATTTCAAGCCAATTACCAAGCGCCAAAATCATGTTCATGTGACCCTGGGAATGTTGCAACAGCTGCTACTATGAGGATCTATCATAAGTCACCCTTATCCAGTACCGTTGTAACTTTCAATGGTTGCTGAACAAATATTCATTCAATGAGGACTATTTGTCTGTACCTAAATGCATACCTTGTTGATATTTTCACAAGTATGAGCCTCAGACAGGGACTCGAGGGAGAGGCAACAGTGTAAGATTTGTTGCTAGTCAGCAGCAAAGCATTGACAACCTAGGGCTCACTCCTGATCACTAGTGGGCTGAATAGTACATTTACCTCTGTTGGAAAGCAAAGATTTTCTAAAGAACAAATAAATCAAATGGACATTAAATGCAATTTGAAATGCTGCAGGGCATTTGTTTACATTAATGAATATAAAAATAAATCTGGTTGGAAGAAAGAAGAATTATAAGAAAATAAAATGCAAAATAAAATAAGAAAATAAAATACAGAATAACTATGAATAATTAACAGTATTGTTCACAGAATTGGTGAGACAAACATTATTTCATCCATTTTTGGTAATATGCATAAGTTTAAGTGATGTGTCTTGAGAGCTCATCTTGGTTTTTCCTATTTGATTCCCTGTATATAATACTGTTTTATGATCAGAATGTAAATCAAAAATTTATTTTACTGAAATTATATACTGTTGAACTATCCATTCTGTGTTACCCCCATGATAAGATGGGCAGTCAATAAATTTTATAAATATATAAATCCAGTAGATAAATACATTACTTTTGAAAAAAAATAAATTTGCAGTTGTTTGATATCTTTCATGTTTATAATTGTCATTATAAACTAAAAGATACATAATACAGCATATTAAAGATACTAAAATGTCTGTTAAAAAATTCTCAGCATTGTATAAAGTCTTTGATTTCATATTATATAAGGGTTAGTTTTGCTTAATCAGTCTTTATAACAATTTGCTACTTTGGTTACAAGCTGTTGCATCACAAGCTCTCATATTTTCTCATGTTCATGTTAAGCCTATAAAACTAGCTTATTGAGGATGTTTGATATACCTCCAATATTAGGCTGCTACAGTTGAAAAGGATTATTTCAGGGAATTAGCACATAGATACTGTCTCTTAGCAATTGTACAATTTTGTCTTCCTCCAAAAAAAATCTTACATTACATAAAAATATACTGAATAAATACATTATTTGGATGCTTTATAATGAAAAAAATTGAAATATCAAGACTACGAATCAAGACCAGGATGTTTATTTGTCACTTAATTTATTCTACAACTCTATGCACCATCTGTCAGCGTTCCAAGTAATGCACCCATAGAAAGCAGAACTCTGAGGTAGGCAAGTTCCTCAAAGAACAATTTATTGGATATATCGTATTGGCATAACTGGTGAAAGCTGACTGAAAGTTCCCGTGTCTTTCACCTAATTAAAAAGTAAAAGTTTCCCCTTTCCCCACAAATCACTGGTCACGCTGTCTAATCCAGGTGTGGCCGGTTGCTTGGTTACTTCACTCCTCCTCTGGCCAGCCAGCTGTGAGAATGTCCTTGGTTTCCATAGGAAAGCTTTATTGTTTTGGCTATAAAACCCCATCTAACTATTTCCCCCCTCCCACTATTGCATGGCACCCTGAAGCCTCCAAGGTGGCCTTAGCCAGATTCACTTCAGGATTGACACCATCTTTCAAAGAAATTGTCCTAAGAAGTTTTATGTACAAAAATTTTAATATTACAATTTAAAAAAATTAAAGTGAAAGCATTGGATAAATATATTAATGGAGAAACATCAAATGCAGAGACATCAAAAATATATTAAATGGTACATTATAGTGTAGCAGTTCTTAACATACTAAAATGATTCACAAAGAATTCTGCAGATCAAGATCCTCTGGAGTTCTCTAGCAACTGGGGGCATCTGATTTAAATTTAAAAATAAAATAAAAAATGAATTGTAGGCTTATATAGACAAAATGAAAGTGTTTACAAAATTAATTCTCAATACTTTACCTGTTGCTAAGCCTACACAAGCCTGGAATAGGCAGTTGTGTATTGCAAAGTTAGAGAATTCCCTACCTTTAATATATAGATTAAAACTTAATAATTTAAAGTAAATTTATATTTTCCTCAGCTATAATTCCAGTGAAAATTTTAGTTTCATTCATAGAAGTTGTGTATATAGTCACATGAGATCGTGATGCTACAAAATTTGACAACTACTACATTAAATATGTGTTTAATTTTTTTAAAAAAGGACCTAAAACAGATTTGCCTAAATTTGGAAAGAAAAACAAACTAAGCACAACTTAATTTTCAGTTGAGAAAATATTTGGAAGGATAGAGAGATTACTTTTAGATAGCTACTTGCTGCCTGTGAATTATTGGTGAATAGGGCATGGAAGAAATTTTAAAATGTTTCAAATGTAAACAATGCACATTCCCTGAATCACAGAATGGGCTATTTTTCATATTATTGAACCATGTTGATCTTTAAGTAGTAGCTTTGTTCAGATTAGAGCACTTCCAAAGTGTTCCAGATAGCTTACTTTGTAAAATTTAATTCTCAGAACATTTAAAAATAAATATAGCAATGCTAAAAGAAGCCAATTATCTTAGTAAATGGTGGGCTATAATTTGGACTTTCTGACACTGCAGCTTCATTTCCAGTAATCATAATATGTTTTGCTATATATCCATGACATCTATATTTTATGTCTATATTTTATGGTAATCTGTTACCTCTGTGAAATATTAATATATTTGTGCTAAGAATAACTTCCTCTGTATCTCCGTAGCCGCAGTTTGGCTGAAGCTTGTTCAGAAGGAGATGTAAATGCTGTGCGGAAGTTGCTTATTGAAGGTCGGAGTGTGAACGAGCACACTGAAGAAGGAGAAAGTCTCCTTTGTTTAGCCTGTTCAGCTGGATATTATGAACTTGCTCAGGTGTGTCTTTTTTCCATTATAATAGAGAAACTACACTTTTTATTTATAACACATTCTGAACATGACATACAATTCAGTTTGTTAATATTTACTTTTGGTTCAAATCCATTGTCTTGTGGACTAGACATCTGCTCAAGCCGAGACTTTGGTAGATCCTCAGTCACCTATCAGATTTCTGTAGAGTCTCTTAGCCAGATGAGATTTTAAAGGTATCAAGGGTAAAGGTAATTTTCTCTCCATTCCAAATTTCACTCACTTAAGCAATTAATCAGTAGGATTGCTTTGGGTACCATTTTGTTCTCTAAATCTTTGTGCAATAGAAGCTTGCCCATTAACCCAGAGAGAGCAAAAATGCATTGGAAGAGACAATTCTAAGCCTGTTTTTTGTATTAGAAGGAAGGATTGCTATATAGAGAGGTTTCAGCAGAGTTTCATGTCCCTTGCATAAAATTGTCATTCTATCTTAGTATTGTTTTAATTTTTGTGTGAATAGAAACTCTGTCCAAAATGTGGACTTTGGACAGAAACAACCACTGGTTTGAAAGAGGGGTCAAAGAGGCCATCTACTTTAAAACTGAACAGGCCCTCAACAGAGGGGGAGAGATATGAGGCCATCTATCTCCTGTTTACAATACAGTCCTTTCAGCAGTTGCAAGATGCTTCACTCCCATTTACACTATTCAGGTGACCCTGAGGGCACAGATAAACTTCCAATTGGCTTCAACCTTTCAGAGAGAGTGCTAACAAACAGATGACTTCAAGGAATATATTCCATTCTCCACCATTCAGTCAGAACAAAAGAAGCTTCTTTGATGAGAAGCAAAACATCTTCAAAGAAAAATGAAGTCCAGTTGCCTTTTCAAAAAGGCATCTTGGGGTCTTAGCATACAAATGTATGATGCTGTGGCTTGTGATTTCCAGCAATGTTTGCATTCTTTTCTGCAAGTCACAACTAGTTATTGAGGTAATGGGAAGAAGATAGGCTATAGTGGTTTTCATTAAATGCTAGGGTGCAATAACTGCCTCAGAAAAGACCATGCAAAGTATATTGGTGTCAAGTCACAAAATTCTCTTTATAGTAGACAGAGCATCTGCTATTTGCTTTTGCTTCATAAATGCTTCAACAGTACATACATGCTTTCCAACCCCTTTCAAACTTAGAGGAAAAGTTTGTATTGAATTAATGAGCTAGTTACTTTATTAAATGCATCATGAAATATCTCTATTGTACAATACAGCAGATGCCCATTGAACATGATAAAATGATACAAATAAATAAAAGCACTTATCAGGAGTTCAACTTATATAAAATCTTTTTTTTTTCATAACTGAAGATGGAGGTGAATTCTGAAGCTAAGCACAATACCAACTGCTCTTTCTATATAGTGATAGATATAAAGCATTTTATAGCTCCTAGATCACTGATGTGATGACCCGGATCATGGCACAAAAATAACGAAGTCATAAAAGTAGATAAATTCCCTTTAATACCTCCAATTTGGCCCCCAATGTCCAGTTATCCTTGGCTGGAGTTCAAACTCTTCCAAAACAATCTATAATGGGAAGAAATGCAGTCCAAACTCAAAGTAAAGATAAATCAGAAATTGAAAAAACCAACACAAACCATGCTGAAGTAATTAACACGGCAGGCCAGGATAACAAATTGCAGATTTCCAAAAGATTAGGAAGCACACAAAGTTGGGAGGACACCAAAGATTGACAAAGATAATGCACGCTTTGTTTCCAGCAAGGTGCTGTGTGCAAACGCCCTTCTTATATCCTGTTCTCCCAGCTGCAACTAATGAAAGGGATCAGGGCCTTTTTCTCTCCTGTAAGCTATGTTGCTCCCTTCTCTGTTCCTCCCTGCATGCCCTAGGATGAAGAGGGGGTGGGCTTGGGTCTTCCTCTGAATGCCTAGCTGGATTGTGCCCTTCCCCCGTTTCTTCCACAGTCACCAGAGCCACACTCCCACTCCCTGTCAGCTGCTAAATCTCCCCCTCAGAATCAGACTCCAACAAGGGCATGACAACTGTTGCTTCAACATCTTCTTTATACTCTGAACAATTACTTTAACCCCCTTGACTCTCAGTAAGTCAGCTTAAAAATTACTAGATTTTATGTTCCAGAAAGATCTGAGACAAGTCCAAATAACAAGGAATATTCTTTCAGTCTTTCTCTATGGTAAAAAATGCACATGCACATGAAGATTTAATGTACAGCAGTCCTTACAATCAAATTGGGGCCAGAGTTTCCATTGCTAACCAAAATTTGCATCATAAAGCAATGTGGTTGTAAAGCACATTACTTAGCAACTGCAATCCAGGTATTCCCCATTGCTGTCATTAGCCAAATTCTACTAGTCATTAGTTGAAAACCCACTGATTCTTAGCATTCCAGGCCTGATCCCTCGCAGCCTCAAGTCTCAGTAAGAGGAAATGGGGATTGAACAAATAGGTCTTGAAATTAAGTGTTTTGAATTCTAATAGTAAGCTGGAAATTCCAATTTGCATGTAGTGCTAAACAAAAATTACAAATTACAAATTCTCTGATTGATTCCTGCTGATAAGCGCATTTTGGTAGCGTATAGCAGAACATGTTCGTTCAAAATAAACTAGATTTTTAAGGACTTTGCATTATTATTGCATGTTACATTTGTTATTCCCATGGAAGTTTCAGTTTGTATTGGATGTTGCAACTAATCATCTGACCAATGGAATATACAGAGATTACCATATGTTCAAAAAATGTATAAGGTAAACAAATTACATGATATTTGTAATTTGCTAATTGCTTATCAGATGGAATTTAAGGTATTGGCATGATATTAATCTTTAAAGTTCTAACAACTGACTATCTAATGGACAGCCTCCTTCATTATGATTCTGTTTTACTAATAAAATTTGCAAGATAATCCTTTTGAAGATGCTTCTGGATCAAACCTTTCATTCTGGCAGATGGCAAAGGACATTGGACAACAAAGATTTTGCTTCCTGAACATTTTTGGGTGTATCTTACAGAGTTTGGGCTGCCGGTAATCATGTACTATTTTATAGTAATTTTTTATTTGTACAATTATATAAAATTTACTAATTTTCACTTGCATTATAAGATACCTTGTGTAGCCTATGCATATTCAGGCATGCATTTAGGGCATATTGCATAACATTTACATAACAGGTATAGTTTGGGCGTGCCTAGGCATATTTAGGTTGAATGGATGCAGCCTGGAAAGGCTATAAAAGCAGCTTGCATGCACAGATGCTACTGATTTTATTGATATCAGTTTCCATGTATTTTGATGTGATTGTTTCAATGCATAGAGTTGTGTATATACATGTAATTTATATAACAAGTAACTGGTAAGGCTTACTATAGGGCGATTGTTGATAGCAGAAATGCCTAGCCAGTGTCAGAAGAACTGTGATGTGTTCACCTACATTTGTTCCAAGTACACGTTAAACCTCAAAAATGCACCACGACTGGAGTTTTTAAGAAAGCACTTTTATTATAAGATTGGTGACCAATGCAAGGCATGGGCTCTTCGCATTTGTTGTGCAAGCTATGCTATTGCATTTAGAACTTGGCTCAGAGAAACTCAGAAATCACTGCCATTTGCAGGTTTGTCTCCTATCCTTGGTTTCCTTGTCATGGTCAGAGCACAGTCTGATGGCAATGTGTTTCTCAAGGGCTGTACACACACACCCTGCAGGGAGGGCAGGACCTATTAGATTGGTGTTCTCTCGTCGACTAATGGACCTGGATGGGTTCCAGAAGGAGCTGGAGGTTATAACTGAAGATCTACTGTTCAGTCCAGCCGAGCTCTTAGTCATTGTTTGGAATAGGAAGGTGACTGAGGCTTTGGAGAGGATTGCGCCCATGCAATCTCTCTTCACCCATACACCTCACTGTGCCCCATGGTATACAGAGGAACTGAGAGGGATGAAACGCATGAGGAAACATCTAGAATGCCACTGGTGGAAGACAAGAGATGAACTCGATCGGACATGGTAAGAGTTGCTACTAAGGCTTACCTTGTGGTGATTTGTGTGGTGAATTGTAAATACTTCACACTAATTGTGTCTGCAGATAATCACCCAGTGACCCTCTTTAAGGGGAGCCTCCTCCTCCTCCTGGGGAAGGAGGAGATTGAGGTCCACCTGAAGGGGTGCACTGAGGAATTTGTGGATTTTCTGGAAGACAAAATCACTTGACTTCATTCCCAGTTAGATACCGGCATGATTGCTGGTCCGGTGGAAGCCGCTGAGGCAGGTTCTTGCCCTATTATCTGGGAACAGTTTGACCTTTTGCTCCTGAGGAAGTAGATAGGATCCCAGGGAGCATGCGTGCAATCACCTGTGTTTTAGATCCTTGTCCCTCCTAGCTTGTGAAAGCTTCCCAGGAGGTGACAGGCGGGTGGACTCAGGCAGTGATTAATGCTTCCCTACAGGAGGGGTTGGTGCCCCAGCACTTTAAGGAGACTGTGGTCCATCCTCTTCTTAAGAAGCCATCGCTGGACTCCACCCAGTTAGATAATTTCTGACCTGTCTCCAATCTTCTCTTTTTTGGAGAAGGTTGTTGAGAAGGTGGTCATGTGGTCAAACCTCATCCAGAGGTTTCTGGATGAAACAGATTATTTCAAGCCCTACCAGTCAGGATTCCGGCCTGGATTTAGGACAGAAATGGAATTGGTCGCACTTTTGGATGATCTCTGGCGGGAGTGGGATGGGGTAGTGCATCCATCCTTGCTCTATTTGACCTCACGGCGGCTTTCAATACCATCGACCACGGTATTCTGGGAGTTTGGGGGGATGGGAGTGGGAGGCCTTGTGCTGTCCTGGTTCACTTCATTCCTCTGCAGCCATTCTTGGTCAGTGTTGCTAGGAGGAGAGAGATCCAGCCCTCGCCCATTGCTTTATGGGGTTCCGCAGGGCTCAATACTCTCTCTGCTTCTGTTCAACATTTATATGAAGTCGCTGGGTGAGATCGTCTGTCACCATGGACTGAGGTATCACCAATATGCAGATGATACTCAGCTCGTGGTGAGTTAAGTGATGCCGTGTCCTCCCTCTCACAGTGCCTGGAGCCTGTTAGGGTCTGGATGAGGAGCAACAAGTTGAAACTAAACCCTTGCAAGACTGAGTTGCTCTGGGTTTCAGGTTAGTTGGCTCAGGGAGAATTACCATCTTTGGTCTTGGACAGGGTAGTACTTCCTCAAACAAACCCTGTGCATAATCTAGGAGTTTTCCTGGAGTCACGATTCCTGCTCAAAGAGCAGGTAGCAGTCGTGGCCAGGAGGGCCTTTGCGCAACTGTGGGTTGTGCACCAGTTATACCCTTTTCTGGACCATCAGTCCCTACTCACAATCACCCTTTCCCTGGTCACTTCCGGTCTTGAGTACTTCAACACGCTCTACATGGGGCTGCCCTTGAAGAGCATCTGGAAGCTCCAATTGGTGCAAAAGGCAGCAGCCCGCATGGTTTTGTTTAGACATGTATCACCTCTCCTGCAGGAACTACACTGGTTGCCAATTTGCTTTCGGGTGCAATCAAGGTGCTGGTTGTCACTTTTAAAGCCCTTCTTGACTTGACACTAGGTTATCTGAGGGACTGTCTCTTGCTGGTTACATCTACCTGAATCATCAGAGAGGAAAGGCAGGGAATGTTGTGGATCCCGTCCCTGAGAGAGATACACCTGGTGGGACCCAGAAGAAAGGCCTTCTCCCTCTCTCTGGAAAATTATTCTCCCAGAGATTAGAACAGCGCCCACTCTATAATCTTCTGGAAGGCCCTGAAGACCTGGTTCTGCTAGTGGGCCTGGGAACCCAGAACGGGATGGAGCTCATTAAATGGCTCATTTGATCTGCTGTTGCCAGGGCGGGGGGTGGGAGTTGGGGGTGATTTTGTTACATTGTACAATATTAATTTATTTAATTATTTTTGTTGTTTTTATTGTTTTAAATGTGGTTTATATTCTGTAAGCTGCCTTGAGTCACCATGGGTGTATAAGCAGCAATATAAATTCAATAAATAAATGAAAATAAGACATTAATTAAATACCCCAATCTGCCTTCAACCATGAGAGCAGTGCCACATGACAACAATGTGCCAGTACTGAAACCACCAAGAAATGGAGTTTAGATGAAACAGATGAAGATGCTGCACTAGTCAGGCACATACATTCACAATGATCTGAATTTTGAATTGGATATATCTGACGAGCCTCATCTCATAACACAATCAACATTAACTGACCTGGTCAAAGAGTTATGTTTATAACATTCCATTTTATAGAAATCAGTTTTTACACAGTATCTGTTGGCTACGCTGCACACATGAAAGAAACATATAAAAACATAGAACTTTTATTGAAGCACATCCTGTACAGCACATACAACTGGAATATCTATGAAAATCTAAAAGTAGTGGCTCTACTGCTTGGAATGCTGCAGGTGCTGCTCTTACATATGTGAATGGGACAGATGTATAAGAGAATCCACTCTGATTGCCACTCTGGAAGACTTCAATTCCACGACAGAAGAATGAACCACTTGTTGACCCAGGAAAGATATTTTTGTCCCTGCTTCGCATAAAATTTGAACTGTTGAAAAATTTTGTGAAAATGATAAACAAGGGATAGTTAAAGTCTTTTTTTATATATGAGACAGATGTTTCCAAGAATAACTGATACCAATATTAAGGAAGACATTTGGTGGTCCACAGATCAAATATGTCACCAGTGACAAGCGGTTTAAAGGCCTGTTAGGCCAAGTTTTTAAGGAAGCAAAATTGAAAAATTGTCCGATTGTCTCTTCTATTGCTCTGGGATTAAGGAATGCACACCTTAGGAGCAGCATAGTTTACATTGGAGTTTGGTGTCATCGACAAAACCAACAACTTTATTAGAGAATAATCTTTTATGAGCATAACTTATTCGCAATTAGAAATTGCATAGAATTCATAAATTTAGGGGTTTTTTAAAATTACAGTTAGTCCTTAACTTTCAAGTGAAGTGAGTTAGTGCCCATTTTATAATATTTTTTATCAGAGTCATTAAAAAATCTGTCTTCTCTCATTGATTTGGGTTGTTGGCAGTCCCTTGGAAAAGTCAAAAACTGTGATTCTGGGACATTATAAATACATACCAGTTGCCAAGCACCCAAATTTTGATCACAGCAGTTCAGGATGCTGCAAAGACTATAAGAAGGAGCCATCATAACTTGAATGGTTACTAAAAGAAATGGCCATAAGTCAATGACTACCTGTATTAATTTTAAATTTTGTTTTCAACATTCTGGATTTTTTTTTTTTTAAAAAAACCTTTAGTTCCCTTGAGTGCTTATGTACATAAAAAGTCACAATTTGTGATTGGGCTTCTACACATACAGTATGTTTACTATGATACTAAGATCTCTAATTAAACTGTTATTTAATCTTTTTCCCTCATGATGGTAATGTAAAAGGCAAATTTATAATGAAGGCTACTTTGAATCATAATTTTATATAAACTTTTTATTTTTTAAAAAGGAGTCATCTTGTTTTTGCTACATCAAGATGATATTCTAATTGTAGTCACAGTTAATTTTACAGAGTACTGTTTTTTTAATCTATGTAATCCAATAAGCATGTAATTTCAGAATGTATTTGCGACATCAACTTTAATTGGGAAAAATAAATGGTACTGTTAATAGCGGAAAAACCTTGCCCTTTCTGAAACCTTGTGGGGAAGCGGAGATATTTCTGTCTCCTTTCCTCAGGAGTAAGATCCACATTAATCTGCTGCAGCCTACATGTACAATGGAAATTTCCTGATATTGGCTCAAAAAGAAGACCCCAAAAGATAGAAACAAAGCTTCTAAAGTGTAAAAACCCTATATATTTATTAAATTAAAAAAGGTGGACTTCACATCATTTAACAACCTAGTGCAGAACTGAAAATGTGAACTTGTGCGCGGCTTTGAACACACAGCGATTTCATGCGCTTGGCTTCCAACACACCTTGGGCAGCTGCAGTGAATAGAGTGGGCAAAGCATGGAAATCAGTGGGCTGCGTGGATGGGGTGGGCGAGCCAGAGGGTGAGATATATAGGACGGATAGCACTGTACAAGTGGGCGGGCTCAGCCAGTTTTCAGAACTACTGGTACGGGTGAACTAGTCTGAATCGGCAGCAGCCAACCTCTGGAAATAGCCCTTCTCACATGCAAGCAACTCTGGGAATAATAAACAGATATTTACAGAGACACTGCCAAGCTTCCCATGTACAACAAGTACTCTCCAGCTTTCCTATCTTGTCACCAGACTTTACATCTATGTCTGGAACCAAGTTCTGGAGATTTCCTTAACAAATGCATGTATGTATCTGGAGGATAGAGGATAGATTCTAATATTTTCATTGCATATTGCAAAAATACTAATACAACTGATATTGTCATATGATATTGATAGATCAGGCTAGAAAACAGATGCTGTGCAATCTAAGCTCCTATCCTTCAATTTACTACAGTGTAATTGAATATTAATGGAAGTTATATGTAAAATAAGGTGCCCTAATTAAACATGACATATACAGACATATACACACAAGAAAAGACTTTGGAAATGTGGCATAGCAAGCATAAATGTACACATATTCTATTGTAAACAATTCCGTTTCTTATTCTCAGTGCTGAGTGCTATGCTAGAGATGTAGCTGTTTAAGCAAATATACTTTCTTCTCTATGGAAAGGGAATGGATTGATGAATGGCATTCGAACTAAAACTATGTAGTATGACCCATTGAGATTTCTAGATAAGTAAGCTTAGGAAACCTAGTCCAGTCAATATAATGATTTAAATTTCTTTTTTGTCTTCTCCTGGTATAGAGGGTGAGTTTGTCCAGGGAATTGTCTTTTTATCCATGGAGGACCCTGGTTTTTTTTTTTTTAAAGAGCCTCTAATGGATAAAGGAGCCAGCATTTCAGAGACTGTCATCAGTGGATGATAATAAAAGAAAGTTAGGTTTAGCATGCTTTCCCCAATTTCCTATGTATTTCCCACGTTTAACAGTTTTGTAGTGCACCTCTCCCTATTAACCAGTATTTAAGGACAAAATAATTTTTTTCATTTCCAATAAATACAGTAATTCCCTTTTACTCTTACAATTCTCCACCTTATTCATATATAAAAGAGGTAGAGTTGGCATATTCTAAATAGAATCTGAATTTTTGCCTGGCAGAAATAAAAAAAGAAATGAGTCAGTTAAGAGTTCGTTAATCAAAACATGGAATAAACAATAAGATTTCATATATTCAAACAAAGTATTTCTGTTTGTTTTATATTGTTGTGCCTAAGAAATAAAACTTGAAACTGCAGTTTTTTCTGTCTCGGAACATGTTGTGGGTTATGTAATGTTGGCTAAATAACGCATAATTAAAATGCAATCATAATCATATGATAATGTTGCTACATTATGCTTAGAAGTATTTTAAGTGGCTGGTTTACAAGACAGAGCAAGCAACAAGGATTGCACAGGTACACCACAGATTTACTCTCTTTTCATACTAATTATCAGTTTTTGTTTTCTATGTCAACAGGTCCTCCTAGCAATGCATGCTAATGTTGAAGACAGAGGTATCAAGGGAGATATAACACCTTTAATGGCTGCTGCTAATGGAGGCCATGTCAAAATTGTTAAGTTGCTGCTAGCTCATGGTGCTGATGTCAATGCACAGTCTTCAACAGGTAAATATATTATAAAGAAGTAGAGAGCTTGGAACTCTGTTACATTTTTAATATATAGAAGAATTTGTATGCAGATTTATTTAATATCAGTTTTAAAAATAATGAATTTCTTCAGAGATTAACATATAGGACAGTGAAAACAACTGAAATGTTGATATAGTTAAGCAAGGATATTTTATAATTCACTTAAATAAGTTTTCTTTGTGAACATTATATAAAGATCTTGTCTGATTCTCTAAAATGTTGCCAAGGTTTTCACAATTTCTTTATAAAGGCTGCTAGAATTTGCTTACATTTAGAACATTTATGTGATCTGACAAAGTATATTGTTTCTCTGCAGCGCTTTGGATTCAATTCAGAAATTGAGATGTTGATATGCAGATGGAACAGCTCCTAACTCCTAAGAACAGCTGTGTTTTGGGAGGTGCACAGCTGCAGTTGCTGGACCATCCTTGAAACAGACAACTGTCTTTAGGAGTTGCAGGCAAATGCTATGTATATGCTCATGGACACTTTAAAGAACCATTTTGGGATCAGATCCTAATTATTTGATCCTTGAATTTAAAACTACATTATTTTATGTCACTTCCACCTGTAGAGATGACACAAAAAGAATTGTGTCACCTCCTAGCATAAAGGTTTTTATGAAGGTGAATTTAAGTCACTTCTCACAGGCCAATTAAATGAAAAGAACATAACTGAAAAGAACATAAGTTCAGTACTTTCCTAGGGAGAAAATAAAAGAAATCTGTCCACCCATCCATCCATGATAAGGTCTGTGATTATTTTCAAATTATCTTGAGAATAATAATTCAGAACCAATAAACCACTAAGCTAGCATTTCCCTCTTCAGTAAATCTATAATTAGTTGTTTAATTAAGCAATTCTAGATTTGGGGGAAGCCCATTGCAATTTTCTTCCCCTGATCTAAATTACATCATTTTCATGAAAGAGAAATATTTAATTTTGTACTCTTTGCTGCTGCTGCTGCTGCTGCTTCTCCTCCTCCTCCTCCTTCCTCCTCCCTTCTTCCTCCTCTTCCTCCTTCACAATTCTCAAGGGCGACAGGCAAAACAAAGGAAAGGACTAGAAGCACTCAGGCATTGGCTTTGATTTTCATTGTAGTGTCAACCTTCCTTAGAAAAGCTATGGGTGTATATATTATGGTCTCCTGAAATCATCTTAGTATTTTTCGTTATGCTTCTTTTTAATATCACCTGTAACCCTATCTTTCTTTGCTAATTGCTATAAGCTTTTCTCCACTTGTTTCCATAGATTGATCTTTTAAAAGACTATTTAACTAGAATAACAAGCTCAGCTTTAGCCACTGGCTTGTTTATACACATAATTATTGAATTAAAAGTTGAAAGGAGTTCAGTTTTCAGTACTTGGCAAGTTTGGTACTCATGACTCAGTATTTTAATCTCTGAGGAAGCAATTACAGGAACTGCAACCATATTATTATTATTGAAACATTTACACCACTGGGAAGATATTCTGGAAGCTCAGAATATCTTCTGGTATAGTGAAATCACCAATTGTGAAAGAAGCATCCAATAAAAATGAAACATCATTACAAGATTAGTGCAACAGGTCTGCTTAAAAATAGCAAGTTTTAAACATGTTCTGAACATAGGCTTTCTTGGCGGAGTTTTTCTGCAACAGGTGATTTATCAAGGAAATATGTGTCCAGGTGAAACTTGATTCAGGGTTTCTTTGACAATATTCAAAGCTCTCCACTGAATCAATTTTTAAAAGGCATGATATATTGATATAGTTATGTAGTTTTTCTTGGCAACAGTACAGAAATGATCTACCTCATTCCCTCATTTTTTTTGACTTTCCAGTCTAATCTATAATTTAGGATATTGTGGTGGCTTTCCATCCAGAATCTAATTAGGATTAAATTTTAGGATTTAAGATCATTCCAGTTGAGTTAGATTATGCTCTTCAGACCACTCTGTCACGGATGTTATATTTTTTAATGTGTATGTCACAGGTTCTTTTTAAACTAATTTTGACTCAAATGGTCCATCAAAAGCATGGAACTCTAGGCAATTGGATATTTATGCCTCCCTATAAGTGTTAGGGATATGTTTTATTTTGAGAGAAATATCCCAGATACAAAAGTGAAGCATACATATATATATAAATGTGTGAATTCTTTCCATGTCTATTTTCTTATATTACATACTATTTGTATTGCCATTTGTATACAGTGTTCTCTGTACTATATACCTAGCAGCCTGCTGTTTCCCAGTGTACATCCAATTATGTCCCATATTCATCAGTGAGCTTGATATAGTTTTTCTGGGTGGAGCTCTAAAAAGCTCAGTACAATCTGCTTATACTCTTTGTGATGGTTATCATTTTATGATACTGTCAGCATAAAATGAGTACCATTTTATAATAATGCCACCACAACCTGGACTTTAAGAGTATAGTACAATAATGCTAATGTATTTATTTTAAAATTTTTGATAAACCTTTTATTATTGCGATTTTAGTAACAAGGTTGGTAGTAATGGTAATTCTAAAAACAACTAACATTTTAAAAATAGTGTAGCCAAATGTTAATGTTAATTAAAACATTTTTTAAAAGGATATGATGAAATGGAAATGGGTTATTTAGGTAAGGAGTGTGTGTGTGTGTGTGTGTGTGTATATACACACACCCCTTGCCTACATAACCCTTCTCCATTTCGTGTATATGTGTGTGTGTGCACTTAAATGCTACTCTTGTTGTCAAACAATTTGGGCAACTTCAGAGCTCCTTCAGTTTGTTCTTCAAGTTAATTGAAGACCTAGTGCGGGGGTTGCCAACCTTTTGGACCTCAGGGACCACCAAACTCATAATTTTAAATCCTGTGGACCACTAATAAGAATTTTGACTGACGGTGGCTTGCTGATGTCGGTAGGAAAGTTGGTCTCATATTCCAGAGCTGCAATAACCACAGTAGTCCCTTTTGCCATCCTGGAGCTGCTCTAAGATGACCAAAGAGCCAGTCCTGTGACTACTGTAGCTTTGGAATATGGGACCGACTTTCCCACCAATGTCAGCAAGCTACCCTGGGGCAGATGACTCCCAAAAAGCAGCTAGGCCATCTTTTCGAGGGATGTCCGATTTTTTTCCCCACTGCATCACCTGGCCCCCAGGCCGCTTCTTTTGTGGCCAAAAAGAGCGAGCAACATGCCTCGCCTGGCTCCCTGCCGGCTAAGCACTGCTGCTGGGGGTGGGGAGGGAGGGAGGGGGAGAGAGAGAGAGAGAGAGAGAGAGAGAGAGAGAGAGGACTGATCTAAACTCGGAGGGCTGATGGTGATGTCTGTCTGTCCTCTCTCTCTCTCTCTCTCTCTCTCTCTCTCTCTCTCTCTCTCACTCACACACACACACACACACACACACACGCACGCACACAAGAGAGAGAGAGAGAGAGAATCCCAAATAAAAAATGATCGGTAGGAAAATGGGGTGGGGGATTTTCTTGCAAACTTTTTTCCCGGGTCTCTGCAGAAAAAGCAGAAGCAGCAGAGACCCTAGGAAAATCCCCAAAACAGTCTGCAGGAAAATCTCCCACCCCGTTTTCCTACCGATTGATCATTCTTTATTTGGGATCGCAGGATATCGTCTCCAGCTCCATTCTTAGGGGGAGAGACAGACAGACAGACAGACACACACACACACATGCAAGAAAAGCAGCAGAAGCAGCAGAAGTCTTTCTTTCTCTCCCCCAAACTTGAGTCTTCATTAGACTTGTTGCACCAGCGCAGCCTCTTGGAGCAGGATACCTTGCAGGGTCCCAAAGACTCATTTCTGCCAGTGTTTGGAAGAGAGAGAGAAAGACTTTTACTGCTTTCCTTGCATGCAGCCAAAAGCAGAAGAAGAAAGAAGCAGAAAGAAGCAGTCTGGTGGCCAGGCCTGGTGCGTGGGGCAAGTGAGGCGAGTTCCTCCACTCCACCCTTTCCCCCCTCCCCCCACTACCTCGTGTTGTTTACAATGCAAGCCTTGTGTTCCCACGGGCGGCGCAGCCTTGTGTTCCTGCGCAGCCTGGATTAATTGTTTTGGGAAGGACATTTCTCTGCGGACCACCAAAATTTTCTTGCGAACCACCAGTGGTCAGCAACCTGCCAATTGGCAACCACTAACCTAGTGCACATATTTATAATAGTTACTTAAGTCAGCTCACTTGCTAAAATCTCTATGGATGATGTCATTAGCTTATTTTAATGGACTCTATTTGGCAATTTCCTGAGGCAGGTACATAAAGTTACTATATTCAGATTAACTGACATGACTCAGGAACCATTGAAACAATGGCCCATATTCACTATTATAAGAATATTCATTCAGAGTGGTTTCACTTTCAAATAAAATATCAAGATCAATCTGAGTTATATTTGTAAATCAGACCAGTTGGATTGGTGTACATGGCATCTGCAGTGTAGGGACTTTTTCCTGCCTTTCCTGTCAAAATTGCTCCCAGGCAGATTTTTGGAGCAGATTTTTGGAGGGCTGTTGGCAGAAGCTTTAGGAACATAGACTGTCCAAAATTGCCTGTTTTTCTATTTTGTTTCTAGAGCAGTTTTTAGAAAAAAAAATCAGAAAACTTACACTATTTAGGCAGCTGAAATGATCAAAAGGCCTCTCATACAAACTTTCGTAATCCAAATGGTGAGCCAATGAATGAATGTGCTTAATCATGAAGCTGTTGGACTAGTACTGGGAAAATGGATTCAAATGGCTTTGGGTTGATCTAACTCAGCCAAACTCATAGTTTATTGTTGTAAAGAAGGGGGAGAAAGGGCTATGCATAGTTTGGAACTTCTGAAGAAAATACCCAGGATGTATATCTTTCAAATAAATGCACTTAAGAGAAGTAATAATCTTTTTGTATTGTAGATGAAAACTAAATATTGTGAGAGTCTTAGCCCAAAATATAGAATTATAGAATAACATATTTGGACATGATCTTAGAGGCCTTTTAGTCCAATTCAGGCAGGATACCTTGTTCCTTTCTGGATGAATAGCTGCCAATCACTTCTTAAAAACTTCCAGTGCTGGAGCATTCAGAACTTCTGGAGGCAAGCCATTCCGCTGATTAATTGTTCTAACTATCAGGAACAGTTCTGGGTTAGTTCTAGGTTGGTTCTGTCTTTAATAAGTTCCCTCTGTTACTTCTTGTCCTGATTTCAAGTGCTTTGGAAAATAGGCTGACCCTCTCTTCTCTGTGACAACCCCTCAAATATTGGAACACTGCTATCATGTCATCCCTAGTCCTGTTCATTAGACTGAACATACTCAGTTCCCAGTTATTGACCTTTTATAGATAGATAGATAGATAGATAGATAGATAGATAGATAGATAGATAGATAGATAGATATCAATTATTGAAGGCTTTGGCAGAAACAAAAATTGAATTTAGGATTTATTATACTATACTAAATAACATATATATATAAAACATGACTGAAGCAAAAACAACAATTACAGGTGGGAGGTGGTTGGAAAGGCCTATTATGCATGCAAGGGCTACATTGATTAATGATATATAAATGCATAGATCTCTGTAATGGTAGCTTACAGATCTCTGTAATGGTAGCTTAATACTCTGACAATGTCAGCAAAGGCTGACGAAAGCTTAGTAAGTACAATAAATATAATTTTTAGTTCTGGAGATCGCAGGATGTCTGCTTCTTCTTTTACAAGTATACCTGGAACTTGTATTTTTAGAACAGTTGGTTAAGATATAGATATATATATATAAATGTTCAAAGTATAAATGGATATCTCAATACATATTTTTTTCTAAATAGGCAATACAGCACTCACTTATGCTTGTGCTGGAGGCTATGTAGATGTTGTGAAGGGCCTATTAGAATCTGGTGCTAGTATCGAGGACCATAATGAAAACGGCCACACTCCTCTTATGGAGGCAGGGAGTGCTGGACATGTTGAAGTTGCCAGAGTTCTGTTAGAAAATGGAGCTGGAATCAATACGCATTCTAATGAATTTAAGGAGAGTGCGCTTACGCTGGCTTGTTATAAAGGTAAAATATTGTAATCTTTCAATAATTAACCATATTCTTTAATAGAGTTTTATAAAGAAATTTCAAGTCCTGCTAAAGAATGTTTATTTATTAGGATTGAATTTGATTATTTGCTCTGTTTTTCTTCCAATTAATAAATTGAATAATATTATAATTTTTAATTTAAATAATATTAAATATGATTAGTACTTAGCTCTACATATATTTATCTTTGTCAGGATGGTATTCTAATGCTGATGGAAAGAATACTTAAATTTCAAACATTCAGTACTAGAATATGTAGCTAAATAATTTTTTCCTCTTTAAACACTCTTTCCCTCCAGCATTCTGTTCTTTAAAGACAAAAAAAAAATGAAATTCAAAGAACCCACTTGGATTCTCGAACCACTTTCATTGTCCTGTTAAATTTTTACTTCTTTTTTTTCTAATTTTCATATTCTAATTGAAAGTCAGTGTCTTTGTACTTTCTCATCATGAGGAAATGTTTTTGGATTACCTGTCTTCTAGAGCCTTATAAGAGTTTATATTTGAAAGCATATGTTAAAATAGCTATGCCTTTTCAAGAGCTCCGCTTTTCCCATTCATTGGAGACCCAGAGTAAAACTTTCTGTTTTATTATATGGTCTTCTGAATAACAGAGTTTTCAGTTCTTCACGTTAATGAAATAATTAAAATAGATTTTCCATACAGGTTTTGAGAATTCTTGCTTTTGGTTATTAAGATTGTATCTTTGGTGAACAAATATATGTGAATATGAGCTGAAATTTTGAATGAATTCTGATCTTCAAGATTCTTTTTTTTCTCTCTTTTAGGCCATTTAGAAATGGTGAGATTTTTGCTGGAAGCTGGTGCAGATCAGGAACATAAAACAGATGAAATGCATACTGCATTAATGGAGGCATGCATGGTAAGAGTCCTCAAAAGTAAAGCAAATATATCAAGTTTGGTTTAATTTCCTTTGTAGTTTTACAATTTTAAAAAGCAATGCAACAATTTACTTGATGAAAAGGCTACCAAGTTACATGTAGTCTTCCGAGCTAAGCTGGGAGCAAAATTCACCCTCTCTTTTAAACAGTTGGAATGACATTTAAAAGAATAAAATGAAGTCTTTAAACCATAAGTCAGACATTTTTCCCAATTAAAAGTAATAAAAATAATAATAATAATAATAATAATAATAATAATAATAATAATAATAGTAATAGTAATAATAATAATAATATTAAAGGAATAATAACTATTCCTCTTGAAAAACTCAGTTATTTGCATTGGGTTTGTTTTTTAAGACATAAAATGAGTATCTTTGCAGATATTTAAAACACTTAATTCATTTCTTTAAAAACAAAATAAATTGGACCAATTTTTCAGTTTTTCTTCAAACAATCTTGAGTATCCTAAGAAAATTCCCCATCTATTTACTAGAAAAACCTATTCTTCCTTTTTTCCTGTGATTGCCTCAGACATGCTAAAGGATTCTGCTAGTCTCTAGAATAAATGTGAGGTGCAAAAAAAAAAGTCCCTTCAGATAAATGAAAGTGTATTTCACTTTAGCTTGCAAATTACTTTCTGGAGGAGCATTTTTATCTGGCTTTTATATGCTTATTTTACTTGCGATCAGTGGCTAGTAGCCTTGATGGAACCATGACTTCTGAAGGCCATCTGATAGAAAATTAGTGGGTTCCCTTGCTTGGCTACTGTACGAACAGACTGCTGGACTAGTTAAGTCAGGGTCTGTTCCAGCACACTTTGTATATGTTCATACACACTTTTATTTTTGCTTTCTAGGATGGGCATGTAGAAGTTGCTCGTTTACTTCTTGATAGTGGTGCTCAAGTAAACATGCCTGCTGATTCCTTTGAATCTCCATTGACTTTAGCAGCCTGTGGTGGACATGTAGAGCTGGCTGCATTATTAATTGAGAGGGGGGCAAACTTAGAGGAAGTAAACGATGAAGGATATACGCCATTAATGGAAGCCGCCCGAGAAGGTCATGAGGAGATGGTAGCATTGCTTCTTGGTCAAGGTAAAAGTATAACTGTATCAATTGTATAACTGTATGTCTCAGCCTATGGTGAGTTTAGTGATTCTGTGACCTCCCTCTTGCAGTACCTGGAGGCTGTTAGGGGCTGGATGGGGAGCAACGGGTTGAAACTAAACCCTGGCAAGACTGAATGGCTCTGGGTTTGGGGTTCTTTGACCCATGAAGAATTCAAACCATTGATCTTGGATGGGGCGGCATTGCCCTAAACAGACACCGCGAGTAATTTGAGGGTTCTCGAAGAGCAGGTATTAGTTGTGGCCAGGAGGGTCTTTGTGCAGTTGCAGGTTGTGTACCAGTTATGCCCTTTCCTGGACCAACAATCACTTCTCATGGCCATTCATGCCCTACTCCCCTCCCATCTTGACTATTGCAACATGCTCTACATGGGGGCTCCCCCTGGAGACCCTCCGGACGCTTCAGTTGGTGCAAAATGCAGCAGCCTGCATAATTTTGTGCAGACCTTGGTGTGCATATGTTTCACCTCTCCTGTGGGAACTCAATTGGTTGCCAGTTTGCTTTCAGGTGCAATTCAAGGTGCTGGTCATTGTTATGACTCCCCTTCAAAATTCAAACGAACAAAACAGAAAGCAGCCGTTTCACAGTTAAATCAAACGGAAAGAAGTCTTACAAGATAACGGCTGGCAGAAACCTCACAGCATAAATCTTTACTCTGTCCGGCAAACCAGTCCTGGCAATAAATCTCCAGTCTCAGAGCTTCTTGCTGTAACGTCCTCACTCAGATAGTCACTTTGTTCCTGGCAAAATGTACCAGCCCAGCTGTGTCCTTTTATACTCATTGAGGCAACGTGCTAATTTACTGACTCGCTCTCCTCATTTGCTCCAGCTGATTTTGCCTTTTCAACCGTCTTCTATTTTTTACATTTAACCACAAATTTTCCAAGTTCTCATCTCCACTAGAAGACTCTCTCAAAACTTCCCTGTCAGACATTCCTGGCTGTTGATCAGATAAGGAACCAGAGGAGGTCAAAGGTCCTGACAATTCTAATACATCAGGTCTGTCGTCCTTTGTCACGTCCATTCTCCTCATCCTGGTTATCAGTCCAATCACTGATCCATGCCAGCTCATATTTTTCTGTCATAACCTCCTCACTTGAACTCATATCAGTCACAGGAGCTGAATCCAAGCCCGGAGCCACAACAGGTCATCATTTTTAAACCCCTTAATGGCTTGGGTCCAGGTTATCTGAGGCACTGTTTCTTGCTGGTCATATCTACCCAATCCATTAGAGCGGGAAGACAGGGAATATTTCAGGTCCCATCCCCTAGGGCAGTGGTTCTCAACCTGTGTGTTGCGACCCGTTTGGGGGTTGAATGACCCTTTCACAGGGATTGCCTAAGACCATCAGAAAACACATATTTTTGATGGTCTTAGGAACTGAGCCATAATTTTATGGTTGCAGGTTACCACAACATGAACTGTATTAAAGGATCATGACTCGCAACCCTTTTGTGGGTCGAACGACCCTTTCACAGGGGTCGCGTAAGACCATCAGAAAACACATTTTTTTGATGGTCTTAGGAACCGAGCCATAATTGATTGTTAGAAATGCCAATACACATTTCCAGCACTCTCTCCTCTGTCCTGAAGTAGAATTGAGTAGGGGAAAGGGAGCAGGAGGAAGGGTAGGAGGGAAGGAGAAGCCCGACAGGCTTTCCTTTGGAATGTGGGGGAGACCAAATGCCCAGACCAAAAGAGCGCCAAGGAAGACAGGCACCTAATGACCAGCCTGTTTGTGCAGGCGAGAGCTTGAGCTTTTCTGGTCTTAACATCCCCCGCTTCGGCCTCCACACAGGGAAGGACACTTCTATGCTTGGAAGCAACGGGAGGAACCTGGAGCTTAGCCTTGGGGAGTCCTCGTGTGTGAAGGGTGAAGGGGGGAGTGTTGCCTGGTTATTAGGAGCCCATCTTCCTCGGTGCTTCCAGCCCTCCCCCCTTCCCTCCCCCAACTCCAGGCAGCCATACCTGGCAAAGGAGGGAGAGGTTTCCTCTGACTTGGGGGAGATGTGAAATGACAGGAGACCAGATTGGGGACAACGACTCTGCTTTCCTTCCGTTTGAGGGGGATCCAGTTCCTCCCCGTCCAGACCTTCCCAGCCTCCAGGCACCATGTGGCTTCTTTTGAATCTCAGCAGTATTAAATCCTCCCTCTTTCCCCGCAAAGGATGAGAGAGGCTCCTCCTTTCCCTTCGCTCTGCCCCACAGTTATGATATGTGTGTGCTTGTGTGTATAATTTTTTAAATATTAAATTTATATTTAATATAAAATATTTTTATATGAAATATTTTTTTAAAAAAAATTCATATTAGTGGTGCTCGGAATTTAAAAGAATGAGTTTGGTGGTCCTTGAGGTCCAAAAGGTTAGTGACCCCTGCTCTATGCAGGTCGGAATGGGACTTTTAGATTCCTACCCTTGGCTGCACCTGCTTCTCCACCAAGGTCCCGCCTCTGCACATTAATATCTAGCTTTTCTCCTCACTGGCCATCCAAGTCCCACCCAGCATCTAGAGATCCCTGCTGCCAGATGTGGGGAGGGGAGGAAGGGAAGGGGAGGGAGGGAGGGAGGGAGGAAGGAAGGAAGAGGAAGGAAGGGAGGGAGAGAAGTAAGAATAGTGGGTGTGGTGTCTGGCAGCAGGGATCTCTGGGTGCTGGGTGGGACCTTCAGCACAGGGGTTGCTTGCAAGGGTTACAATTGCAGGGGATAATTCCAGAAGTTGTGGTCTTTATGGTAGAAGCTTGGAGCTTCCCCTCCCAGAGAACCTGGGAGTCTGTAGAGAGGACTGTCATTTATAACGGTCACAGCATCCTGGAGTCACATGATCTCCCTTTTGCAACCATCTGGGGAATCAGCTTCGCTTAACCATCGTCTGATTGACTTAAACAACAATCCACTTAATAGCGCTGGCAAGAAAGCTCATAAAATGGGTCCAAGTTCACTGGAACGGTTCTCAGCAAGGAGATTCGAGACTCAATGGTGACATACAGTAAGTTGAGGGGTACCCTTCCCCTTCCCTTAAGAGTATGTCACTCACTGGTAATCCAGCAGGTCTTTGCTCTCAAATTCTCAATCTGGTCCACAGTAATTGGCATCCACTGTTGGAGGATGGATTGAGAAAAATGCATCGAAATTCACTTCAACAATGCTCTTGCTTAGCAACCAAAATTTTGGCCTCAATTGTGGTCGTAAGTTGAGGACTATCTCTGCTTTCCTCTGCATGGCAGCTTTATCCTAGTAAACTTCCCTTTTCTGGGAATTTTCCTCCCTATTAGAGACACTAAAATAACCCAAATAAGGTCTCCTGCTGGAGGAGGCGGTTGATGACCTCCAAGGTTCCTTCCAGCCCTGGATTGCTGTGCCATTTCAAAGTGTCCTCTGAAACTGCATCTAGTGCCAGGGATTGTGGTCCTTCCTTCCTCTCCTTTTTCCCTCCCTCCCTCCATATCTCATGCACTTTCTTTTTTTCTTTCTTTTTTTCTTTCATTCTTTCTCTCTGTCTCTGTCTCTCTCTCTCTCCCTTTTCTTCCTTGTCTCTCTTCTCTCTCCCTCCTCTCTTTCCTTTCTCCTTTCCTCTCTCTTTTTAAGGCTACCTGAATCAAAAACTCCTTTGGATGAAGCTAACTTACTTACCACCCCCACCACCCCTGTTCTTCCCTTCCAACTGAACCTGGGTGGCCATCGGAACAGCAAACACTGCCGGTTTGGTGGCAGGGAGGCATAGTCAGGTACAGGGGAGCTTCCACCCTCTCTCCCCTGCCTTCTAACAAGTGCCTGAGACCGTTTGGCTGCAGCACCTCCCCCAAAGCCCCCCAGATCCTGTGATCAATTCCACTTTGACTTCTGGCTGCCAACATTGGCAGTTAGCCGAGTGGCTGGTGGCTAACTGTCCCATGCAGCCAAATGCCCAGGACAAAAGCTGTTTAGGCTAGAGGTTGCCAACCAGTGAGAAAATTTTGGTGATCTGCAGTGCACCTGTGCCTGCCACAGGGGTGATACCAGCAGCAGATGGACTGGGTAGTACGTGGGAGATCGCTGCATTGGAGGCCTTCCCGGGTGTTCTCTGGCCTGCAAGGCGAGGACACAATCTCCTGGGCCCCTCCCGTCAGGAGCTGCAAAGCGCTCGCTGCTCCTCTGGCAGCTGCTAAGCCTCCTCCAACCGTGCTTCTCTTCCTCCGCCCCAGAAGCACTCACACGCCCAGTGGGAACGAGGAGGCTTGGCAGATGCCAGAGGGGTGGCGAGAACTTTGCAGTTCCTGAGGGGAGGAGTTGATCCTCCCCCTCGCAACATCTTCACCTGAGGGCATTGCTGGCAGCTGCTTCCTGTGGCTCAGGAAATCTGAACTTTTTCCACTGCTGCTCAGCTTCCTCGATGCATGGATGTAGGAGGCAGCAGTCACAATGCAGGTTTACTAGGGAGACTATAGGATGCCCCATTTCCTGCCAGCCATCTGGTCTTCAGCATGTGGCTCGTCGGCCTCCGGACATTAGATTCCCACCATCCAGCACCAGTTCAGAATTTCCTCCCCCCTCCCACCTCCAGGGACATAGAGGGGGGGGAGAGAGATAGAGAGACAAGATACAGAGAGAGGGGGGGAAAGAGAGAGATGAGAGATCCTGGTGTTTTGTTTTCTGTGGGAAACGGGCCCAAATGACTTTGAGTATTTAAGGTTGCAGAAACGCAGCCCAGGCTAAGTGCCTGAAGGACCCCATCCCATCAGTGGGAGTCCAGGCACTGCAGCGAGTGGCCTCCTGGATTCATATTAGTGGTCTGTGGGATTTAAAATTATGAATTTGGTGGTCCCTGAGGTCCAAAAGGTTGGAGACCCCTGGTTTAGGCGAATGGCCCACGCTGAAAGGCATGGGATGGAGAGGCCATGGCCTATTGGCCAAGGCAAGCAGTTAGGGGAGGCCAGCCAAGGAGAAAAGCTAGAGGTTAATCCACATAGGCAGGAGCCTGGCGGAGAAGCAGGCACGGCCAAGGGTAGGAGCTTAAAAGTCCTAGAGCCATACAGGTAGTCCTCACAATTACAGTTGAACCCAAAATTTCCATTGCTTTGCCCATTTTACGACCTTTCTTGCCACAGTTGAATCAAGTTAATCAAGTGTACGTGTTGAGTCAATAACATGGTTGTTCAGTGAATCACATGACTTCCTTGTTGACTTCCCTTGTCAGAAAGTCACAAAAGGGGATCATATGACCCTGGGAAACTGCAACCATGACAATTGTAAAAATGGTCATAAGTCACCTCATGCCATGATAACTTTGAATGTCCTTAGACAAATTGTTGTAAGTTGAGGACTACCTATAGTGATAAGTAATCGTATCTGTTGATTTTAATTAGTATTAATACTAATGCTACTTGTAAACAACGTTAGATCTAATTATTGTAACTTAAAAAAAACATAGTATATCCATGCTAGTTTAAAGACTTGTTTTGAAATCTTAATTTATACTTACATATTTCTGTTTTCAAGGAGCTAACATCAATGCTCAGACAGAAGAGACCCAAGAAACTGCCTTAACTTTAGCATGCTGTGGTGGCTTTTTGGAAGTAGCTGACTTCCTAATCAAAGCAGGAGCTGATATAGAACTTGGCTGTTCAACACCTTTAATGGAAGCTGCTCAAGAGGGTCACTTGGAGCTAGTTAAATATTTATTGGCTGCAGGTATGGCATTAATCTCTGAGCATTTATTGTTTCAGATTAAAACAGAAAACTTTAATAAATCCTTGCTATCTATGAGTAGTTTTGCCTATTGGGTATACCTTTTCCATATATGCCACTGTACCTGAATATTAATTTGTTTTGTTTGCTTGTTTACTTTTTTGAGAAACATCTATGCAATAACAGAATCCCCCCCCCCAATAATAATAGGGCATTGCATTTTTTGAATATTTTTGAATACAATAAGATTTCTATAAACTGTCCTAATAAAGAACATTGGGATTCATTTATTTTTTCTAAGAATAATGTTATTTGTATTACTTCAGGAGCTAATGTGCATGCAACAACAGCAACGGGCGACACAGCACTTACATATGCGTGTGAAAATGGTCATACCGATGTTGCAGATGTGCTGCTTCAAGCAGATGCTGATTTGGTAAGCTACCTAATGAATTTTTTTACTCTCTTACTAAGTTTGATACTGAGTTTATTCTTACTTGACCAAATCAAAAATAAGGTGCTGAATATTAGCAGGGTTATTTTTTTCCTGGAAGATAAAGCTATACTATGAGTTGAGAACTCACAGAATTCTGGTTTTTAGTCAGGTGCCTTAAGCACTACACCAAACTGGCTCTCATTATACAAGCATAGATGTGATTTAAACATACTAAGATACATTCTAGTAGTAGCACTACTTTTGTCATACATTTGCAGTTTCATGTGACTTATCAGGAAAAAGTTTCATTTTCAAAAGTGGCCCTTCCTTATATATATTGTAGACTATAAAGCATATTCAATTTAAATTAATCAATGGCAATACTGTTAAGGGGACAGAGTAAGAATGCAGTTGTATGTGATGTAAAGTGACTGAATATTTTTTTTCATCAGCCAAACTCTATCCCAGATGCAATTAGATATCTGGAGTTGGTTTCTGTTGACAGACTAAAACTGCTGTTGGTATACTAAGTGCCATGGGCATCTGGAAACCATTGGAATTCCTGGCTGATGTCAGCTTCTATGCCTGGGTCCAGGGTGGCTTGCAATTTCATGACTTCCCATGCAATTATGAGCTTGAGACAAGTAACTGTGACAGTAATCCACTTCATAGGGGACATGTTTGACTTGTTCTTTATTTCAGAACAATTATTTGATTTGAATATGGGAATATTAAAATTAGTCTTTTAACAGAATAACAGGTTTGGAAGGGAACTTGAAGATCTAATCTAACCCCCTGCTCTATACCATTTCAGACAAATGGTTGTCCAATCTCTTCTTAAAAATCTCCATGCTGGAGAACCACAACTTTTGAAGGCAAGCTATTCCACTGATTAATTGTTTTCACAGTTAGGAAATTTCTCTTTAGTTCTAAGTTACTTCTCACCTTGATTAAGTTTCTGGCTGTTGTTTCTTGTCTTATTTTCTGGTGCTTTGGAAAATATGTTGACTCCCCTTTTCTTTGTGGTAGCCCCCCAAATATTGGAACACTGCTATCTTGTCATCATAGTTGTTCTTTTCACTAGATTAGACATATCCAGTACCTGCAGCCATTCTTCATATGTTTTATCTTCCAGCCCCCTAATTATTTTTGTTGTACCTTTCTGCACTTTTTCCAGAGCGTCTACATCTTTTACACTACAGCGACCAAAGCCTCGATGCATATTCCAAGTGGCCTTACTAAGGCTTTATAAAGTGGTACTAATACTTCTAACCTTATTTTAATGCAGCCTAGGATTTTACTGCCTTTTTTGGCTGCTGCCACGTAATGCTGATTCATATTTAAGTGATTGTCCACTAGAACTCCAAGATACCTCACATAGTTACTGCTATTGAGCCAGGTTTCACCTAATCTGTATCTGTGCATACGTTTTGGTGCCCACGTGTAAAACCTTACGTTTCTCTACATTGAATTTCATTTTGTTAGATAGGGCTGAGTGTTCAAATCTTTTGAGATCTTTTTGGGTTTTGAGTCTAGCTTTGGGCGCATTGGCTGCCAGTTTAGTATCGTCTGCGAATTTGATGAGTTCACCTTCTGTTCCCTCATCTAAATAGTTTATGAAGATGTTGAAGTGTATAGTGGTGAAGCATCACTTCTTTATCAAGCTTTACTTCATGGGACCTGGATTTTTACCAGATTCTTTAGATTAGTCTACGCTAGGCACTTGACAGATTTGAAAAGTTTCCAGACAATAGAATTTTGTAGCAATTCTGTCTTGTGCCTGGGCAATCTGTAAAATTTTGTGGTGGGGGCGAGTGGGCTAAGTATCAAGCCATAACTTTATTTTCAGTGCAGCCATAATATGAAAGAACTTTTGGCAATACACAATAACAAATATTACCATGACAAAAAAAAGCCAGCATCACAATAAATTTCAGTGATAATTAAAATTGAAGATAGGTGTATATAATTAAAAAGTGGAGTTTTAATAGGACAACTTAATATTTACTAAGAATACTTAAGGAAAAAAACAGATATTGGACCTTTTTTTTTTTTTTTTGCTATCCATTACTTTAGGGCAGGGCTATCAAACTTGCGGCCCATGGGCTGGATGCTTCATGTGCTGGCCACTCCTACTCCCGGTTTACCAAAGGGGGAAAAAGTCACGCTACATCATGTCTCATGTGATGATAATGTGATATTGCTAGTTTGACACCTGTGCTTTAGGGATATATATAGGTTGTGGTTGCTTTCTTAGTTAACTGTTATATAATTAGAGTCACTTCAGGTACTTTGGCCAAATAGCAACTAAGGATACCCTGGTACTGCATTTTCTGTCTCATAACCTAGTTGCAATGAGTTCATTTAATCACCATATTGCTGCAGCACTAGAATTTCATCATCTTTCTAAATCTTAACATGCTCTTCAAAATAGTGGAAGGAAGTTCATTTTCAGGGTTGTTATTTTATCCCATAGTCAGTGGTTTATCTCTGTGATGTAGGTAGTCCTAAACTCACAACCACAGTTGAGCTCAAAATTTCTGTTGTTAAATCAGACAGTTGTTAAATGAATTTTTGCCCCATTTTATGATCATTTTTGCCACATTTGTTAAGCGAATCACTGCAGTTGTTAAGTTAGCAACACAGTTGTTAAGTAAGTCTGGCTTCCCCACTGACTTGTCATAAGGTCGCCAAAGATGATCATATGAATGTGAGGCACTGCAATCATCATAAATGAGTCAGTTGCCAAGCTGCCAAGTCAGTTGCGTAAGTGTAGAAAATGGTCACAAATCACTTTTTTCAGTACTATTATAATTTTAAACACACATTAAATGAACAATTGTGAGAACAACTTTCCACAACATTCTGCCTTTGATGCAGTTTTTTTAAAATAATATTTTTGAAAGTTTGGAAATATTCCATCATAATTATATAAGGATGAGATGAGTAACAGATTATAGTGGCATGCATATTTTGCTCATTTTGCAAAAAATAAATTAAATTTAAAAAATTGAAACTATCTGAGAATTTTATTTTTTAAGTTGTTTTCCTCAATGTTTTTGTTCTTATAGGAACATGAATCTGAAGGGGGAAGAACTCCATTGATGAAAGCTGCAAGAGCAGGCCATGTCTGTACTGTTCAGTTCTTAATTAGTAAAGGTAGGGTTTACAAACAGTAAGTCATTTCTTTCGATGTTTTAATGGCCTCCTCTTTTTTAATAGTAATTTTATTAAATATTACAATTACAGTGATAAAAACTAATGCCATCTAAAAATAAAAGCATAAAAAGAAAAACAGAAATTGTAGAAAAGAAAAAATACACAAGAAAGAAAATAAGAATATAATAAAGGAAATACATAGAAACAATTTTAATAGCTTATCATCTTCTAATAAAATATAACAAATAATGTTCTCTTTCCATAATCCGGGTTTTATGTATAAACAAACCCTTAATACATCCTCATTTTAATCCTGATGTCAACAAGTGTCCATTAAAGATTATCAGGATAACCTACCTATTTTAATCTTGATTAAATAAACCAACTTTTTTTTTTCCTTTTACTTCTAACAGTCTTGAATTAGTCTCTTCAAATAATGTCAATAAAACTTAATTTTTTTTCAATTTTTCTTTGTCCCTTCTAATAAAATTTTTGGAAACTTTTAGCAAGTCTGTTTTGTAAATCCAAATGAAGAAAATTATCCAGATCACTCCATTGGTTTATTTGTATATCCCTTTTAAAGATTAAACTATCAGTCAGTTTCTTTTATATATCCAGGATACCACTGTTTTTTCCATGTCATTCTTGTAACCTGTTATTTTATCCCCTTTCGAATTACTCCCAATCTTGTGTCAAGTAGAATTTAAACATTATCTATAGAAATGGAGACTCTTAAAATTAATTTCTGGTTCATTGCTCCAGAATATCCTCCACGATGTCCAGTGTTAAAATATTTTGCTTCATTCTGTAATTGTAAGTCAAGTTTAAAAGTTCTGCTTTAATTGTAATCTTCAGTTCTCTATTGTATCCAGTTTTTAAAGTCTTACTATGTTTTTAAATTCAAAACACAAGCATTTTTCCATGCAAACTTTCTTTATAATTTATTTTAAAAACTTATTTCAAAATTACCTGGATACCATCTTTGATTTTATGAAATCAAAATTTTAATCACTATTTTGCTGTTAATTCTCCCCCTCATTTTTTAAAAAAAGTTCTTAAACTTGTAGCTAAACCTTTTGCTAAGAATTGAAGAAAACTCATCTGAGGTTTTAACACCTGTCCATCCAAAATTTCCTGGTAGTTGAAAAGCAGTTAACAATTTAGTAAAGGAAGTATGTGAAATCAGAATCCTTTCAAAGTCACTGTCTATGAGTAAGTTGGCTATTTCATCATCTCCCAGAACTCTAAACCTGCCAGAGCAGCTATAGGAGCACTTGTAGATGTTCTCAAATCCTCTCTTTCTCAGAGTGGAATTCCAGTCTGTTCACCAGCTCTTTGTTCCACACGTTTGTTAGTTCAGTTTTCTTAGGCCATTTCAGTCTGCCATTTCTTTCCCAAAGTACTTTAATGGGCTTTTCTGGTCCATTAGATATTTTAAGTTTTTCATGTTTTGATTTAAGAAAAATTCACCTGCTGACATTACATGACAGATATCTGTTCACCTTAAGTATCTGAAAAGTGAGCAGTCATTTGCTATATGATATAATTTCAGCTGGCAAAGTTATTAATGAGCAACTGAAATCCACTTGTACCTTAGTTCAGAAAATCATAATACAAGAAACTAATTTCTAGGAAACTTGTAAGTTCTGAGAATTCCCTCCAGCCCCAAATAGCAGTTGATTAAAAAGGTTAGAAATTGTTCCCTTTTTCCAAGGAAAACATCTCATTGTCTATATGAAAAGTACTAGAATCACATTTAAGTAAGTCTTGCTCAGATTTTTGAGGGGAAAAAAATAAGTAGAGTTAAGTATCATATTATTACTGGATTACAGGATTGTAACCTCAAGTAACAAAGGATAAAAATAGTAATTGTTTTTATTGTGTAAGAATAACAGAGAGACATTGAAGAGTTAAAAATATTGGAAAGGAGGAAGTTCTGGAATCAATTTTGAAACATTTCTCTCCTATTTTATATATGAGAAAAAGAAGAGTTACAGGCAGAGAGCTTTGAATGGCTTTTGTTTTCCCAATGCATTAATAACAGGAGCAAATGTGAACAGGACCACTGCTAACAATGATCATACAGTATTATCGCTTGCCTGTGCTGGAGGCCACCTGGCTGTTGTGGAATTGTTATTAGCTCATGGAGCTGATCCTACACACAGACTAAAAGTACGTGTTGGTTTTTTTTCCCTTCATTTAATTACCTATTGTTTGAATATTTCATTGAGGACAGCTTTTGGAAGTTTATCATCAGGAACCAAAACATAATAATGTATCACTTAAGTTGTAACTGGTTTTTCAGTTGTAACTGGTTTTTCATTTTCAATGAGTTCTTACATGAAATGTTTCTTTAAATTTGTATTCATTGTGCTCAATCTCCAGGTGAAAAGGCAAAACAAAAAACAAAAAAAACTCTTAAAATAAATTGCCAGTTTAAACTACTGTTCAAATATTGAGATATATTCTGAGTAATATTCACGTGCTTGTCAAAAGAGATGCAAAGTGTACTGTTTTTATTCCATTATTTCTTTATAGGATGGCTCAACCATGCTAATAGAAGCTGCTAAGGGGGGCCATACAAGTGTAGTTTGTTATCTGTTGGATTATCCTAACAACCTACTTTCTGCTCCTCCACCTGAATCTACACAGTTGACTCCTCCATCTCATGATTTAAATAGGGTATGATTGTTTATGTGTATCTTCTGGTTTTTATTTATGTTTTATTTTTTTCATATGTTAAAACAATGTCCATTAATTTGGAAATAGGCATTGCATTCAATAATTTGTAGATGACTTGGTAAATTATGATCAGCAACTACTATTATCAAAAGGAATAATCTTTTCATGAGTTTCTTTTAATGACTTCTGCTTCCAAAGAAAATTTATTGTAGGAAAATTTATGAGTTATTCTTTTCAATTTTTTTATTGAGCTAATTGTTTTTTTAATCATACTATATCTACATTATTAAAATGTCTTATAGTTGGATACTTTGTAAAAATACTTCTGTTATTGCCAAGAATGTAAACTATGAACTGATAGGGCATTTTAAACCTGTAATAATTAATACTTAATTGTGAAATATTTAATGCATGCTTTTCTCTTCTGATATTGTGTTTTGATCATGCAGGAAAATAATCCTAGTGTCCTGTTTTTTAGGCTCCTCGTGTACCAGTGCAGGCACTTCCCATGGTAGTTCCACCTCAAGAGCCTGACAAACCTCCTGCTAATGTTACCACCACCCTTCCCATCAGAAACAAAGGTTAGTTAGTTATACCTCATATATTATTGCTACCACATATTTTAAGTAACATATGAAATATATTATTGGGATGTTTTTTAAAAAATACTATGCTATGTTCGTTTTAAAGAAATAAACCTTCCTTTATATATGACTAGTTGTGTTTCCAACTTCTGTTTTTAAAATAAATCAGATACTTTATACAGCAGAAAAACTGGGGAAACACTATGGTATATTTTTTAAAATATTTTTGCCCAAATACAATTAACATTCAGTTTCAACATTCACATTTGAATTTTGAAATCTGAAAACTTTAGTACATTTTTTCTGTAAAATATTAAAAATTTCTTGCTGTTTTATGAAAAAAATATTTTAAAATATGCTAGAGGATAAAATATTTCCATGATAAATAATAGAACATTGCAATTCACTTTAATAATTTTACTTTTTGTTTATTTTTGATTTTAAATTTTTGCCCAAACAGCACATAAAAAAGCCCCTAAAATATCTTTCATGACCTTGTTTAATTATTTTAAGCATATTTTGATGCAGAAAGACAAAAATATTTGCTTATCTTAGCCAAGATAATTTATGATTGATAAGTATAAAGTGATATATGTACTGTAGTAGATAAACATTCCTTCTTTTCTCAAAGAGTTCATGGTGGCATACATAGTGTTTTCCCATTCAGCTTTTCTCATAGGAATCATGGCAGGGATAACTTGAATTAAGGGATAGTAACTGACCGATAGTTACTCAGTGAACTTGCATGCTTATATAAGGTTTAAACTTGCATGGAGATATGTTTATAGATTTCATATTGATTTTATTAACATTAAACTATCATTTTAGGATAATTAGTTTGATATTTTTCCTCTCTTTACAAACCTTGTGAACATTGTTTATGTATTGATATCCATATGCCTTGAACCTGGCCTTTTTTGATCACATAGGTTATTTAATTGCATCTTAAATGCCTATTTATCTTTTGAATAAAATTTGCATAATAGGACAACATTGTTACTGAAGAAAATAAATAGCTGTAAAAGAATTTGTTTCAATGTAGGTTTTTGTTGGTAGTAAAGAACTCTATTCTCCAACAGCTAAGCAATTTAGAATTATAGTTTATTTTTTAACAAAACATTCAAAGATATTAGGCATATCTTTTTCCCTTAGCATTTACATCTCTGGTAGGTGTCATCTTTGTGCTTGATTGATCGGTAGATCTGTAATAAGAATGCTGTTCATGTGGACTTCCATTTGGTTCTGAGGGAGTGTCTCTTTCATACAGCCATTTCCAAACAAAAGTCCAGCAGCCATTTGCAGCCATCCAATCCAGAAGTACAAGGTTACATCGCTAATCAGTCTCCAGAAAGCATTGTTGAGGAGGCTCAGGGCAAGCTGACAGAATTAGAGCAAAGAATAAAGGAAGCCATAGAAAAGAATGCACAGCTTCAGTCTTTGGAATTGGCACATGCTGATCAGCTCACTAAGGAGAAGATTGAGGAGCTGAACAAAACTAGAGAAGAACAAATTCAGAAGAAGCAAAAGATCTTAGAAGAGTTGCAGAAAGTAGAGCGAGAACTGCAACTGAAAACACAACAGCAATTGAAAAAACAATATCTGGAAGTTAAAGCGCAGAGAATTCAGTTGCAGCAGCAACAACAGTCTTGTCAGCATTTGGGAATATTAACTCCTGTTGAGATTGAAGACCAACTTACTGAAGAAGATTATGCCCGCATACGACAGGTGGACCCATACTTACTCACTGATGAGCCTATGCCAGCAGTAAATCAGATGGGTTTTGCTCCAGTACAGCCTCTAGCAATGCCACAAGCTTTGCCTCTGTCTACAAGTTCTTTACCACCAGGTTCTATGGCAAATCTTTCAGAACTCCAAAGTGTTATAGTTGGACAGCCAGTTCTGGGCCAAGCACAACTTACAGGGCTGGGACAAGGAATTCTGGCAGATGCACAGCAAGGGTTAATGGTTGCCAGCCCTGCCCAAACCCTCAATGACACACTGGATGACATCATGGCAGGTTTGTATGAATTGTTAAATGCAGATAAAATATCAGTGCCGAAAACTTTTGAATATATCAACATCTTTATTTTGTTTCAATGTCACAAAGACTGGATTATTTTAGCTTGTTCTTAATTACTATTTAAGCTGATGTCTCCATTTCAAGTGTTGTCTACCTGGTTTGTTAAAATAGACCAGTATTATTTGGAAAATGACAATTTATAGCATAAATGAAGAGTTTTGAAATAGTGCAGGAACAACAATAGTGTTTCTGGTCATGTTCAATATCTCCAGCAGAAGTGATTGGTAGTCACATGAAGTGAGTAAAAAAGCATTCCTGCTGTCAAGTATATTGTCCCTTGTGTCCCAGGCCCTAAATTATATGTATTTGCCTTGATAATATTCCTGACTCCTTGTTTCCCAAGCACCTATGAATAAATTTCACTGTTCTATAAGCCTTGCAGCACTTACACTTTCTAAAAATACATGTGGAAAAACATATTTATTAAATTTTCCTTTGAATTAAACAAAATTTAAAATGGAAAGACAGAGTGCATTGCTTCCTTTTTTAACTCAACTGAAACAGTCTAAAATATAATAACCCAGATACAGTAAATTCCAATGCATAGCTACATAGCTTTGTGTTGCTGGTACTATTTCTCTCCCCTTTATCCTCATTGCTTAGAAAACTGAATAGGGAAGCTCTTGCAATGCAACTGGAATTTCTAAGCTGCCCAAAGTGAAAGAGTTTTATTTTGTTTGACAAAATAGCAATAGCACTTAGACTTATATACCACTTCACAGTACTTTATAGCCCTCTCTAAGAGGTTTACAGAGGCAGCATATTGCTACCAACAATCTGGGTCCTCATTTTACTGACCTTGGAAGGATGGAAGGATGAGTCAACCTTGAGCTGGTCAGGATCAAATGCCTGGCAGTGGGCAGACTTAACCCACAATACTGCATTCTAACCACTGCGCCACCATAATTCTCTTAAAATAACGCAAACTACGCATAGAGTTCATATTATGGAGTGTTTCCTTTCACTAAGTGATGCGAGTCAGGACTTATTTGGCCAACAAGAAGACTATTTACAACTAATATCTTCCCAATATTATTATAACTAGAATTGTGCTATTTTTTTCAGTATTATCAGCATCTACATAATTAAATATTATATTCTGCAACCTATTGAGTTTTGGTCTAGATTCAAAATAAGTCAGATTCTCCATTGCTTCTTGAATATACCATTACCATAATTCTAAATCAGCTTGCATATAACATGGTCATCATCTAAATAAGAAAATTCTGAAACACAACTAAGAATAGTTGATGAATTAAACAAATTGGAATTAGATTTAAACAAGAAAATGTAGGGCTCTTCAGAAATGTGTGATGTATCTGATTCACCCTTACTAATTTTCTAATGTAAAGGAGATTTCCTTATTGCTACTAACAGTGTCAAGTAAGAGTTTGAGTAATTATTTATTATTTCTTCATGGTCATAATAACTTCCTTATAATTTTAAGGAATAAGGAATTGCAATATGCTTTAGCTTTTTGTTAACATTGCTTAGGTAGCAATTTTAGAATTCAAAAGATTTCCATAATCTCTGGACAAAATTATTTGTTCCACTGCTAACTAGTTTAATTTTAAAAAGTAAAGATAACATAGGAGTTCTGTGTCTGAATTTTTTGTTTCCTTTAAGTAATATTCTCAGATTATGATTTTATTCTGTCCAGTTAGCATTTTTGGAAGAAAAACATATCAGAAGTCCTTTAAACATTTAAATAAACTAAATTAAAATCTCCTAGAATGGATCGAATATTGTGCCTATATTAAGGAATTCCTAAGGCTCTTTTCACTAATATTCTAACACTTTCCAATTTAATTGCAACTATGATTTTGTTGGTAATACATTGGGTATTACAGTAATATGCAGGAAAAGAAGCAACTCTTATTAGACATTGTGGAAATGAATAATTAAATTGGTGTAAACTGCTTTTAGGAAAATTCTCATTACATTGAATCAGGTTGCTTCCTTCTCAACTGTATTTTCAGAAGGATGAGAAAAATATTGCAGCCATTTGTTCCTTGCTATAGATAATTCTCAGATAAGACCCATTTTTAACTGTTTGATCTATTGTGATTTCTCAGTGGTTGTTATCATTTAAAAAAGATATTCTGGGACATCCAAGAGGATAGTTAGTTATAAAGTTAATAAATCAAGTTATTCTCTTTAATAGCAGTGAGTGGAAGAGCATCTGCAGTCTCAAATACCCCTACCCACAGCATTGCAACATGTGTTTCCCAACCTCAGACACCTGCTCCTAGTCCTATCATTTCTCCTTCAACCCTGCTACCGGTTTATCCTGCCATTGATATTGATGCACAGGTAAGTCTAAAATAAAATTTATTCTCCTTTGAAATGAAATACAAATTAAAAGAAAGGAAAATAGAAATTCTGCTATTTGCGAGACTTGAGGAAGAATTTGTTTCAAAAAGTATTATATGCTTTGAAAGATTGAATATTTCTCTAATCATTCTTTGAACTTCAGATATGCATAATATTTAATAAATGTGCATAATATTTAATAAATATGTGAAAAGAATGATTACAGAGGAGTTGTAGTTGAATTTTGATTATTCGTTCAGGTTTTTTTCATACTTTATGTGGAATGCAAGTATCTTCCCTTTTGTTTTCACAAAACTAAACCCAAGAGAATTTTATATTTTAGTGCTGTTAAGAATGTTCAGACCTAATTAAATATCCAGAGATGAATAAGTATGTGATATGGCCTTAAATATTCATGATTTCCTTTACTATGTTGAACATGGGAACCAGTTTGAATTGGATTATTTTTCATAAAAGATAATCCAGGATTAAGCTGTGGTTTCATATATTGGTTTATTAATTAAATGCTAGAACAAATACAAGCATTTTAATGACTGTTTTTTTTAAAGACTGAAAGTAACCATGACACAGCACTGACTCTTGCTTGTGCTGGCGGACATGAAGAACTAGTACAAACTCTTTTAGAGAGGGGAGCTAATATTGAACACAGGGACAAAAAGGGTGAGTATCTGCTGATAAAATAATCAGTCAACTTGTAGATTCCACATGCATGTGTGATTGTGTATTCCAATAGAAGTAGATTCAGAGAGACTCTTGCATTGCAGTAAAACAACTCAAAGTAAGATGCAAATCTGTATTCTGTAATATTTTTATTCAAAGTTAATTTTGTATCAAATTATTTGTATTTTAAGTTTTGGTCCTCTTATTAAAAGTCACCTTTCAATAAGAGTAGAGAAGGATAATATATGTGGGAAAAAGCAGTCTCCACTGTAGTTCCAACTCTTGCCTCACTGTCCAGATCTAGGACCACAACATCGCATCTTTTCTTATTTAGGCTATAGTTTAGACCTAGGATAATTTATCTGAAACTTGAGTTCATGGAACCAAAATTCTTCTGCTTAGGCAGTTCGGATCCCATGAGGAATTAATCATTCATTTGATTACTTTCCATTTTTCTCATACCAGTTTCTGGTGACATCAATTCAAATGATTTCATCTGGTGATCATCCCTCCAATTTAGTCACAAGCTTAGACATTTGAGGGGGTTGGAAACTAAGTTTGGGCAAAGTGTCTGACTCTGCCTGTGGCTGTCAGCATGAAGTTGTCACTAACAGATAACATTGTCTAAAATGGTTCAAATTTATAGAATTTTTCTTGCCACAGAAAAAAACAGATCTCCAGGGTTTTGAAATGTGGCTTCATACCAGGTAGGTTTGGGAGAATGCCAATCCTGTCAAATCTTACCAAATTAGCATCTACCATTGGAGAAGGTTTATGGTATATGAAGACAAATATTAAAGCTCAGAGAAATCACACTGATTAGGATTAGGACAGTTGTAATACATGACTATGAAAACTGGAGGATCCAGAAAGGTTAAATGGGGAATAATTGATGCCTTTTAAGTGTGAGACTGAAAGAAAACATTGAAAATGTTTGGATCAAAAGAAAAATCACTCAATATTAAATGAAAAAGGAAAGCAGGCAACTGATAAAAATATTAATAACGAAGCTAAATATTTCAGATATGCAATGTGAGGTCAAGACTTATTTGGTAAAAACTGATGCATAGAAAAATCAAGTAACTGCAAAAGAGGCCAACATGAGACAAGTTAATTAGATCTTGTATTTCTAATGTCCAGTTTTAAAAATTGAATTGACAGAAGCATGGGTATACAGAAACTGAAAGCAATTACAAATTGTTCTGGAAAAATAAAGTCTATCAAATCACAAAGATTTGAAAGCAGCTGCATAATAGAATATGAACAATTACCAGAAATCTATTATTATTATGTACTCTGGAGCAATGAAGAAAATGTCTTGATCTTTAATATGACATGGCCATAAAAAGATTGATAACACTAAATACCCTCATTTTCTCTCTCTCTCCTCATAGCTTAGTTTCTATTTTTCTGATCATCCTCATTGACTTTATCTGGATCTATTTCATTTATTTGAAACCATCTTTAAAATGTTGGTTTCTTGATCTGAATACAATATTAAAATAGGCTTGTCCTAAGCAGAATACAAAGAACTTCTAATACGGTGGTTTGGAAATTATACTGTTAATGCATGTAAGATTCCATTTGCTTTTTACAGACACATCACATAGTCAGATCTTACCTAGTTTATAATGAACTTTTAGATCTTTTTCACAAGTATTGCTGCCAAGTCATATATCGGTTTTATACTTGGTATTTGATTTTTCTTTCCTAACTAAAGACTTTTGCATTTATCTCTTAAATTTCATTTTGTTACCTTTCAGTCTTCTTGTATAGCAGACAAGATCATTTTGAACTTTATTCAATTTTCTAGATTATTAACTACCCATCAAATGACTTCCTTATTCAAACAACAATATTGAAAAATACAAGGCTCAGAACCAAACAATGAAGCATCTCATTTAATGTCTTTATCTAATATAGTGAGACACCCTTGCTAAAAGCTCTGAGTATGATTTTTGAGTCAGCTATGTTTCAATTTAATTATCATTGCCATCTCAGTTACATGTTACTATGAATATCATGTGGTATTTTGTCAATAAAGTTTTTGGTATTCCCAAACTACTTAAGCCCGTATAATATCTCCAAAGTCTTTTGTAAATAGAATTGCACCTTCTTTATTTGCAGAAGTTATGAAAGATCTGTACAAATTGATGGCTGACTGGTTTGTGTTAGGGGACCTGAATCAGAGAAAATGATGCTTTCATTAGAGGGCTTTTAGTTTAACTATCAGATAGTGAAAATGCCAATATTAAAACTGTTTGCTTCTCCAGTCACCACCCAGAGATTTGTTTCTGAATTTCCCACCTAAGGAGCCGAATGATTATGTTATGCTCATTCATCTCTTCTGAGTTGATTGGATGCTGCACAAGGCTATGTTGAAAAAAGTGAAACTGATCCAGGTGTTATTTTTTTATTAGCCCAGAAGACCTGGATTATCAGTTGTCAATAAATTCATCTTTGCCAGTGTTTTTGAACATCATTTCTCAATCCATGAACTTGATTCCAGAGTGTTGACATCTTTATGAAGAAGTTATTTCAACTATTTCAGATTCTTGCATGAACTCTTCTCATTCATAAATGATTTGAAAAGCCTTTTGTTTAGGGTATCAGAGAAAAAAAATGTAGCCTGCAAAAGTTCTGGTCTTTTATCAATCAGATCTGAATAAATATTCTTGAGCAAAACATATTACCTAGTTAGGTCTCTGGTCTGTTGCCAGTTCTTTTGGTCAATAATTTATCATCATTAACTTTATACCCTCAGTAGAATCAAGATTTATCTTACTTACGTTTGTTTTGTGCAAGCATCAGGAAGAAGAGGAGATATAAGTGGAATATTGAATATGTAAGAATTAGAGCTGAAGGAGCCCATAGTTCAGATCATCTCTGTATTTCCTTTTTGCAAGGGTCTCTTCTTTATATCCAAGGGGCCTGAAGGAGTGCCTCACTTAGTGCATGAGCCTCAGGTGACTTCTTGTTCTAGGGGACTCATGGCTCCTTCCATTAAGAGCATTGCTACTTCTTTGGCATTCACTACTAATGAGCCTTCAGAGAATATTTATACTGCACCTGTATAATCTCACTTCTCTGCATTATTACTGAGTGGATATATACTCATTAGTCAAAATGTCCTTGCTAAGCAGTCTTATAAGTAGGTGATGCCATTGTCCTAAGAGGTTTGGAGTATATCTTTTCTCCCTCAAGGCTGTTATAGTGGTGTGTGGCAGCGAGAACCCTTTTTGCCACAATGAAAAAATGACATGCTGGTATTTAACTGTGGAAAGGTCATTTTCCGTAGTGGATGGAAGGTATCCAGCTTTCCCTCAAATGAATTGGCTTGCAGACAGGGAATTGGATATCAACGGGAATTAGCTGTTACATATTTTCCCCCTATTTTTGAAGACTACAAATGAAGGGAGGGGGTAGCTTCCCACCATAGATAGGCAATTCAGAAAACAGTACCTGTCATCCATTTTGGGGAAAAAATGTTATTGTAAGTACTTATGTACCAATTTAAACAGCGATACAGATTTTAAAAGGAAACATTTTAAATGATATCTACTTTTTTTTTCAGGGTTTACTCCACTTATTTTGGCTGCTACTGCAGGTCATGTTGGTGTTGTAGAGATTTTGTTAGATAATGGTGCAGATATTGAAGCTCAGTCTGAAAGGACCAAGGACACACCATTATCTCTAGCTTGCTCTGGAGGAAGACAAGAGGTAAAATATTAAAAATTGTTGTATGTTTTTCTTATAAAGGTAAAGTTCAGATCCCCAATATTCTTCAGAAGCCATTTTCGCCAAAACCAAGAGATATTTTGTAAATACTGGTATTAGTAATGCTAGTGGATGCTTGAGAAATTCCACAGAAGTAATAGGAAATTTATTTTGAAATATTTGGATTACTTACTTACTTATCTTTTTATTTATTAATTTATTTATAAAATTTATTGACTACCCATCTTATCACAGGGAAACTCTTGGTAGCTTATGTTTTCTAATAATCATGTTTTTATTGCAGTATTTAATATAATAACTTGCATGTACTTTTATTTCATGTATGATGTTAATTCATAATTTGTTCAAACAAGGTTCAAATCCTTTCCGGAATCCTGGTTTATATCATAACCACAGTTCTTTAGTCCAGGCTTGCTAACAGAGTACTTTGATTAGCTTCAAAGTCAATATTCTAACAGTCACTTTCTGAGTAAGCCAGAGGAATAGTAGAGAAATCTCAACTCAAGCATGTCAATATTGAATGTAGTGTTGTATGCACACCATATTATTTATATTATAATTGCATTGAATTTATAACATTTAATCAATACTTTATTTTTCTTTACCTTGGTTAAATACTAACTGAAGATTATGAGACACATGCTGAACAAGACCAGTACTTACCTACTCTGATATTCTGTCCAATAGCTAACCAGAAAACTTTTAGGCTGGACTATAATGGCACTTATCATATTTTCTGAGTATAAGACACTCTGAAGTATAAGGTGCACCTAGCTTTTGGGAAGGAAAACAAGGGAAAAAAATCTGCCTCTGCCTTCCAGCAATTTGCCTCCTTACAGCAAACAGCCTGTTTCAGCTTCAGCACAATCTGATTAACACAAGCAGCTGATTGTTGGATGGATCGGCCTCCCAACGATCAGCTGTTTCAAGCTGCAGGGATTGCAATAGCTTATTGCTGCCTCGACTCGCCCCATCTTCAACCTCCGCATCCTGTTTTCAGCCTCCTCAAGCCCCGTTTTTAGCCTCCGCATACCGCATTTTAGGCCTCTGTGTGCCCCATTTTTGGACTGTTCCAGGTGGCGGGGATCAGAACAGGTGGAAAATGGCATATGGAGGCCAAAAATGGGAATGCAGAGGCCAAAAATGGAGTGCACAGAGGTGGCAATAGGAAATGGCGATCCCTGTAGCCTGAAACAGCTGTTTGTCAGGTGGCCAATCCAACTGACAATCAGATGTTTGTGCTAATCAGGCCAGAGGTCACCAACCAGTGGTCCACGAAAAAATTTTGGTGGTTTGCAGCGCACTTTTGTTTGCAACAGGAGTGATACCACTGGCGGATGGACTAATGCACGTGGGGAGGGAGGGTAATGCATGGGAGATTGTGGCATTGGAGCCCTTCCTGGGCCTGCGAGGGGAGGGTGCAGTCTTCCACACCCCTCCCCTCAGGGGCCGCAAAGCACTCGTCACCCCTCTGGCAGCCACCACAGCTCCTCCCACCATGCTTCTCTTCCTTCTTGCCAGAAGCACTTACACGCCCAGCAGGAAGGAGAGGCAGCAAGCACTTTGAGGCTCCTGAGGGGAGGGGTCAAGCCTCCCCCTCGCAACATCTTCATCTGAGGGCATCGCTGGCAGCCACTTCCTGCAGATCAGGAGGTCCCTGCTCCTCCCGCTGTTGCAGAAAGCTAGGGAGACTACAGGATTGCCCCACCTCCCCGCCAGCCATCTGGTCTTCAGCACATGGCTCGTCAGCCTCCGAACATCAGATTTCCACACCCAGCACCAATTCAGTGGTTCCTTTCCCCCCACCCCACCCTGGGGACAGAGAGAGGGCAGGGGAAAGAGAAAGAGAGACAACACACACAAACACACACACACGGACAGAGAGAGGGAGAGAGGTAGCAAGAGGAAAAGAGACAAGACACAGAGAGAAAGAGGGAGAAAGGGAGGTGGGGAAGAGAGAGACGAGAAAAAGAGGGCGAAAGAGAAGGAAAGAGAGAAGACACAGAGGGAGAGGGAGAAAAAGAAAAAAACAAGACACAGAGAGAGGGAGAAAGGGAAAAAGAGAGAGTGAAAGAGAGAGAGAGATGAAAGATCCTGGTGTTTTGTTTTCTGTGGGAAACGGGCCCAAATGACTCCTTGAGTATTTAAGGTTGCAGAAACAAGCAGCCAAGCTAAGTGCCTGAAGGATCCCATCCCGTCAGTGAAGGTCCAGACGCTTCTGTGAGTGGCATTCTGGATTCATATTAGTGGTCCGCAGGATTTAAAATTATGAATTTGGTTGTCCCTGAGGTCCAAAAGGTTGGAGACCCCTGAATCAGGTTGTGCTGAAGCTGAAACAGGCTCTTTGCTGCAAGGAGGCAAATTGTTGGGAGGCAGGGGCCAAAGGGGTGGGGGCCAGCGGGTTGTTGAGGCTTCTGCAACATTTGTTGTATAAGGCACACAGACATTTCCACCCACTTTTGGGGGGTGGAAAAAGTGTGTCTTATACTCTGAAAAATACAATAGTTACCTCTATTCCTGAGAAACCTCTTTGAATAATGAAAGTATTATAAAACCATCATAATCAGAAGCCTATTCAAATCTAATCTTATTTTGGTATCTGCTTTCCAAAATCTGATCTAATAAGCTGGACTCCGGTTAGTTAGAATCCAGTTTATTAAGTCTGATCTGTTTACTCCAATTTTCAGCAGTAGCTTGAAATAGTTTGGCTACAATCCAGAGGTGTCTTCCACATACAAGGGATTCGGTAAATGCATGAACTTTCACCCTTCAGATATTTCAGCAATGATCACACATCTGCAATAAGGTTTATTTATGTGATTTGTTTATTTTTCAGATTTGTACCCTCAGACTCTTGGCAAAGCCAGATAGCAGTGGTTAATAACATTGAGCAACAATGAAACTACATTAAAATGAATAAACCTGTCAATAAATATCAATAACTAATCATATAATTAAAAAGTAGTAAGGATGATATTTATTCATGTGTGACAGATGATAAATTTGCATGTTTATTTCTGATTGTTGCAGGAATGAAATTCCATTCAGGGAAGAAAATATATTCAAGTTCTACTTCATTATTAAATCTTTTCCTAGATTCTGGTTGTTCTCCCTCCCTCTCAATGAAACTTGAATAGACTGACCCAATTTACATCTTGTTTGAAATATCTGTCACATTGCTGCATTATTAAACTATAATGAATAGTTGTGTATATCACATTTGTTATAAGATTGATATGTTAAATTACACAATTACAAATGTTTTGATTGATATTGTATATGAAAAATGGTTCAGTATTGCTAATTAGGAAGAAATTTTGATATAACTTTCATGTTTAGGATTGAAGCAGTAATCATTTCTTAAAGTAACTTTCTATATGACGCTTCAGGTGGTGGAACTTCTGTTAGCACGAGGTGCAAACAAAGAACACAGAAATGTTTCCGATTATACACCTTTAAGTTTAGCTGCTTCTGGTGGGTATGTGAACATCATCAAAATACTGTTGAATGCTGGTGCAGAGATCAATTCAAGGCAAGTTCTCTTTTTAATTTTCTACTTCATAGTTGTTTGATTAATCTCTAGGAAAACCATTTTTTTCATTGTAGGAGCTGGCAATATGGTTAAGGAGAGCCACTAAAATGTGTTACTTAAAGTTTGGACTTTAGCTATGGAGATTCATTTGGGAGTCTCCATCCACTTCTGAAACTCACAGACTGACTTTAAGCTTCTCATTCTGTTTGGTCATGACCCCCAAAATATGTATATTCATAAAAATGATTATTAAAAAATGGGGGGGGAAACAACTCCTATTTTAAAACTTAATAACTGAAATAAATAAGGTAAAATTAGGCATCTCTTCCAATATTAAAGGTTTTCAGTCTTCAGGTTAAACTGCATTTTTGCTAATTTCATGGACATGTCCATATTATTTTTTGGCAATTATATGGAACTACTTTACCATTATCTTCCAGAATATTCTTTTAACTTCCAGGCTCCTGCAGCCCTGCAGGTATTTATTGTGTCACCCAATTTTTAATATTAACCAGATCTAAGCTGGTTAACATTTCAAAATTGGCTAAGGGTGGCCAAGTCCTATCACCTAGTAAGTCTTCCCAATAGTATATCTATATAATATATGAATACAGATAATCCCTGAGTTAACAACATTCCCTTAGTGAACGTTTGAAGTTATGTGATTAGCGCCCCTAATGTTTATGAACAATTCCCAAAATTACAAATGTTGCAACACCACGGTAGTTTTTGCCCTTACGAACGGCAGCAGAGGCTCTGCAGTATTTGCCTTGCCTATTCCCCACCCCACCCCCACCCTTGCACCAGGTCTCCATAGGCACTAGGCCTGTGGATACTCACCTTGCAAAGAACTAGAGAGCCTTCCCTTTCCTGGCCTGTTCTGGCACTTTAGGTCTTCCTGAACATGCCCTCCTGGGGCTGCATTCTCTTCAGCAAAAGCCTTGAAAAAAGGCCTTTGCTGGCAAAAACAGAGCCCTGGAGTGATGCACGCTCCTTCCGGAGGCTCTGTTCTCTTCAGCAAAGGCCTCCTCAAGCCTTTGGTCTTTTGAAGTGGCACCCCATAGGTACACAAACACTTTTTGGGCACACGCTGAAAGCTTCTGAGGGCTACAATCTCTTGTGACTTCAGGCACCCATCCACTTTTACAGAGAATGGGTGCCTGAAGTCTTGTGAGATTAGGGCATCCAGAAGCTTCCAATCTGCAGGAAAAGTGTTTGCACGTCAACAGAATTGAAGCAATGTGATTTCATTGCCCCAAACTTCCCTTTGGCGTGCAAACGCTTTTCCGTGCCAGCCTGGAAGCCATTGGAGGAGACTAACCAAGACTGCCCGCTGCTCCAGAAGGGGCAGGCAGCCTTGGTGAGTCAGAGAAGCTGAGTAGGGCGCGCTCCTCCTGCTCTCCTTCTGCTCTCACCAGGAGCAGGCAAAGAGTCTGGAGAGGAGACAAATCTTTACAAGATAAGTGATCTAGCGTGGTAGGATGGAGGGAGAAGCAATTGTTTGGACCCCAAGACAGGGAGAATGAGGTATCTCAGTGGGTTGGGGGAGGCCTTGTGTGGTCTGAAGCAGGTGACCTGTTCCATCATTAACACCCCCCCCCCATGGCCTTCCCCACCCTGAGATACCCCATCACCGTTCCAAGTAATAGAAATACTGCAGATACCATGCAATTAACAAGCTATGCATTTGGTTAGTGAATGCATGGGTGAAGGGAAGGAGTGATCATGTTCAAGTTAATGCCATTCGCTCCTACGAATCCACAGGTTATGAATAGAATGGGCAGGCCCCATTACATTTGTAACTCGAGAACTATTTGTAGCTACTTAGCCTCTGAACCCTCACTGAAAGCTTTGCATTAGAGGAGGTCCCATGCATATATCTTCATTATATAAATAGATCAATATTATAAAAAAGTCATCATGTTTGCAATACTAAAATGTGGCATATGTTAATTTATTTTTAGAACTGGAAGCAAACTGGGCATCTCTCCATTAATGTTGGCAGCCATGAATGGCCATACTGCAGCTGTGAAATTGCTCTTAGACATGGGTTCTGATATTAACGCACAGATAGAGACCAATAGGAATACTGCCTTGACGCTAGCCTGCTTCCAAGGAAGAACGGAAGTAGTTAGTCTTCTCCTTGATAGAAAAGCTAATGTTGAGCATAGAGCTAAGGTAAGGAATAACTCTTAGTTTTTAGTTTAGTTTTGTTAACTTGTACATTTAGGTAGTCCTCGACTTATGACCATTTGAAGTTAAAACAGCAGCAAAAAAAAGTGATTTACAAGAGTTCTTGCAGCATTCCCATGATCACATGATCAAAATTCATGTGCTTGGCAATTAGCATGCATTTACAATGATTGCAGCATTCTGGGATCACATGATTGCTATTTGTGGCCTTCCCAGGGGACTTCTCACAAGCAGACAGTAGAGGAAGCCAGATTCATTTAATGATCATGTGATTTGCGTAACAGCCATAGTAATTTGGTTAACAACAGCAGCAAAACAGAGCTGTAAAATTGGGCATAACTAATTTAACAATCATATTGCTTAGTGACAGGACTCTCCATATTGTCATAATTGGAGGACTACATGTATCTATACAAAAAGCATTTGCTTTTCTACTGATTTAAACTGTCCCTAAATATATAGCAGGGACAGATTCCTTGTTCACAATTTCTGTATCACATATATAGATTTTATGGCTGTGCAAAAGATTATTCAAAATGCTAAAAACCTAAACATTTAGCATTCCACTATGACTTATCTCAAAGGACAAACTTTTGTCTATTTTTAACAGTAACATTTATAGGAGTATTCTTTTTTTCCCTTTTTTTTATGTGTGGGGAAGGCATTTTTTCTCTTCTCTTCTCTTCTCTTCTCTTCTCTTCTCTTCTCTTCTCTTCTCTTCTCTTCTCTTCTTTTCTCTTCTCCTCCTTCCCTCCCTCCCTCTCTCTTCCTCTTTCTAACACAAGCACTCAATGCAGAACAACAGAACTAAGAATACTAAAAGTGTGCAACGAGTAGAAGAAGAGGTTATTAGCATACGTTATCAATGACAGAATTAAGTGTTCAGTAAAGTGATGGCAAGAGGAAGAAAACTGTCCCTTTCTTTAGTTGTCTTGTCATACAGTGCCCCAAAGTGCCATCCTAGGGAAGGAGTTGAAATAGTTTGTGTCCAGGATGTGAGGGATCTGCAGATGCTTTTTCAGCCTTCCTTCTGTCCTACACAATGTATAAATCTTCTATGCAAGGAAGGCTACTTATTTTTTCTGTAGTCTTAACTATCCATTGGAGTCTTACTTGTCTTGTTTGGTTGCTATACCAAACCAGACAGTTATAGAAGTACAAATGACAGACTTAGAGAGTATCATTAGCTCCTAGGGCAGTTGAACTTCCTGAGTTGATGCAAGAACATTCTTTGTTGTACAATTTAACAATGGTACCGATGTAAAGCGTCCATTTCAAGTTCTAGATTTCAATTACTTTCTTTAAAGATGATTCTGAAGGCTCCCTTTTGAAATGTATGTAATACAGCAGTAAATTTTCCCTTTCTGGTAGACAGACTGACATTTATTTAATGTAGTAGTTTTTATAACATCGTGAAAGCAAATGCTCTGTTTTGTTTTGATTTTTGGTGGCTGTTTCATTGGTGCCAGTGTTCAGTACTACAGATTTTTTTATAAAAGGTAGAACTTAGCCATTTTGTATGTTTTACTGAATAACAACAACAACAACAACAACAATAAAAGTTTATTCATAGGAATGTGCAAAATGGTCTTTGCATACAACAACTGGATTCATGTAGTCTGCTCTCAAATTGAAGCACATGTTTCAAATCATTCATTTTATCCATGGACTGAAATGTGGATGTTTGTTTCAGATTTATATTAAAATCTAGTTTTTCCCAGATAAAAGGAGGGGTGGGGCTTAGAAAAGGAGAGAGAAAAACATTCTGCGCAGTGGGTTATTTATTATCACAATAAGGAGCAGCTGCATAGACTGGTGATGGCAGCAGCTGAAGGGAGGGCAGAAATTAAGGGAACTGTTGGCCCAGTACAGGGAGTCCTCAATTTACAACCATTTATTTAGTGATTGTTTGAAATTACAACGGCACTAAAGTGACATGACTGTCTTTTGACCTTTTTCACACTTATGACCATTGCAGGATCCCCATGGTCACATGAACAAATTTCAGATGCTTGGCAACTGACTCATATTTATGATGGTTACAATGTTCTGGGGTCCTCTTTTTTGACCTTCTGACAAGCAACATAATTGAGGAAGCCAGATTCACTTAACAATTGTGTTCCTAACTTAACAACTGCAATGATTTACTTAACAATTGTGGGCAGAAAAGTTGCAAAATGGGGAAAAACTCACAACAATTGTCTCACTTAGCAACAGATACTTTGGACTCAATTGTGGTGGTAAATGAAAAACTGCCTGTAGAATATACTATTGTCTGACATTGTAGTGACCGAGAAAGGGAAAGGAAAGGGGAAGAGGGAAGAGAAGAGGCTAGGAAGGTCACAGATACTGACCAGATAGAGCTTCTGAGGGTTGACATGCATCAACCTTTCCCTAATTGCCCCATAATATTACTCTGGGATCCTCTAAATCTTAAACCCTGAACCGCAAACAATATCCCAGGCTTACATTTTGTTAAACCAAGGACAAATTGACACAACTTCCAGAATCTGATGGTTTGCTCTGGATTCAAAACAATACATGTTTTTCATTTCATGCATACTTATATTTACTTGCTGCTTCATAAAGCAAAACATTCTGAATCATTGGAGGCTATTTCATTAGTGTTTGAGCTTGTGCCTTTGGATTTGTGTGAGGCCTTATGTGTTCCTTCCATAATTGATGTTTCTTTCTGCATACCATTTATCACAAGTAAGCAAAGCAGAGATATCTGTGGGAATGAGTGGCAAAGAGGAAGCAAATGAAAAACGCAACATTTTGCTGAAATCCTTCAGTTCCGCTGATAGCCTGGAAAGGCTACATCTTGGTTTCAACATTTCCTGTTAGTTCTGCATAACTGTTTCAATGCCAGACCATATGCCACTGTTGAGTGCACTATATTTAACAAGTAAAAGAAAAAAGAGTTCTGCGGATTTTATTCCTCTAGTTGTTGCTAACTATAGGGGGCAGTGCTCATCTCTGTTACAAGGCCATTGAGCCAGTGCTGTCTGAAGACATTTCTGCAGTCACGTGGCCAGCATGACATCACAGAGTGCTGTTACCGTCTCACCGAAGTGGTACCTATTTATCTACTTGCATTTGTATGCTTTTGAACTGCTAGGTTGGCAGGAGCAGGGTGAGAACAGAGCTCATCCTGTCACACTGAGCTCGGGTCTCAATATTTAACAAGTAAAGGAATGGATTTGTGAGAGGAAAAATACCTCTCTCTTCACCTAGAAGAGAGGTGTAGTTTACTCTATAGTTTACAGTTTTGTCCAAATTTTGTCAAGAAACAAAAAAAACCCCATATCCTTTCAAATGGGTTGAATGCTCTCAGAGGAGAAAATTAGGGTATGTCTTCCCAATGTTGTCTTTTTTTTTTCTGTCACCAATTATCCACAGCTATGCAGTCTCTTCAGTTTGAAGTGTCCTCCTGCACTCCCTGTAATAAATACCTGGGATTACATCATCCTTCACCTTGGTTCCCTCACCTGCTCCTTCTTGTCCTTTTCCTAGCTTACTTTAGCCATTATCTGTGGAGGATATTGAAGCTCTTCAAAGCCAAACTTTATCTCTGTTCCTGAGCCGATATGGTGCAAGATCTTCTCATACCCCATATAGAGTGGCAATTGGAGCATCTAGAGCCCTCCTGCCTTCTGAGTCTGAACCTGCCAGTAGAGCCAACATGGCTGGAAGGTAAAAGCTGCACTTCATTGGGGTTTTAATGCCTCACTTATGCTGCTCAGAGCCTCTTCTGTGGCCTTCATTAAGGTGTTCAGCAAACTGCTTGAAATAAATTGGACAAGGATACTAGAAATTTGTTGAAGAAAATTTTTCCATGGCCGAACTGACACCGGATTCTATACAACCAATTAATGGATTGCTGATTGACACTGGATTCCTTAACAACCAAATTAATGGATTGCATATGATCATCAAAAGAAGCCTCAGGTTGTGAAAGAAGGATGTAGATATAATTCGGTACAGCAATCTTTGAAACAAATTTTTTTTCTTTTTTTTTTCTTTCCTTTTCGTTGTTGTTTTTTGGACAATGCAATAGAAGCAATGAAGGAAACAAAAATTCTCTCCAACTCTCCAGAAAGAGAAGAGAAGAAATCTTCCAAACAGTCCAAGGCTTTTTATTCCTCTTACTATTTCAAGCAGTCTTTAAAGATTCAATCTTAGATAATCAACAACTTAAAATTCCAAACTGATTTAGCACTCTAGTAAGAAACTTAGTTCTTAGTGGTTATCTTCAGAAATTTACAGGTATCATATAATGTTTAGTGAGTTTTAGAAACAATCAACAAGAATTATACAATAGAAATCAAGCTGATAATATTTTTCCAGCTCTTACTCCCAAGACTACATCCCTATCAGAAGATACTGTCATCATACAGAGAGAGGATCAGGCTGATTACTTGGTGGTCATTGTAGCATCAAAAAAGGCAGAGATCAGGACAACAGTGGACCAAAGATGCCAATTTGTTTATAAACTATTTGTAATTTCGAGTTAAAAAGATTCAGTCCTGACATGTCTCAACAAGGAATGTTATTGAATATAATAACTTCAATAAACTTCACCACTATCTTTCTCCCAAAATGAAAATGTCATATTTTTTTTCCTGCTTCTGTTATGTGAAGGATTGACGTATACACTGCCTTGAGCTTTTGAAGAAAGGTGGTATAAATTTCTAATGGATAGATATTAGTTTAGACCCTTCAGGTTTATATCCTCTTTCATCTGGTGATCAGACTATTATATTAGCTTTGTGTGCAACCAGAGCTTTTCTGCAGTTCTTGCCTAGACATTTGTTTCTTGTATAGATATTCTCCAGTGGGCAAGTTTTCATTTCAGTCATTTTTGTTTAGGGTCAGGTTACCAAGCACTATTAATGGTTTAAAAACAAATCCTCTTGAATTAGATGCCTGCCATAAAGTCTTATGTGTCAAGAATTTCTGATTATTTTTTTCAACAGATTAAAAGCCATGAATATAAATCTTTCGGCTCTCTGGGAGGTCATGCTACTTTCAACCTACTTTTAAATAAAAAATTCAATCAATCCATATTTTCATTAGAAGAGATAGTATGGTAGCAAGATGTATATCAACTGAAAAAAGATTTACAGATCTAAACTTTTTCAGTAAATTTCTTTCTTGTTCTCTTGGGTAATAGTGTGGTTGCTGTTCAATCGAAGCAGAACATCTAAAAGATATCTGCATTTAAAAGATTAATCCAAACCAATGAAGGCTTAGCATAATGTTATCTAACTATTTTGAAAACTCAGGATTTACATTTGGAGCTCCTATTCTGGCCATCTTCTTTTCTCCAGAGAATAGAAATTTTTCAAAAAGCTTTCTGGAAAAAAGATTTTAGAAAGAAAATGAAGCTAGCATAAACTATAATAGTTTTGTCTTTTCTTTTACTTGCCAATAGTACAGAAAGGTAGACAGCAGCAGAAAATAATAATAGTCATCCCTTATTTAGGATTTAGTTCAAAAGCTTATTTCTTCACCAATATATGAATCTTTATAGCAAGTTTACCTTGTAAGATGCTGGAGTTCACTGTTTGGAGATATTTGAACTGTATGGTCAATTCTCAAAGGAGAGAAGACATGCCTAATATCCAAGTACTCTATGAACATCAATACACTCCTGAAAAGATCCTTTATGTGGTACAGCAGTATAAAGATACCATTTGTGTCTACCATGGTGGAACTTTGTAAGATGGTCTCTCTCTTGATTTTGAGCTCCACCACATATTTGTCTCACCAATGATACTGTATGTGATTTTGCTTCCATATGTCCAGAGTGTGTTTTCAAAACCTAGAGGTTCATAAACTTTCTTAGTGTTCAATCTAGAAGTATGATTGCATTCTGTTTGGATGGTGTAGTTGAATCTTTAGAATTATCTTCTTTGAAGACATTCATCTTCAAGATAGTTTTACTTACTATATTGACTTAAGTATTTTAGGATTATATTCCTCAAAATTTTTTATCCTTCAGACATTATTATTAATTCAAGTTTATACCAGTTAGAGCATTGAAAAGCAGAACCTTTTCAGCCAAGCTAGTTGATTGCATTGGTTGGTATAGTAAAATTATCTTATAGGATTCTCTTTGATTAGCAATGTACTTTCAGTCATCTAAAAAAAGAATTGTGATTTAGCGATTATGCATATGCAGATAACATCCAGACATATGTTTCCTTTTCTTTGTGCTCTAGTGAAGAACAAGTTCTAAGATTATTAATAGAATGAATGAGAGTTAATAAATAGGATGAGCAATCTAGTCTGACTTGGGTTATGCTCCCTCTGAAGAATAAGTCTTAGAAATTTGCTTTGTTGATTCTCACATGACTTTTTAAAAAATTCTTATTTCATATGCTAGTTGTAATTCTTTGTACAGCACAAGGTATTTTGATCAAAATATTTTGGAGCTTTTAATGAAGATGCCTCTGAAAACTTGAGAAAAAGTAGATCTGGTTCAAATTATAGCAAGTGGCTCAATCAATGCACTGACAATTTTTAAAGACAAATTATTTGGGGTCAAATTTTCCTATATATTTGTCTTTCTTTCTCCCTCTTGCAATTATTAGAATCTTCATGAAGGTATATTTACTGTCTAAAACGAAAGTCTAATAAGATTTCTTTTCCAATAAAAGTAAATTTCTTGTGTTCCTTTATAACCCCAGATAATTCAAGTTTTGGGACTTTTTCCATGCATGTTCCTTCTTGGAAGTTAGACTACCTTCTATTTGAAAAAGTTCCATAAGCAATCTTAAGTATGCCTTTGGTTGAAAAACTCACTGAACTTAGTAGCACATCTGAATATAAAATCTGAATGTCTCATAACACATACTGTACATTTTAATGGTGTAAAGTACCTGGATCTGAAGACGCAAAGATGCTTTAAATGTGGCATAAGCAAACATATTTTTCCCAACAGCAGCTCCATAAAGGAGATACATTTATAACTGCCATGCAAGCTCAGGTACAGGCATGGGTCTTTTAAAGAGTTGTCAACTGAGCAGCAAGCATGGCCAGTACTAGATCCAGAACCTTTGCCCATTTCAGATTCAAATTTCTTTTTTTTTGTACATGTTATTCTATGAAATGTTCTGTTTGTAATCTTTTGTGCAAAGAAAAATCTAATAAGAGTTTAAACATTTTGCCCTCATTATACTTTTCACAAAATAGAAAAAAATAAGATTTTAAAACTATTTAACAATCCATACAAAATCTATTTATTTTCTTGATATTTTCTTGTTGATGTTATTCAGTTTTAGTGTCATTCTGTAGTAGATATCCTGCCATTTATTTATGATGCAAAGCCTTGCCTGCCCCCAGTCATTCCTGTGAATTATTTCAAACACTAATAATCAAACCAATCAGGAGTCAGTCTTCTTCCTTTTTTACTTCTTTTACAGAGAACCACCATAAAAGTTAATAATGCTTATCTATACAGTAAAACTATATTGGTTGTTTTTTTTTAACTGTTGTTTTAATTTTTTACATATTTCACCCGAGAAAACATATTTAATGTTGTTATTGTCGATATAGACTGGACTGACACCGTTAATGGAAGCTGCTTCTGGTGGCTATGCTGAAGTAGGCAGAGTTCTTCTTGACAAAGGTGCTGATGTCAATGCCCCTCCAGTCCCTTCTTCAAGAGATACAGCTTTAACCATTGCAGCTGACAAAGGACACTACAAATTCTGTGAACTGCTTATTAGCAGGTATGATAGTTTATCTTCTATTGAACATTCTGGTTTTTTTAATTGGTCACAGAGCCATGGCCTCTTGGTTCTGTGACCAGTTAAAAAGTCTACTATGGGCAACTAATAATTCCATAAAACATTGAATATATAGTGGATTGTGAAGTAGTACATGGAAGACCGATTCCACTTCCAAATCCAAACATAAGCAGCTATAGCATTCATATAAGGAGTCTTAAATAGCTGCCCAGAGCCATCCTAATGGGTAGTATATTAATTTGTGGATGTATAAAAAGTATCTTGTGTGGGGCATTCAAAATATTATAAACATACCTGGGGATTATACAAGGAATAAGAATAATGGCAGTGTAATATACATTGGCTACATCTCTTCAGGGGTTTACCTGAAGCTATGCTACCTCAAATAGACTCTATAGGGATCTTGTCTTCTCTGCCTTACCATGTTGGATTGGTACAACTTAATCTTTGAGAAGAATCTCAAATCAGTGTTTCCCTCCCCAAAATACTTACTGTGGGCTTGATAAAACCTTGTCGGAATGTAAGCTGAGGATTTGGGATCAAAGCACACTACAGAGTGTGCATATAGAGTGAATGTTTATAAAAACCAGAACACTGTTAATCTTAAGAGTGTACATTTGACAGAATTGTGAAAATTAACACTCACCATTAGATTATTATCCTTAATACTTTCCTATTATGTTCATTCAGAATAATAAGAATGCATTTTGAATATGGAACTGAATACAGTGTCTCAGTGTTCAACCTTCAATCCTTATTTTTGTAACATTTCCCAGTTACAAATTAGATTTTGAACTTTGTAACATAAAATAAAAAGTAGTGCTTTCTGGAGAGGAAAGATCTGTTAATATAACTCCTAACTTATTTATCCCTCTTAAAGTAATAGCAATTCCTGGTTATGTCACAAGGGGCCGGAAGCAAATGATAATTTAATTGGGTGGCTTAATGGTTCATAATTTGGTGCTTTCATTTATCTTTTTGTAATAACAATTTTTGTACATTTTGAATTCTTCTAAAATTGTTTTTTACAGTTTGTATGTCTCATAGAATCACACTACATGAAATCGGTGGCCATATAAATATGATCAATAAATTGATAAATCAGTAAATAATAGCAGCCTTTGGAACAGGTTTTTTGTCTAGGGGATTATATCTTGTTGATTAATCAAACTTTTTTACTGTTTGGTAGGGGTGCTCACATTGATGTTCGTAACAAGAAAGGAAATACTCCATTATGGCTTGCTGCAAATGGTGGTCATTTAGATGTTGTCCAATTATTAGTACAAGCAGGAGCAGATGTAGATGCCGCTGATAATAGGAAAATAACTCCTCTAATGGCAGCCTTTCGAAAGGTAAACACTTATCTTTAATTGAAAATACAGGAAGTCCTTGACTTATAACAGTTCGTTAGTGATCGTCTGACGTACAACCCTGGCAAGAAAGGTTGTAAAATAGGACAAAACTGACTTAATAAATGTTTTGCTTATCAACAGAAATTTTGGGCTCAATTGTGGTCATAAGTTGAAAACTATCTATACCAGAGGTATCAAACTCAATTTTATTGAGGTCTGGATCAGCATTGTGGTTGTCCTCCAGGGCTGGGGGGGGAAGGGTATGGCCAGGATGATCACAGCCGACTGGGCATAGCCCAGGGGCATGGCCAGCTTGTTATTGCTTGTGTGGGTGGTACCTGTGGGGGCCGGGCGGGGTTGGGAGAGAATCCAGGGATCTCCGGTGGGCGAAGCAGTTGGCAGGAGGCTCATTCTGCAGGATGAAGTGAGGGGAGGCGGGGTGAATCAGGTACAGCCGGAAAAAAATCAGCACCATGCGCTTGCTGTCCTTTATGTGCGGGGTGGTGTGATTTCTGGCAAAAGCCACAGCCTGCCAGCCCCTCAGCTGCCCCACACTTTGGCTCCAGAGCCTGCTGCCGCCAAGCAGCAGGAGAAAGCAGTGGGAGGAATGAGATGTGGACCGCTGGAAATACTTACTCTGTCCCACTGTCTGTTTTGGCTTGTGTTTGGAAAGCAGGTCGCCGCTGGTCATCTTTTCCTTGGCCCCCTTGTGGGTCTTGTCCTTGTCCTCCACATGGAGCATATTACCCTTGTGCACCCAATGCATCTCAGCCTTGCTGTGGGCTGTTGCAGTGGCCCACAGCAGGGCTGAGGTGTGTCTGGTGCCAAAGTGTCTTCTGGGAATGCCAGCTGAGCGGGGAATTTGCCTGCAACCCTCAACTCGGAGATGCAGCGGGGGGAGGGGCTGCAAGATTGAAAGCTGCGTTCAGTGGGGCTGCTTCAGTCTATGGAAGGGGCCGCACTCTCCGGCTTCGTCTGAAGGAGCCACTCTGGTGAAGGGGCAAATGATCGGGGGTTTCTACTCTCAATAGTTCCTGGGTGGCAACTCTACTGCGGCTTGGCAGACCCACCAGGCCAAAAGAGGCGAAGCAGACAGCTAGAAAGGCCCAGTAGAGGTGGTAGAGTACATCCAGGCCCAGCAGGCAAAAGGCGGCCACCACAAGTGGAGAAAGTCAGATCCAGCAGTGTTCTGACCCAAATCTTGTTCCAAGGAAACTAACACCAAACAGAGGTAAAAACAAAATATTTCAATCCTTCTCTGCAAATTCCATTCATTCACAGTTAAAAGGCTATTAAAACTAATTGTCTCTGATAAGAACAAGCCTTGCCAAGGTTGTGCAAGGCTGCCAAGAACACTAGATTAAGTTGCCAAGAAATACTCAAAAAGTCTCTAAACACAAACCAGGATAGTTTGAATATCCACAAGTCTTGAAATGCAAGAACTTCTTTGCTTCCTGCAAATAATCCCGGTTTCTCAGCTGGCTTTTATCTCTTAAGGGAGGGGCCATTACCTTGCAGCTTTACTCCCAAGTCACCTGTGCTGCTTCAGCTGCTCTTTCCTTCGAGCAGCCCTGCGTGCATGTGCACTGAGCACAGGCTCCTTGGGGTCCTCTGCATCACTGCTGCCAGCCTCCACAATATCCAAAGGAAGCATTCTATTCTCTGATAGTCCTGGCCCCATCCCTGCATCACACACAGGCCCCTCATCCGAGTCCTTGCTCTCCGAGACCTCAGCTGTCTCTACCTGCTGCACAACAAGCAGAGATGGTGGGGGAGACATACAAACCCAGCTGGGCCTCAGCAGCCATGGCGCCAATGAGGATCCAGTTTTCCCCACTTGAGGTGGCCGCCTTTTGCCTGCTGGGACTGAGCATGCTCTACCACCCCTTCTTGGCTTTCCAACCGCAAGCAAAAATAGACCAGAGAAAGTAGGCGGGTTGCTGGTGTCCAGCAGCAGTTGCCCTATCCCTCTGCCTTACCTTGTTTGGGTCTGCACTCGTGGCATAGCTGGAGGCAGTGGCACGGGGGAGAGGCATGCAGTCCAGCCTGCTCAATGTCTCGGGCAGCCTGTCCAGTAGTCTGACTCTGCCTGCTGCCGGTGCCCTGCCTGTTTCTTGGAGGGCCAGCTGTGAGCCCCTGCTGTCAGACAACTCACACACACACATACATCAAAAGGGCCAGAGACACTGGTGTGGTTGCAGCATTTATCTACAACCCTGGGGGATCCACACCGAGATGGGCTGGGCTGGGCTGAGGGAACGCTGGCCCAACACCTGTGTGCACGGGCCCGGCCCACAGCATCTGGGTAGGCATGTACACAGGAGGTGGATGTATGCATGCACAGGCCCAGCCCCCACCATTTTCGCAGGCATGTGTTCACTTGCTGCCTCCTGTGCGCACACGCGCCTGCCAGGATGGCATGGGTTGGGCCTGTGCATGTGCACAGGCATGCCTGTCTGGATGCTGTGGGCCTTACAGTTTCCAGAATGGCATGTGGAACGGATTTGGCCCAACGGCCTTGAGTTTGACACCTCTGACCTATACAATGATTTCAGTATGGCAATATCATCTATTACTATCTATTGGCAAGCTTGTATGAATCCCATATATAATTGCCATGGGATTAGCCCCATCCTTTTTGATATTCCAAAAGACCCTCAAGACCTGTCATGTAATAAGATTTGAGGGTTCTCAGGATACAGGAGACCTGCTGAGATGTTTCAGTTGTAGACACAACCATTTTTATTCCCCTCATCACCTATCATAGGTTTTTATGATACTTACTAATATGGATTTTTACATTTTATATCTGTGATTTTACATTGTTATTGTATCTCATTATGTGCTAATGAGATGGGCATTTATATAACTTTGATAAATACAGAACAGGAGCAAGTTTGTTTAGGTAGAAATTTAAAAATAGGAGGCATTGCCAACACAATCTTAATGTCTCACATCTGTTTGAGTTACATTGCACTTATTTTATAAACTGCTTATATGTTTCTAAATAAAAGCATCTAAAGCCTGATTTATTATTTTAAAACAATAATACTTGAAACTTTAGCTGGATGGATACAATTCAGAGTTGCCATAGTTTTACAATTTTAAGAAACAATGTATTTAGCAGATGAATGCTTCAATCCATATTCCAGTGATGAAAGATTTCCATAGTTGTCTCCATCAGTATTCCTATACTGGCAATCTCTAGTTATGCCAGGGTTACATTCCAGGAAGTTTGTTTACAACTTTAAAAACACCAGTAATTTTAGATGTTAAATCTATTTCATTTTTTCCTGTTCCATATATCTGGAAAGGTACCCTGTTTCTCCAACAATACGGCCTCCCGCAATAGGAAGTCCCAGCATGTTTTATAGGCATGAAATGAAATTAAGCCCCTCCCCCCAAATTAAGGCTTATATTAAAACATGCGAAATGGGGGGAATGGTGGGGGGGCTTGCTGTTAGGAAATACTTTTGTTGCACACCCGGATATGGTGCTGCCAGCATTGACCTCGATACGAAGTGCCCCACCAACGCCGAGGTCAACATCCAAGCCGTCGTTGCCCGCCCGCCCAAAGATGCAAGGGGGGGAAATTAAGTCACTCCCCCAAAAGATGGCCTAGCCATTTTTTCGGGGCTCAAAAAAAAAAAAAAAAAAGACCCAGCCTTATTATATGAGAAACACGGTAAGTTCTGTTATGTTTTCTTTGAAGCTAAATTCCAAACTTTTATTTTTGCTCAAGTTTTAATTTAATAAAAATGATCCAGGAAAAGAGATTTTCTCTTGGTTTTATAAATGTGCAAGCATATATATTCTTCCCTACCCTGGGTAAATGAGTTTGCAGCAGGAAGATGTTTTAATGAACTGTCATATAATTTTTTTCATTTCTTTAAATATTCATTTTTCATATCTTTAAATAGTCATCAGTGATGCTGAAATTTTTTTTCTTAGGGTCATGTGAAAGTTGTACGCTATCTAGTAAAAGAAGTCAACCAGTTTCCATCAGATTCTGAATGTATGCGATACATAGCAACAGTTACTGACAAAGTAAGTTCTTTTTTTTTCTTTCATATTTTTTTTTCTTCAGAATACTAGACCAAAATATATTTCACTATGGTATCTGAAAACTGTGCTCAACTCAATCTTAGCATTTGTTTAGATTACCTATGGTCTTAGAGTTCTAATTCATTTATAGTTGTAAGAAGAATGTAAATAATAAGTAAAATAAGTAAAAATAAATAACAATAAATAATCATTCACTCTTGAATACAGAAAATACAAGGATGTGGTGCCTTGCCAAGTTCTTTTTCATATTTGCCAACATAGCATAGCTAATGAAGTATCTAAATATCTGGTCTAATGATATTATCTAGTTAGGGCAATGAAATGTTTATAAAAAATAAGCAAACTCAGAAAGCACCAAGTGAAGTGTCTGCATATATTCTTTATCTTATAAAGATTACCTGAAAATGATATCATCAATACCAAATTAACTTCTTACATTGGTTATTGGAATATTTTAACTTTGGAAACTTTGGTCTTTGGAAAGCTTGTGCCATGAACTTATTCCACTTTTATGTGATGCCATGCTGCAGTGATCCAATCATTGGTGCTCATTCCTCCTGTTTCTCCTCCTCCTTTGCTATTTTAGGAAATGTTGAAAAAGTGCCATCTATGTATAGAATCAATTGTTCAAGCCAAAGACAGACAGGCCGCAGAAGCAAACAAAAATGCAAGCATTCTTTTGGAAGAGTTGGATCTGGAAAAGGTAAGTAAACCCTTTTCTGAATAGTTTGTATTTAGATTTAGAACAACAAACAGTGATAGACTTACCCGTGTGGGTCCCAAAATAAGCACTAAGGCTTATTTTCAGAGGTTGTCTTGATTCCACCCTCTCCCCCACCCCATGTACAGGAGGCCCACTTCTTCTGCTTGCTCGCCAGTGGAGGAGGAGGCCGCACGGCATACCAGCACCGCCACTGCGAGACAAGAGGGGATGGAGCTGCCCATGTGCCCCAGACTGGCTTATCTCAGGGCCCCACAGCCAGGCCACCCACACCCCGATAACTGCCTCCCCTTGCAGCCATGGCATCAGCAGCCCCATCCAGCAGGATCCCATGTGGCCGCCGGTTCACTTCTTCTGCTTGCTCATGGCCACAACGGAGCAGGAGGCCAAGCAATGCACTAGTGCTGTGGCCATACGGCGAGACGGATGGAACGGCCCATGCTCCTCACAGCGGCTTACCTCAGGGCCCTCACAGCCAGGCTATTTACCCTCGGTAGAGGCTGTTTTGGGTCCATCAAGTTGTACATATGTAAATGTCCATTAATTTCACTACTACAGATGTTAAGCTCAAAAACCTATAATTTCCAGTTTCTTCCCTAACCCCCTTCTTGTGGATGGATACAATATTCGTGGTTCATCAGTCCTGGGAACTACACCTGTTAGAAGAAACTGGTTAAACAGATCAGTTAATGGTCCAGTGAGAATACCTAGAAGATCCCTCAGAACTCTAGGATGAGTACCAACTGGACCCATTGCTTTATTAAGATTTAAGCAGGCTGGCTTATCTGCCATCTCCAGCTCTTAAAAAAAAACCTGGAAAAGAATCTGCATTGCTAGGACTAGTATGATTTCCCCAACCTCTTTTTGTTACTCCACTTCTGAGAAGGCTCTCTGCAGAAGTATTAGATGGTTTTCTATAGCTAGGTCTCCCTTAACATAAGAATGGTTTGCATTTATTTTAGTGATTACAGAGGGTTTTTTCCTTTTCTCACTAATACACCCTTTTTTAAAAAAAGGTTTATCTTCCTTTTTAATAACTTTAGCTAATTCCTCCTTTTCCTGCACTTTAGCAGCACTAATAACCTGTTTGGCTTCCCTCTGTAGGTTTTTATATACCTCTCTATCAGCTACATTTTCAATCTTCTTGTATTTGCTACATGATGATCTTATACAATACTTACGCCATGAACCAGAGTGGGTTTCTCTCTCTCTCTCTTTTTTTTTTTTTGCACTTACTAATGCCTCATGTAGAACTAGTTGCCTTCAAGATGGCAGCATCCCCTTCAATTTTATGTTTTTGATAATCTCCCTTTCTGTAAAATTTGTCTGTTTGAAATCTAATACTTTAGTTTTATATTTTGTAGGTTTTAGTTTTAATGTCAAACTAAAAGCATTAGTGATCACTGAAACCTAGGTTTTTGCCTCATCTCAGTTTTTCATACCTTATCCCCATTTGTCAAAACTAAGTCTATAATATAGTCCTCTCTTATTGATCATTTTACTAAATATTTTAAAGAGGCACCTTTTAATGGTTCTAACATATCCCTTGCTCCTGCTTGTAAGTGTAATTGAGAGAGTCCAGTTAATGTTAGGCGTATTGAAGTTATGATTACATCCTCTTCCTTCATTGGCATCTCAGTTAGCTTCTCAACCACAATGCTATCATCCTGTGAATATCCTGTATATCAGGGGTCCCCAACCACCGGGCCCTGGACCGGTACCGGTCTGTGGATCATTTTCTACCGGGCCGCAAAGAAAATAAAAATAAAATAAAAATGGCGGCTTTCTTTGCCTTCGGTGAATGCTGCTGGGATCAGGGATCAAGAACACAAAGGAAAGAAGGGGAGGGAGGAAGCAACCGAAGCCTGTCCTGCTCTCCAGCTCAGTGGCTTTGGTTTCCTCCTGCCTCGTTCCTCTCTCAGTCGCTCTCTCGCTCCTCCACCAGCCCAGAAAGAAACTGCTTCAAAGAAGCTGGCAGGGTGGCTTTTCCTGTCGGCACAGCTCCTCCAAAGCGCCCGTTCACCCCCACAAAGCCGCCGGTGGTTCAGTCCAGTGCTCCGTTCTGCCTGCCTTCGTTTCTGGTTGTTTCGGAGCAGCTTCGGCTGAGAAAAAGAGGCGAATAGTTATTAAAGGGAGGGAGACACCTGAGGGATGAGGCTGAGGAAGGCAGGGCCGAGAGGCAGGGCTTCTCAGCCGTCCAGGGACTTGTCCTGAGCCGTGGAGACAGCCGTGGGCCGCCACCGCCCAGCGCTCAGTTTTGAAGGCACTCCTCAGCCCGGCACAGTTCATGAATCTGCAGCTGAAACCCTCCGTTTTAAATGTCCCAATAGAAGAGAATATCTGTCGCTCAGGGTTGCAATGAAGAGGCTTTGGCGCTCCCTGAACTTGGTGGTTTGCTGGCAGACGTTTTATTACCCGACTAGGTAACAACATCAGATGTTACCTAGTCAGGTAATGAAACGTCTGCAAGCAAACCACCAAACTTGGACTCCACCCCACCTAGCCGGTCCTTGAAAAAGTGTTTCTGCGTGAAACTGGTCCCTGGTACAAAAAAGGTTGGGGACCACTGCTGTATATGACACCATTTTTGATAACTGATCCTTCTTTAAACCCAGAGGGCTTCAAGGAGATCACATATTTTCTGAATTAGTGTTGCTTTTGTACCTTCTTTGACATAAATGGCAACTCCACACACAAACCTTTTCTGTATAATATGTAACCTGCTACACATATCCTAACAATTGGAATCCCTGAACCATGTCTCTGTAATTATAATAAGAGCCAGGTTACCCCTGTACATAACAGCTGTTAGCTCACAAAGTTTGTTGCCTAAATTCTGAACATTAGTACATATGTATGGCACACATTATCAAAAGCTTGATTTTTCTTAACAGCAGCCTTAATATTATTAACCACACAAACGTCCATGTCAAAAACACCAACAACACTATTGGTTTTAGATTTCTGGGGACAGAAATGTTTTGTATAAATTAACTCTATCCCCATTATTCAGTTTAAATGCTTCTCCAGAAAACCCCTGAATTTAATGCCAAGTTGCACAGTCTCTTTCTGCAAACCATCTTTTTTGCATCACTTTTTTGCATCAGAACAACTGCAAATTTCATGATTAACATAACCAATACTTTCAACTTTGCATTACTCCTTTAGCCAGACATTGAACTCCAGTATATGTTGACCTTTTCCTTTTTGCTCCTTATATACAGATAAAACCTCTAAAAAAGTAAAATCATGGCCTATCTTATTAAGTTCCTGCCCCAAATTCCTGAAATCCTTCTACCCAGAAAACACATCTTTTTTGGACAGATCATTAATGGCAAGATGCACACTAACATCAACATCACAATCCTTATTAATATTCTTGACAATCTTAACAATGCCCCTTCTTTTTTCTGCTGGCAGTAGCACCAGGCAGACACCTCACCTACTTCAGTACCCATACATCCTTTTCTTAATAGACCCTTATAGTTGAGTCACCAACCAGAAGATGACTTCTCTTTTTAGATATCCTACTTACCAGACATGGCTGATTTACAATACCTGATGCAGATTTTCCACTATCCAGATCATCTTCTTCCTTACAAAAGCATGAACCCCTCCCCAGTTGAGTCATCAACCTCATAAACAGCTGAACTTGCCATCTTAGTATCCCTATTAAATTCAGCAGGGACAGTATAATTATTTTGCAGAGACATATCAAAAACATTCTGTTTGTGATCTACATCTCTCACTCTGCCAGATCTCACAGTTGCCCATACTGCCTTACTTCTACATGGTCTTTGTAGAAGCAGGTAGCTCAATAGAATCAGCGTGTAATGCATAGTTTAGCAGAATGATAGCCATGATATATGACCCATACTGGTTGAGTTGGCCATCTAATTTCAGCCTGAAGAGGACAAACTAAAGACTCTAGATAAGCAATCTGTCCATGAAACTAGCAATCTGCATACAAATAGGATAACATCCAAACTTAAGTACCACAAAAAAATAGCTGCAAAATGAGTATTACAGCGAATTAAACCAGACATCCTAAAAATAAAATTGAAATCTCACAAGCACTTATCAAGGATGAACTATTTCTTTTTCAAACTACTGATGTTTTTAAAACTATACTTTTACTCAGATGCACATTTCTGGTCAGTTCTCAAAATTAGTAAGTTCACAACGTAAACTCAAGAGTTCCTTATATACCCTTACATACCATACTAGGTAGCATTTCAGACAGCTATTTCCTATGCTAATTGAGACATACTCAAACCTGGCCAATAATCAATTACCCTGGAACTACTACCAGCAACCCAACCATTAAGCAATATAAGTTAAAGAAATCAGGAATATTTTCTAATTTACCTTGTCCTGCTATTGATGTTTTTACACTTGCTCAGATGTGCACTTCTGGTCAGACACTCTCACAGTAAGTACTGTAACGGCATGTAGGTCAGTAGCTTATTTTGTTGGATGAAGTCCCAGTTCTCAGCAGCTCATGGTGAGCAACTCCTTGCTCTCCCAACAATCCTCAGTGCTCTGCAAATACAACCAGTGATTTAATTTTAACTGGTAGGCACTCTTAAAAATGTTACTGAAAAGCATGAATTTCTATCAACAAGCAGCAGGGTACTGCTACCCAGTCTAACTATACCTTCTGACATTAATTACTTCCATTTCAGTTCTTTTCTCTGAAAACTTTTTTGCATATTAGTATGAATTTTTATAAATTATTTGAATATTCTTAGAGAATAATACTGTCAAGTATAATATCACCTTCTCTAAGTAAGCCTTCCATCTACATAGTCAGTCTAAAAATTGCCAGTTTTATTTAACCTTTGTGATTTGTGACTGTATTTGTGCCAGAACACTGCAGTTTTAAATTCTAAAGCTTTTAAATGTCTCTCTCTTGGCATTATTTGAATAAAGAGGCCACTGATGACCAAAAGGAAGTCCTAGCTCACACAAAAATCATTGGATTAGAATTTGAAATTCTTGCATCCTATCTTGGGATTGTTAAAATTAATTTTACATAACAAATAAATTTTACATATAAATAAACACTTTGTTCACAGCTTTCTGACTGAGCATTGCTGTTAAAAGTTTGTGGAGCCCTTTGAATTTTCAATATTTCTGCACAGATATGATCTAAACTGTGATCTATTCTCCACACAAACCCCAAAACTAGAGGACCCAATTAAATAAATGATTCAACCTGTATCATAAATTAATCAGCTTTAGAGAAACTCTTATTTTTTCAGGTTATTTATCGGCATACACATATCTAATTTGAATATAAGGGACTACATAATTAATCTATATTGATAATAATTGAAAGCTATTGAAATGGATATACATGTGTATGTTTCTTACTATATCTATTTCTAGCTCTGAATTGGTATTATCTGTTCAAGATAGCAGTTTCTTTTTTGACAGTTCTTCTGATCACGTTTTTAATCTAATTTGTAGTTAAGGGAAGAAAGTAGACGGCTAGCACTAGCTGCTAAAAGAGAGAAAAGAAAAGAAAAAAGAAGAAAGAAGAAAGAGGAGCAGAGGAGAAAGCTAGAAGAAATTGAGGCAAAAAACAAAGAAAATTTTGAATTACAAGCTGCTCAAGAAAAGGAAAAAAACCTAAAAGCTGAAGGTATATATTACAGCACTACTCATGACTATTATTGGAGTTGCCTGGTATAGATGCCACATAAAGTTAGCTTGAAACAGCCAGGAAATAATCAGATTTCACAGGGTTGTTTTTTTTTAACTTTTCCTTCCCCAAATCTTGCAATTGAATAATTTCATGAGATTTGTTAATATCTCATTACCTTTGCCATAGCCCAGTGGATGCCATCTGCAGGAGTCTTCGCAGGCTACGGTGCTTATAGGCACTATAGGCACAAAAGCTTTAGAGGAGGGACCTTCAAACTTGACAGCTTTAAGACTTGTGGACTTCAACTCCCAGCATTCTTCCCCCAGTCATGTTAGCTCAGGAATTCTGGGAGTTGAAGTCCACAAGTCTTAAACTTGCCAAGTTTGAAGACCCTTGCTTTAGAGAATGAAGAACAGAATTTAGTGGTCTCTACTGTAGCATTAGAGTTACCATGCCTTTTGACTCGAAGTCCTTTATTCCTTTCAAAATATTTGACATCTACTCTTAAGCATCAGTTCAGTAACAAATTGCTTATTTAAAATCATAATTAAATCCTATGAGCTCCATTAAATTAAATCAATATTATTAAATAATAAAACTATTCAATTAAAGCAAACTCCATACTATAAATTTATAGAGATTTGATGGAAATATATATTTTTACCCCGTGACTTTTAAGTTTGTGTTTATAAATCATAAATCTGTTACATGCATTTCCATTTCAATCACTGAAAATATTAAAGTGATTTTTGCAAAGAACTGATGTTCAAAATGAAGAAAACGGCTTTTTGGAATTGTTCTTGAGATTAACTTAATAAAAAACCTGAGTGATTAATTAAGAGCATTTTTAAAATTCTCATGCAATTTTTAAAGAGATTTTGTTTGTTAAATAGGACTTTTTGTAGAATACCATAAAAGAAATTTGTTCACCAGTTCTCTAAATTCAATTGTTTCCTCTATAATCTGTAAATTAGGTTTGCGTTCAAATCCTCAGCTTTTAGAAGTACAATTGTTACATTTATATGTCCACACATCAACCTGTTTGTTAATAAATAGGTATTAGGTAATAAGGTACTGTAACAGGATCTAAGATCTCCATAAATCATTTGCATAGAAATATGTGGATCAATTCAATGATAAATACTTCAGGAATGCTTGGGCTTCAATCATGTTCTTTTGTTTCTCAATTAGAAGAGCCAGGAGTCCCAATAGAACCCCCGAGTGCTACCACAACCACTACTATAGGTATATCTGCAACATGGACAACTTTGGCAGGTTCCCATGGAAAAAGAAATAATGTTACTACAAGCAATTCTAAGAGAAAAAGCAGGAAAAATAAAATCAACCAAGATACAGTTCAAATAATGTTTGATGATCAGCTTCCAATCTCCTACTCTCAACCAGAGAAAATAAATGGTGAATCGAAAAGCAGCAGTACAAGTGAAAGTGGTGACAGTGACAACATGAGGATTTCCAGCTGTAGTGATGAAAGCAGCAATAGTAATAACAGCCACAAAAGTGATAGCAATTCATCCACAGCAGACAGTAATGATCAGAACAGCAAGAAGCAGCCAGCAGTGCTTGTTACATTCCCAAAAGAAGAGCGAAAACCAATGTCTAGCAAATCTCCACTCAAGTAAGGTTCTGTGGGTTTTCTTGCCAAAATGATTGATAAATCTTAATCATGCTGTAACATCTCTGAATTTTTGTTGGCTTGTATTTTCTTTCCCTTTTGTTTCTTTATTGATTGATAACATGCAGTGTTTATTAAAATATTTCTGTTGCCTTTCTACCAAATAAACTATTTAAAGATAGTATAAGTGCATTTCAGAATCCTAGAAAGAAATTGGTTTTCAACTTGACAAATAAGGGCCAGATGACATTTCAACCTTCATTGAAGTATCAGACAAACTATAGGAAATCTGCAAGAAAGGTTCAAAAAGCTCACAAAGACCTAGTCTTAGTGTATTCACTAACGAAGGAATAGTTATAATTAAAACTGATTAGCGAGACTGTGTGTGAACCCATCTTCCTTAAATGATCAGTTAATTATGAATAAACATAATTAAAGATATAAAAAACATTACAAAGTGTTCATTGTTCTAGTCTAGAACAGCCCTATGGGCTTCCTTTGTCCACATAGAAACAAAAATTATCCTCATAATCAGAGGTCATGTTACAAGTAGGTTAAAGCAGTGTTTGGATTCTAGCTTTTATTTCATGTATTTCTCCATTTCAGGATTTCTGAGAAGGAACCTTCTGTCTTGAAGGAGCATATTTTCTAACAAACACTATCTTAATTCTAAAGGTAGAGTAGACAAGGTGACCTGTTGGTCTATCTTTGAGAGAAAAGTAGTATAATTTGATGTGATGTGATCAGAATGAATATTATTTAGACTATATTTTTACTCCATGATCATCTAATAAGAGAATATGACATAAAAATATTTATAGTGGCCATTGAACTTTGATAATAAGTATGGCATTTGTTTATCAAAATAGATACAACCATAGGTAGACAAATACACAGTGGGAGGAGTAGTAACTTCCGACTTCCTGCTGCCTTTCCCATTGATTTTGATTGTGGGATGAGAGGTTTAGTGGTATATAAGTTGTGCATCTCATTAAATGGAAATTATTTGATTTGTTTGAATGCAGGGCATATTTCAATTTATAAGAAGCATTAAACAGAAAAATTAAAAGTTTTCTGCTTTACCATAGCTGTAATATTCATTTGTTGTATTTTTCTATATATCTGAGATATAGAAACATTTGATTAAGTATCAAATGTTTTAATTGCTGTTAAATAAATATGTGCTTTGTAACTGAAAATCAGTCATTTTAATATGTCATAGATTTAAAGGGTTTGGATGCCAACATAATTAAAGCAGACCTCTGGATATCAGTAGAATATTTTATTCTCTTTTATTATTTGTCTTTAATATTTGTGTGATAGCAATTAACACAGAAATATTTTCTCTCTCTCTCTCTTCTGTCTTTTTCCCATTTTACTTGAAAGATTATCAGAGATTATTGGTGAAGCACCTGCTAATTCCTTATCTACTTGCACAAAATCTTGTCCATCACCTCTCTCTTCTCCTAATGGAAAAATCAGCTTAGCTAGTCCTAAACGTGGTCAGAAGAGAGAAGAAGGATGGAAAGAAGTAATAAGAAGGCAAGCTAAATTTTATATTACAGCAAATTTCTATTTTTCTTCCTGTCCACTTTGGAAAATGTATTTTAACCTTGCTTCATCCTACCAGCCACATTAGGGAATATATAGTAGATGCATTCCTTATACCTAATTTTAACAGTTTCTCATAAGGATTGCTGTAAAATATATTCACAATCTGAAAACAAAATTTATTTTCTGTAATGACATTTTTTCTGTCAAACTAGATTACTTTCATACCTAAAAATATAATAAAATAATTTATTACTTCATTTAATTTGAAGTTTGCTAACACTTATGTTTTATTTTAATGATGAAAAATGCCATATAGATTTTATCAATATGCAATAAAGACTTCCTGAATATGTGTCATACCCTGCATATACTTCCTTGTTGGTGAGATGCTGGTAACATATTGGCTTGCAGGGTTGTTCCTTAATGAAAGAGCCTAACTTGCATAGAATAACCTGACAGTACCTAGAATAAAATCAGTCTTTGGTTACACTTGCAACATTTGGTAAAATGTCCCAAACTGTGCAGAATGTGCTGTATATGCCATGAATATGATTAAATCTAATAAATTTAACCTTAGCTTAAGACCTAAATGATTTGCAATGAATGCTAGGTTATGTCATACAATGAAGACCATAGAATTGAAAATTAATATATCAAAGACCAAAGTAACTTTGACTTGGAAATTGGACTAAACATTTCCACACTTTCCATGGTAAAAGCTAGAGCAAACAGATGAATCTGTGTACAGTACCTTGATAGAATATTTAAGAAAACTGAGGAAATGGTTAAGACAATTTGTAACATTCTAATGTTGGTAGATGATGTAATGGTGAGTTATGTGTGAACTATTACGAAAAAGATTGTTGAAACCAGCAAAATAATTTCACATAAGAGCATGATTTTGCTCACATTGTTTTATGAAAACAATGGGATTTAGGAGAAACATAAAATGACTTGAGTGCAAAGTGGGTTAAATAAAATACTTTTTGCTCTGTTTCAGTATTCTTTTCTTACATTGTCCCTTTAATTTTTGGGCTGTTCCTTATTCCTTTTCTGCATTCAGCACAATGTTTATGGAGGTTCTCAGTCATCCAGAACATAGTTATCCCAAAGGTGCTTTTTCAAGAAGCCACTGGACTTTCTTATTTTTCTCTGAAGACATTTTGATTCTCATCCAAGAAGCTTCTTCAGCCTTGACTGAATGATGGGGAATGGAAGGATTTATATTCCTTGCAGACATTTGTAGCTACTCAGGTGACCCCGATGACACAGATAAACCTTCAGGTGGCCTCAGTGACTATCTAAAATAATGCAAATCTCTCATCAAGGAATATAAATCCTTCCCATTCAGTCAGAGTTGGAGAAGCAAAACATCTTCAAAGAAAAACAAGAAAATCCAGTTGCCTTTTGAAAAAAGCAACTTTGGAGCCATTCAGCACAATGTTGCTGACTCAGTAAGGAAATAGTGAATGGCTATTCAAGTAATTTCTCTTGAAACACATTTTCACTATTGTATGGTATATCTTTGCATTTAGGAGCTGACCAGAAATTCTTTATTGTAAAAATGCCTTTCCAACTTTCTAAATAATCATCTTTGAATTAAAATATCAGTAATTTTATACTATGGCCAATGTATCAGGCTGTACAGTTTTTGGAAAATCAAAACAATCCTGCTTTATTGTATTCTAAGTTTGCTGTTGTAATTAACCTTCTTGTTCATTTGTTTTTAGATCAAAGAAGGTTTCTGTTCCATCAACTGTTATTTCCAGAGTAATTGGGAGAGGTGGTTGTAACATCAATGCTATTAGAGAATTTACAGGAGCACACATAGATATTGATAAACAGAAAGATAAAACAGGAGACAGAATCATAACAATAAGGTAATCCAAGGCACTACTTATTTCATTTCTAATAATTTAGTTGATCTTACTTCTGTACTTAGTTGCTAAATGCCTTAGGTGAGCCCTTGTTAAGGGACAGATTTTAGTCAAAAAATCTTACTTTACCTTACCTTCTTATTGGAAACCACTTGTCAAGAATTCTAATTTGAGAGATAACTGTGCTTTCCTATAAGATGTGAGAGATTCAGGGAGCACATTTCATTTCTCCATTTCATTTTTTTCTTAAATTTAACTTTTCATTTTTCCCTGTGTTTTTCTGAGATTAAGCACCTTTTTCTGTATTGTACTTCACTGTACCTAGAATATATCTAAGCATAATTTTATATCTAACTGATGTTTTTTAATGTTTGCATTCAAACATTTGAATTCACTATTGGAATCATAACATAAATGTTGCCATAAAGTAATTAAATTTCTTTTTCTTAAATATCTGGGTTTTTTTAAAAAAAGTGTCCTCATGCATCTGTTATAGGGGAGGCACAGAATCAACACGACAAGCAACACAACTTATAAATGCTCTGATTAAAGATCCAGATAAAGAAATTGATGAGCTCATTCCAAAGAATCGTTTGAAAAATTCTGCAGCCTATCCCAAAACAGGAACATTATCACATTCAACCACTACAACAGTTCACGGTTCTGTAGCTGGGAACAAAGTCACCACTGTAGCAGTATCATCATCATCACCACCATCATCATCATCTCAGATTGCTACAACAGCCTCTGTGCCTGCAATGTCATCAGCATGTACCCATAAAACACTGAAGAATCCCATGAACAATGTTAGACCTGGATTTCCAGTTTCTCTACCATTAGCCTATCCTCCTCCCCAATTTGCACATGCATTGCTTGCTGCTCAGACTTTCCAACAGATTCGTCCGCCAAGGTTGCCCATGACCCATTTCGGAGGAACATTCCCACCAGCTCAATCCACTTGGGGTCCTTTCCCTGTTAGACCTCTGAGCCCTGCAAGAGCAACTAACTCACCTAAGTCTCACACCGTGCCTCGCCATAACAATCAAAACAGCAGTGGTTGTCAAGTGAATTCTGTGGGTTCCTTGACTTCTACTTCTACAGCTACCACAAGTTCGGTGGTGTCTACTGTGCCTGTTTCTTCTGCAAATGGCAGTCCCAGTTCTCCCTCAGTGAGAAAACAACTATTCGTCACTGTGGTGAAAACATCCAGCACTACCACAACAATTTCAACCACAGCAAGCAACAACAGCACAACAACAACAAATGCCATATATCCTTTTCCTACAGCCAAAGAGCAATACCCAATTTTATCCACTTCCTCCCCTTCACCACCGGCCCAGTCAGCAAAGATATCTAGAAATAGTCCTTCGGAATGTACAAGAAATTCTCCAAGCAAAAGGGTGTTATCTTCTGACCAGGAAGTGGGTAGTTCACCAGTTGTGGAAATGGTAAATTTGGCCAATAACAGGCAGTCAAATAGTTCTGTTGGCATTCCTTCAGAACATCTGGGACAACCACAGTCTCTTGGGCCTCTTTCTCAAGAAGCAAGACCACCTCTACAGCCTCAGGTTCCAATACAAGATCCTCGTATGGTTGTACCTCCAAATTTAACAACCATGAGTTCTTCTGCCCCAATAGTTACTCCTGCTAATGCTTCAGTGAACTCTCCAGCAAACTACCTTTTGTCTCAGGCATCAGTAGGATCTATTCAGTCTTCTGCTCCAGCTAAAATAGAAAATGCCTCTGTCAGGCTATCTTCCCATGGAACCAATCCTGTGCACAAGAATTCAACTCCTCTTCAGAATTCTACAGTTCCAGTCCTTAATATCACACACATAAAAAGACCCCACAGTGTTCCTTCTTCAGTGCAAGTTCCTTCCACTTTAACTACTCAGAGTGTTTCTCAAAATTCAGTCCATCCCACAAATAAATCCATGGCCACCAATTTCAATGCTGCTTTACCATTTGGACCATTTAACACACTATTTGAGAATAACCCTCCCTCAGCTCATGCATTCTGGGGTGGTTCTGTCTTGTCATCTCAGACAACGCCGGAATCCATATTGTCTGGAAAGTCTTCATTTCTGTCAAATTCAGATCCATTACATCAATTAGATACTTCCAAAGCCCCAGGGTTTAGACCTCCACTGCAGAGACCAGCTCCAAATCCCTCAGGTAAGTATAAGGTTCACCTTTTTCCTTGTTTCATATCCCCAGTATCTCTTTAGTGTCTTATGATTGGATGTCAAAGACTGCAGTCTGATTGGTGTAAAATCTTATCTATCTGTTGAATAATGGGATCAAATTCTAGCTATGCATGCAAATAAGCAAGTTCGTTTTCTAAAAGATTTAGCTATAAAATGAAGCATGAATATATCTGCAAAAGGGTTTTATCTGTTCACTCAGATTTATTATAATCTGCTAATCTTAAAAAAGTGAATTATTATTTATCACTAAATTATATTTTTTGAATATGTTTACTTCCCTTGAAAGATTTCACCTAATAGTCATGCTGTTTTTAACATCCAAAATACATGAAGAATATTGTAAAACTCTTTAGCTAAAGGCTTATTTATTTAATACATTTCGACTTGTAAATAAGCATTGTGCTGTTACTTCAAAATAGATACAGGGAAAATCAGTAAAAAGTAAGACATAGTATTTATAATCAGATTTATGAAAAATGCAGTTTGAAACATTGTGAGATCTCACAGCTGTACAGGGAATTTGAAAAAAACACTTAGTGATATTGGCAAAGCACTATGGATAATATAGATTGATCTCAACCAATAGATTAATCCATCCCAGGGAACTAATGGTCCTGATGGATTCAGAGAGAACTTAAGGTTTTTCCTGGGGATTTGGTGGGTCATTTGACTGAGACCTTAGCTCTACCAGTTAGGGAGCTTATATGTGATTGATTTTTTTTTGTTGGGTTTTCCTATTTATTGATCTTGGGTCACTCTGGTTTTCCAAGGAGTTCTGGGAAATAAACTAACAGACATTTGAAAAAAGGTGAAGAGCATTTTTGACTACTTCCATTTGACAGCTAACATTAAAGATTACATTATGGTGATGATAAGTTGGGTAGAAAAACTACTCTTATTACACTCTTTCCACTCTTGTTGCATCTCCAGATAACTGGCTAGTAGCTTGGTTTAAAGTGACCATTGCTGGGGAGGAAAGGCCCCTGTGAACATCTACAAGTCTACTTTAGGAATGTACTAGATAGCTGATAAATAAAATCACATGGTTACATACTGAATTAGATTGGACTGTGCATGTGCAGTTAAGTTGATTGAGGTAGAGTCTTGTCTTGTCCTACTAACTGGAAAAGGTTCAGTCCCCTGACTATTAAGGAAGTTAACAGGATCAATGGGATTGTTAACCTAGCTACAAGTTTGTTTGTTCTGTATCCATCTTGGTTGGCAGTGAAATCATCTTTGAGGGAGGAGATGGTTCCATTTGTCTTAAAGGGGGCAATAATGTACCTCACCTCAAGAAGCCATTGCCAATCCCAACTATTCTGGGCAATTTACACCTAAGTCTCTGACTTTCTCTTTTTAAGAAAAATGATTGAGAAGGTGGTATAGCTGATCTCAGAAGAAGCAGATGATCTGGACCCATTTAAATTAGTTTCAGGCCAGGGTGTTGTACAGAGATGACATTGATTGCACTGTGGCAGAGCCAGTATGGGAGCAGTGAATACATTCTGGTTCTCTTTGATTTCTCAGCAGCCTTTGATACTGTCATTTTTAACTTTCTCAACCGGAGTTAACCAGAAAACCATTTTCAAACCACGGAGGGTTGAAAATAATAAACACAGTGCTGCAGTAGTTCTCCTTTCCCCGTGTCAGTGGAGAAGAGGTCAAGCTTTGAAGTGCCTGGTTGATGGATTGCCATTCGTTCTGTTTAATATCTATATGAGGCTGCTGAGTAAGATCATCTTCTATAACAGGAATAGACATCATTATATGAATGATACTGAATTTTATAACTCAATCTGTGGTTAACAAAACTAGAAGCTAAAGGTTTATGATTCATCTACTGTTGGGTATTATCCTTAAAGGTTTTTTTTTTAAATTAGGTGCTTCTAATCTTGTGTGTGTAGTCTTGGATTTGTGATGTATTGGTATAATTTTAGGAGAAAATCAGAAACCTGAGTTTGTGGTAGAATCTAGTTCCCATATTGCACCATTGTCCTGTTCTTTCTTGTTGATTATGAAAATCTGCTTCGGTTTCTTTTCAGTTTAAGTGATTGTATTTGAGATGGATATGCAACGGTGCCTGCAATAGCAAATTGGAATGACTTTAGGAAACCAGAGGAAGAGCTTCCATAGACTAAACAATATTAAGAAAAGTGTCAACTGAACTATTAAAACAAATGGGGGGTGGTGACAAATACCTTAGAAGGGACCCTCTTTAATTTCTTGGACTATAAAGGCAACAGGAGAAAGATGTACTTTCAGATTTGCAAGACTCTGTTAATATAGTCTTACATTACTGAAAAGCTAGAGCTAGTACTTTTGAGTATGCTTCTTGTCTGGATTACCTCGCAAAGCTGACGGTGCCTGAGAAGGTGCAGTGCTGTTGCATATTATATTTTATTAAGCAACACATTTAAATTGAGCTCCAGCTGTGAGCTCTAACTGTTGTTCTGTCTTGGTAGTCTGCTTGATGATCTACTCTCAGAATTAATCTGGCTGTATTATTTAGTCTGTTGATCTTAAGAGGAGGGTAATTCTGTTTCCTGATGTCTGGTTTAATTCTATTAGGTGAGTATCTCTATATAATGGGTCAGAAGATATATGATGGATGTAATGGTCTGATCTCTATGGAAGTTGGAAGCATATAGATTGTCTATTGTGTAATTTTTACCATTACTCTGTGTGTGTGTGTGTGTGTGTGAGAGAGAGAGAGAAATTCATATAGTCACCCATTTGCTAAAGAGCTCTATCAAAAAAAGGGAACTTTGTTCCATAGTTTGAACAAAGTGAGGTTGATGGGATGGAAATTTTGAGATCATGATGGAACTTAATTATTCATTTCATAAATTGAAATTGACACAAATATATTGCATCCACAATTCCTTATTCCATTGTTATGGTATGTAGGAATGACCTTGGAAGACCAGAAAAAGAGTCACATCCCAACAATGGTCTTGTGCAGCCCAGTTCACAAATGGGGAAAAGCATAGAAAGTGTTTCAGAAATGACCCTTCCTAGAGAGGAAGGGAGTAACAGATAACAGATAATCAGAGTTGGAAGGAATCTTGTAGGTCATCTAGTCCAACCCCCTGCTCAAGCAGGAGACCCTACACCATTTCTCACAAATGGCAGTCCAATCTCTTCTTGAAAGTCTCAAGTGATGGTGCTCCCACAACTTCCGAGGGCAAGGTGGGTTGATTGTTCTCACTGTCAGAAAGTTTCTCCTTATTTCCAGGTTAAACCTCTCCTTGTTCAGTTTCCATCCATTATTCCTGTCTGGCCTTCAGGTGCTTTAGAAAATAGCTTGAAACCGTCTTCTCTGTAGCAGCCCCTCAGATATTGGAAGACTGCTATCATGTCTCCCCTGGTCCTTCTCTTCACCAGACTAGCCAAGCCCAGTTCCTGCAACTGTTCTTCATATGAGTAATACTTTTAGTCAGCCTTGCAAGTTTCTTTGTAAGGTAACCTTATAATAAAGATAGTGCTGATGTTCCTTGTGCTTCTTGTCTGGACTAATTTGTAGAGTTAATATCCATAGAGCAGAAGCCTTGTTTTTGATGTACAATTTAACATATTCTTGTATACAATAAAACAAAAAGGGCATGGACGTAAAAAATGCAACTAAATTTGTTTGGCAGCAGTAGCGGCAAACACCCCCCCAACAATGCTAAATATTCCACAATATAATCAGGTGTCATCCAGAACATAAACATAATAAAATTCATTCCAGTAATGTTTTGAGAAATTTGAAAAAATTCAGGTTTTTGCAAATGCTAATATTCTATCTAAACTAGCAAATATTCCCTGGCAAATTTTTTTTCCCATTCCTAGCCTCAATTTAACAACTAAAATTAACACTGTTTTGTTCTATGATTCATCAGTTTGCAAGGCAAAGATATATTTGCTTAGAAGTTTTAGAAAGTGAAATCTGGTTGGTTGTTGATTACTGACATTTTGATATGCAAGTCGAGTAGATCATGTGATCATCCGCTTGATGACTATAAGTGGTTAAACTGATTTATTGGTATATATAAAATTCAAAGTAAAAAATTCATACAGAAATATATTAGTACTACTAACATTATTGAATAAGCAAATTATGCGTTATGCCAATACCAGCATTTATGCACATTGTTCCTGTTGGAAAGTGATGGTTTACACATAATTTTACAGGTATTGTTGGTCTGGATTCACCTTATGGTTCTATTACACCTTCTTCTGCACATTTGGGTAACTTTGCCTCAAATCTTTCAAGTGGCCAAGTATATGCTTCAGGAACTGCATTGGGTGGAGCACCAACAGCTGCTAATTTTAATAGACAGCATTTTTCCCCACTCAACTTACTGCCTTCATGTTCCTCTGCATCAAACGGTGAGGGTTTGTTTCATTCTTTAATAGCATAATCAAATATGTTAAGGTTCCTAGCAGATTTCTTATCTTAGGCGTAGAATAAAGTTAATTGATAATAACTGCAGTTAAGTTTTAATAACCCAAGAAATATTTTTACAGTTTTATTCAGGTAAGCTGAATTCTAGAATCATGATTGTACTGTTTGCAAAAAGGTACTGTGACAAGTCTCTCCAGTGATTACTTCTATGTATATTTGCCCTAGAGAGCATGTCATAAAAATTACAAGCTGTTATTGTTATATCAAGTCTCAGGTATCATGATTCATCTGTTTGCAACTGTTACTACTTAATGTTTAATTCATGTTACTCATTTTATTGAGTCTAGGATAAAATCAAGTATTGGGAAGATAGGTTGTTTTTTGAAATATTCACAGCAAATTCTCTCTTCATACTTATTTGCTTTTAGAGCCATCTCCTCAACCAATGACTGCTGGAGTGAGAGCACCATCTCCAACCCCTTCAGCTGTTTCCATTGGGTCAGAAAAGTCCAGCAATATATCTCAAGATAGGAAGGTTCCTGTTCCAATTGGAACTGAGCGTTCTGCACGTATCAGGCAAACAGGAACATCTACACCTGCTGTTATAGGGAGTAACTTAGCTGCTCCAGTTGGTCATAGTGGTATATGGTCTTTTGAAGGACTAGGAGGAAATCAAGGTGGTATGTATTGTCTTCTGCTCATCTTACAATAATGTATTATCAAAACAAAATCTAGAAAATAAATAATTTAAATGTTAAAAATACATGCTTCTCTCAGAAATGCTTGTGTTGATTTTTGGTATTTCCATATTAAATAGCTAATTAATGCCATTACAGATTTACTAGAATAGAATTCTTTATTGCTTAAGGTAAGTGATAAATCATCAGATATCAAAAGGAGAAGATAGTAGGAAAGATGAGAAGGATGGAAAGATGAGATGACAAGGATAACAACAATATAGCCTACTACTTATATCTACTAATATCTTTAGGCATAAGAGTGGAGTTAGGTGTTTAGCAGAATGATGGCGTGGGGGAGGAGGGGAACTATCTTCCTGTCTAGCTATTTTGGCATGCAATATAGTGAAGTTGAAACAGTTTATGTCCAGGATGTGAGTGGTCTGTAGATTTTTTCTTGCCCTCTTTCTAGTTCACACAATATACAGGTTCTCAGTGGAAGACAGGCAAATTGCAATTGTTTTTTCTGCAGTCCTAACTATCCATTGAAGTCACTACCTGTCCTGTTTGGTGGCTGTGCCAAACTAGACAGTTACAGAGGTACAAATGACAGACTCAGTTGAAGCAGAAAGATCATTCTTTGTTGTGCCTATAGTCTCTATAGTTTTAAGACTGTTCAGCTTCAGATTGTTCCAGCTGTACCACAGGGCCAATTGTTCTACCTCCCATCTGCATGCAGACTCATTATTATCTCGAATGAGACCAATGGCAAACTTCAGTAATTTAACCGAGGGATCCTTTGAGATTCAGCTATTAGTATACAGATAAAAGAGGAATGGAGAGAACATACAGGGGGGCGGTATGGAGGCTCCAGTGCTAATTGAATGGAGATTTTGATACAGATGAAGATGGGGCCAGTTGATTACACAGACTTTCAAGCAAGGAGTTACCTTGTCTGGGCCTGGTGCTTTTCCTGACTTTTGTCTGCGAAATAGACCCTGTACCTCTTTTTCTAGGATCACCACAGGTGAGGGGCCCAGAGGGATAGAGTCAGGTGTAGGAAACTTGGTTGTTGTTGATGTATCTGAGATGGAGAAGATAGCTATAGTTGACAGTGGTCTCCTCTCACAGTGGTTTAATCATGTCCTACTTTAAAAAGTTAATTTTTAAATCTTATTGTGACATATTATTTGAGGCTAAATGAGCAGAGTGACTTTTTCTTTAGTTTTTAGATCACAATATAGATTATAGTAGAAATTCAGTGATAACATAAATAAGAATATATTAATAGTTATACTCTTTTTTTCTTCCTAGATAAAGTAGATTGGTGTCACAGTGGAATGGGAAACCATATGATTCACCGGCCAATGTCTGATCCAGGAGTATTCTCACATCAGTCAATGGAGAGAGACAGCACAGGAATTGTAACACCTTCTGGTACATTCCATCAGCACGTTCCTGCAGGATACATGGACTTCCCTAAAGTTGGGGTAACCTAATATTTAGATAATTGGCCAGGTTTTTGTTGTTTAAATGGTTTTTCTTGTTTAAACATTAACAAATGTTAAGTTTCAGTTGGTTTTGCTATGACAATTGGTATGTCTTTGAGTTTCCTATTGTGTCTAGAGAAATCCTAAATAGCTAAGAAATGAGTATATACCAATTACTTTGTTAATATTTGAATATTTCTTACATGTATCAAGAAGTAATTTTATAAAACATTCTCACGTATGATATATGTACTTTTAATTTTTATATACTGCCCCAATTGCAAAATCAGGAGACATTAATTTAGGAATTCTCATGTTTTTAGCACATGTAATAAATTAAGATCATTAGATTGCAGACAATTTATAATACAAAACGCTCCTGAAATATGCATGTATCTAAAACCAGGAATACAATAGGGTTTTGGGTTTTTTTGCTATGTGAAGAGATGATTAAATAATTCACAATTCTGTTCTTGACAGGGCATGCCCTTTTCGGTGTATGGGAATGCAATGATTCCTCCTGTTGCACCCATAGCTGATGGTACTGGTGGGCCCATATTTAATGGGCCTCATGCTGGTGACCCAACTTGGAATTCGTTGATAAAGATGGTTTCAAATTCTGCAGAGACTAATGGCCCCCAGACAGTAAGTATCAAGGATATTTCAGATTAGTATTTATGGACAAGTGTCCCCTTTCAGTACTGGAAAAAAGAGAAGCTTTATTAGTCTTTGTCTGTAATGTGTCTCAGCATTACTTCTAATTTTCCTAATTCCTAGAGTTAATAGTATTCCAGTGACAGATTATGGAAGACATTGGTATGTGGTATATATATTGCCTAAACAATATTTATATGATTTGTACCAACAATCTAAAAATTGAGGCAATTTAGTTTGAGCTAATAATGCAGAGTTTCACCAGGCCATTTTGTGCAAGTGGGTAAAAAGATCATAGAAGAATGGATATTTGGGTGAGGAGGGAATAGGATACCCTGAGGGCATAAAAACCCTGTATTTTTATTCTTAATATTCAATATTTCTTGATTTTGGAGACTTTTAAAAGTAGCAGCTTTAGCCCAAATGTTAATTTCTTATTGATAATGAATAATGGGTTGAATAGATAAAAGTGGTTGTAATATTTTACATGATATACAAGTAGCATGCACATCAATTTCCAAATGGATCAAAAGAGCTAAGAACATAAAGAGTAACAAATTGAGATAATAATTTACATATGTTAAGTGGAAATTAATTACAATTCTATTTGTTTATTTATTTGATAATGAAAGCTTTGAAGTTTAAAATGTCTATTCTCCTCCCCAGGTTTGGACAGGAACATGGGCACCACATATAAGCAGTGTGCATATGAACCAGCTTGGTTAAATGCAGATCACCTTCAATAGCTTGAAGACTTTTTTTGTTTTGGCTTTGAGGAGACTACAGATGGCAAAAACAGTTCTCCTCAGCTTTCAAATTATTTTTTGGTTGTATTGGACTGAAGCGTGTAGGCTTTTCAGAAGAACATACTGACACTTCTCTGTGAACATTATGACTGCCCATTGCCTTCCAGATGTGATTCATCTTAGCCTCTTAGTTTCATTTTCTTTCACTCTTGATTTTAATTTTGGACATAACTTTATGTTGAGGCTGTTCTTTGGTTGGTTGATTTTTAGTACTGTAAACTGCTTTTGGGCATACACAGAAATTTAGCAAAATTATGTAAACTTGATCCTGATGTTTTAGAATGGCAGATAAATGTACAATTGTTTACATAACAGAAATGGATAGCAAAAGGCAAATCTTTCCGGTATGTCAGTATAGAGGCTCAACTTTAATGTGACAGATGTATCTTCATATACAGCAGTCTGGATGTTTTCTTCATACATTAAAATATTAATAAAGATTACTTTTCTAGTTGTTTAATTTTAAATATTCATAAAATGGGCATTATTTGAGTTTTTTCCATAACCTTATGTTTATACAGTGAGATTTGATATTTATTCATTATAAATTTAATTTTATAAATTGAATAGGACATTTATGCAAAATTCTTCCCCAACTACTCTATAAATGTTGAATACAAAAATACACACAGATCCTTAATCATTATGTTAAAGCACTTCCAAAGCTCCCCCCTTCAATATTAACGCATTTCTATGTTAAGATATAGTCTAACCAGATTATTACAAAGATGGGTTAATAAAATTACTGTCTGCAACTAGTTTGAAAATACTCCTTAGTTTTATATTGTCTATTAGTTACTGGCAAGGGATTTTTTAAAAAATCAGTCGGAATGAATTGGCCATTGTTTTCTGCTATAGAAATGGCTTGAATTTAGAAGACACTGAATTATCATGCCATTCAATAATCTATTCTGAAATTAAGAGGCCATATCTTAATGTAATGTGACTCTGGATTACTTCCACTGCCTAAAAGGAAACAATACTAATTGGCAAATAATCTATTCCAGTCTAGAAGATTTTATAAGTACCTGTGACAAATGGTGACAATTAATTATAATTGTTACCATCTGTCCCAAGTACTTCTAAAATCTAAATAACTGGTATGTTTCTGAATATGTGATATGTATATTTAAATTTTATAAACTATCCTCCTCATAGCAAGTATTGCATGTGAGAATACAAAGAGGCCTGTCTCTATTCTTTGCTAGTTGAAAGAAATGAACTGTGTTTCAGTAGCAGTTGTTTCTCATATGCAAGTTTCTACGTATCATTTCAGAAGTAAGTGCCATTCAATTTAGTGGGGCTTACTCCTACAGAAATAATAGTGTTAGTGGTTCAACACAAGAGTTACACAAGTGAAATTAAGATTACTTAGACCAGTTGTTTTTAATAAATTCTAAAATGCTGTTTCAGGTATAAAGCCAGCAAGAAAAATCACTTTCCCAAAGAATCCTGCAGCCTTGTTAATGCACATTTAAAAATGTTGAAAGACTCATGAATAAATAAGTTTGTCTGTGTAATGCCCTCTATTGGTGCTCTTAAAATAACCTTTCCATTATCTTTTATTATATGTAATGAAATATTTAGAATTGGTTGTAGCAAAAAGAATGTCTAACCAAATAGCTGTTGATGGAAAGGAGAAAAACATACCAACCTAATTTTCAGCACTTTAATGGGTGGGGGAATAATGCTATTTAACTTTTATATAATATTTGCAACTATCTTTAGTTTATGCTTACTACAGCTAATTAGGATTATTTTTTGCTTCTTTAAATAATCCTTCAGCAGAGTAGTTGCTGCTTAGTATTTATTACAATAAAATATATTGTCAGGTTCAGCTAAGTTTCCTCGGATGTGGTTTCTTATTAAAGTGATCTGTATTTTGTTGACTTGAAAGCAAAAATATTAATAGAACAGACTGAAACACTCCATGTCTTTTTTTTATGAAATAAGCCTTGTCAAAATCCTGGGCGGGTGGATGCTAGAAGTCTGTATTAGGAACATTTTTGGAACACTTTTTATATTTCAAATGTAATGCATACTTGACCAATAAAGACAAGGAACATGTTCTTTTTTTGAGACCTTCTAGGTCTTTATTTTGAAACACACCCTCAGACTATTTGCAATATATGGTATATAAGTAGGTATATATTTAAGTAATAAAATAATTCACGGAACCCTGGATAGCTCAATGCATAATTCACAGGTTTTTAAATTTGGAAAAACAGTCCTACCCCATTCTTACATAACTCTGAATGCTAGTTTTAGCTAAGTACAGTTCTGGTTATCAAAAATACTTTTAAGTAATGGATAAAACTGCAAGGCATGAGCGTAATAGGTGCATACAAAAGCAAAACATTTAATTTTTAAAAAATTTAAAGAACCTCATCATAATCACAACTTTAATAGTCGTAGCCTAAACATCTTGTTTTTTCAACTTTTGGACAGGCCCCCTTTTTAGGGCTTTCTTTTTTTATATTACTAGTAATCTTCCATACTATATAGAAGCAGTTACACTTGATACACAGTTTTTAAACAGTATTTTTCTCAACTATTTTTGTTGGTAATTTCTTTTCCTCAGCTCTTGAACTTGTGTAGTTTAAACATTTGAAGGCTGATCTTCTCCATAATTCCATACACATAGAGCAATGCCACTAAGATTGAATTGAGTTTACAAAAAAAGCAAAGTATTCCTTCTTTACTGAAACCTAAAAAGAAAATAATAAATCTTTGAATATATAGTAATTAATCCACTGCCATAGGCAAAATACTGCGGGCTGTCTTAATTCCAAATTAAATTCCTGATCTGCTCTCTGCCTGAGACCTCATGTACAAAATGTGCTTTTCCTATGTCCTTTCAATACATGTTATGATATGGATGTTGATGACACACCACGTCGAGATGCTCTAATGAAACTACTGCACAAAATTGAACTAAATCAACTTTTTACAATTTGAGATTTTACCCATATTTCCACATGTTGGCATACCCATAGACTGCTGGAGGAAGCTGTTCTGTCCATTCCGTTCGTCAGTTTAGCTATAAACTAATCCATGCTCAGCCCCCCTTAATCTCGCATCAAATTGTCCAATATATTAGAAAGAATATATTTCTTATATGCTTACGAAATATTAACACAGACCACACAGATACATATTAGAAGGAACACAACTAGAGATGCACGAGATCAAGGCATGCTTCAGTTTAGATTCTTGAACAAGCAGGGATTGGATTTAATCATCTAAATGCTTCCTATTCTGTACTTCTAAGAGAATGAAAAATGTTTTAAGTTGTATAAAGCTTAATGATTTTAAGGATTCTACATTATTACTAAGACTCATTTTTAGGCAGTTTTATAAAATTTAAAATAACCCACTGTCAATTGGATAGGCAGGAAAGCATAGATGTCTCCAAAGTTTTATCATAAAGAATTCCAATTTTTGAGATCCAGAAAAAGAGCCTTCTTTACCACAGCACCTGCTCTTCGGAACATCTGCCCTCAATCTCCTTCCATAGGAGCCTAAAGACCTGGCTCTGAAATTTGGCCTGGAGATCTAATGGGAGAGTTGAACTCTGGAGGTAGCTGCAAGATTGAAGCAGACTCCATCTCCCCACATGCCCATTTTTACTAGTCATATTAATGCATTTTCTTTTTATTATATATTTTTATTTTATTGATTTATTATCTTTACTTTCACTTTGTTTAAACTTTTTATTTAGTTTTATTATAATTTTAATTATAAAAACAGAAAAGTGGCATGGGAACATAAAGTATTACATGGCCAGTAAATTATAAAAAACAGATAAAGAAGATAAGACCTGGCAATGGCCAAGTGCAGGAAAATTAAAGAGACAGAGAACCTAATTCTGGCTGCACAAGACCAAGCCTTAACAAATGCATACAAAGCCAGAATTGACAAGGCAGCAAGTGACAAGAAGATTGCACAGATTGACTACAAACAATGGTGTGACAAAGGGAACAATTATTGGAAGACCAAGAAATACCATTTGCCTGCAAACAAGAACTGAGAAAGTCATAGAAAATGAAGCTAAATTGCTCTGTGAGTTTAGAATTCAAACAGGCAGTTGCCGTATAACATTCCAGCCTTAACAATTGTCAATAAGAAAAACAAAAATATCTGGATAGTGCACATGGCAATACCTGGAGACAGCAGAATAGAAGAAAAGGAACCAGAGAAAACAAAATACAAAGACTTGCAAACAGAAACAGAATGATTGCGGCAAAAAAAAAATAAGATAGTACCAATAATATCTACCCAAAAAAGGAGCACCACAAACACCATCAGCATTGACAAATTCACCATCAGTCAATTGCAAAAGGCTTGAAATAGCTTATATCTGTCACAGTATCTGTAATACCAACAAACATTTACATCTGCTTATGTAGGTACTTGGGAAAGGATTTGATAGCCAAGCATGCCAAATCCAGTCTGAACTCCTGGCTGACTGTATGATGGACCATAATAAACTCCCAAATAAACCACCTATACCCTCCAAAGATGAACCACGGACCAGCTTTAATCATTAGTCATGTTGCTAGAAATGCAGAGTGTTTAACATCTGGTAATGGGTGTGTCATTTGCTAATCTAAGAAACAATAGTAGTAGTTAACATTAGAATGTTTTTTTTAAATGGAGGGATTTTATTTATTTCACAAATATCCTGGCTTGCAGCTGCCATTGTTTTTTATTTTTAGTGTTAAATATGATTTTACATTGTGTAAGCCGCCTCGAGTCACCATGAGCAAATAGGCGACAATATAAATTAAACAAATAAAATAAATGATTATGAACCGCCACTATTACTTACATTGCAGGTGTTAATAACTGATTAAATTAGTCAAGGAAGTGTTCATCTTGACAATCCTGAACTTTTCTCCATCTGGAAATTATATCTTCCTCTAACTTCCTGCTTTAGCAAAAAAAACCTTACTTCTCTGAACAGGGCTGCTTCCGTGTATATATAACCTAACTTCATAGCCTCTAATGAAGAAACAAAGTCTACTTACCCCCAATTCCATCCACTCAATTTAAAGTATTTGTTTTCTTTATGGTTAAATTTATTTGCTACTTTCCATGGGGCTACTCTGAGCAGTTTACAACAAAAAAAAGGGGGGGGGGTTGATTTTAAAAAGTTAAAAAAACAATAGTAAATTTTAACTTCAGTGACTGTAGGGAAACAATTCTATTCTCAGGATATATTGTCACTATTGATTTTAAAATGTCATCCTTAAAAAAATCAAATTAAACTCTCCTTCAACAACAGCTAATGGAGATTTGATGTGATCCTGTAATTTTTATGGCAGTAATGCAGAATACAATAATCCAGGAGCATCTTCCTGGATTTTGTTTCGATTTATAAAGAAAAACGTGCCTAGGCATATAAAGATTTTAAAACGTCCCTAACATTGCTATCCTTCTGGAAATTATTATGGTTGAACTGGTATGATAAGATGCGTATCTTTTTCTTTTCTGCTTATTTTTGTAATCAAAAGTGCGCATCAGCATAGAAAATAAGGGAGGTTCCGTATTAGAAATAGTAATCATCAAATGTGACTTTATGAAGAGGCTCGCCTCTCCCTTCTCGCTCATTTCATGCGATTTTCCTTGAGGATAACTTTCTGTAGTTTGGGGCTAATGTAGAGATAGGGAATATACCGCAGAGAGAGAATAGCTCATTCTTCCTCCAAAGCGATTCCATGTGACCAAAAAAAAAGGAAAAGGAAGAAATGCACAGATGCGCACCTCTGAAAACTAACCGTCCACTGTATGCTCCTCCACTTCCGCTCAAGGAAAGCGACAAAGAAGCCTTCAAAAACCGGAACCGGAATCGGAACCGGAACTTTAAAAAGCTAACGCCTGTTGTTCCTTAATCTTTACCAACTTTTAAGATGCGCGGTCTTCAATTCCTAGAATTACCCAGCCAAATATTAGCCTAAGCCTTGGCGACAAAGCGACTTTTCGTCTGAGGGCATGCGCATTCTGGCCAGCAAGATGGTGTCCTTTGCTGGAGCTAGAATGGCTGTTAGGGTCGCCTACGGGCTGCGCCCCCGCTCCTGCCTCGACGTCCTTTACCGTTGTGGGGGAGCTCGATTCCTTTGTGTGCCTGCGCCCGCCGGGGGTGTCGAAGAAAGCCACAGAGACCCTTCCTGGGTTGGGACCTGGTATGAGATGCTCTCTTCGTCGGTACCTGTCGCGACGGTAGAATCGGGCTTGATAGCTCTGCAGGCCGCATCCGGGCTGCCCTGGTGGTCCACAGTGTTGGCAGCTACCGCCATCCTGCGCACTGGCCTTACCCTTCCTCTCAGCGTCCTCCAGAAGCGCGTCGTCAGCCGCGTGAGTTCTAAAAGGAGGGGTTGCCACTGAGCACTTGCAGAAGAGGGTTCGTCTCCTTAACAGAAATGTGCTCTTAAATACGAAACGTGGATATTAAAGGAACAGGTGATGCTCCCGAAGAAAGTGCACATTTTTTGCACTGAGTGATGCTGAATTGTGACAGCATATAAACAGTAAAATTTAGACAAGCAGTCCAAATTCTGCTAAGAGCTTTAGGTATTTGTGAAAGGGGTGTAGCACAAAGAAGGTGGAACCTGCATGATCATTAATCGGACTTTTTTGGATTTGCATCCATGTGGGCACATCTTGAGCTTCTAGCGAGTAATATTCACTTTGCTTCATCTAGAAATAGTACTAAATACATGAAGTGATATGCAGATATAGATGCATTGAGATTTATGGAATATATTTCGTTTAATTCTATAATCAAGGTCTCATTAGTCTGGATAAATATCTGTGTTTCTTCTTTTCCTTTTCCTTTTTTTCTCTTTTTTATTGTGCATATTTTTTCTTAGTGTATTCATCCTATTTGTCATCTTCCAGAAGCCCTGTAA